GATTGGAAAAAGTAAAAAAAACTAAAAAGAAAACCTTTGCTTTTCTTTATTGAGAAAGAAAAGTTGTATTGCACTAATTATTTAGATGAGTTACTATATCATCACATTGGTGTCTAGATGCTGTCCTCTATATTTAACAGGAGACCATCTCCATGCCAGTGTGCCTACCCAGCTGATGTGAAGGATTAGGCAAACTCAGAGACTCCAAGACAAGCGTGACACAAACAGGAATGAAAACACAAAGTTTAAAAAACAAAATCTTTATTTGGTCCCAAAGAACCTGAGGTGGGTGCACAGGGCACCCAAAATGTACCTATCTATACAATCTGAGTATATAAGCTGATAAAATAACATTCTGTCTTATTACAGCTGAACAATATGTACAAGATTCAAAATATTTCCCAGTTGTGGCAGAGACTCCAGGGACCCCAAGTAGCCGCGTGTTTGGAGGAAGAGTAGTGGTTAACCTTTCAGCATTTGCATTTAATTTAAAAAGAAAAAGAAAAATTAAAATAGTAAGTCAGGTGGTAAAATATTTGCTCATATGTAATGCTGAGACTATTAGAATCAGTTTTGGTTATAAACTACAACATTGAAATATCTCCAGTCAAATGCGGTAGTTACTGCCTATAGGGATGGGGATAAAGAGGTTACGGAATATCCGAAAAAGTCTTTAATTTGGGCCAGCATGTCCCTTCTAGCAGCAAACAGATACATTGGTTCTTTAGAAATATATATGGGCCTATTTATTTATAGGCCACTTGTACAGCTGGTGGACTGGCTTTTTTTTTTGGAGAAAGTCTAGTATAGAATCTGACATTCCTGATATAAGTTTTCTGAAATACAATTAAATTCTAAGTCCGGGGTGTCCAAAACGTAAATCCTCAGATGTTGTAGAACGACAACTCCCATGATGCTTTCCCATGATGCATTTAGAATGACAAAGCATCATGGAAGCTGTAGATTTAAAACGTCTGGGGAAACCATGTTCCAAGTGTTAAAAAAAAAAAAAAGTTTAAAAAATAAATAAATCGCACATTAACACATGTAGTGATTTATATTGTAGAATACCAGAAGACCTTAACCTGAAATTATCTTTCTAGGGAAATCTATAAATGCCCCTCTATTTAACATTTTAAAGAAAAATGTAAGTTTGAGCAGTCTGGTCAATATTTGGAATGCAAGAGGAGATTATTAAAAGGTTACATTTGTATGCCTTTTTTTTTTTTTTTTAAATCTATAAAGCGCAATTTCATGGCAACATTCTATAAGAAAATATTGCGCAGGTTTCCATGGTGATTGATTCAATTTAAGAACGCTGCACCATTAATGGTCTTTCATACAGCTCTATAAGGGATATGTCAGCAGAGTGTGGATTGTTAGGTATTCAAAGTGAATTTCAAATTAGACGGAACTGGAAACGTCTGAAGAGTTTGAGACATTTTTAATTTGGCAATTGGGGCCTAACATTTGAAATTCGATTTGAATTCCGGACAGTTCACTTAAACGAATAACCTTGTTTATGTTTTTGAGATAGAATGTTTGATTGCATTTTCCACAGCTTTTAAATGAAGACCCATATAATAAGAGGACCCCCCAAAAAAGCCAAGGATTCTGGGCAACATAATATGAAATTATAAAGTCACTTACTTTGCATTGTGGAACAGCAGCAAAATGCTAAGTAAGATTTCGGTCCCTTTCCTTATCAAAGGGAGACACACACAGGAACAATATATGTAAGCACAAAGTGTGATGATATGATAATGCCTTTCAGAACAGAGCCGTTTGAAAGGGGAAAAAAAACCTGAACATTAATTTATAGAGCTTAATATTTCTTAATATTCCCGTTAACAAAAAGTAAGCATTCCCTGTTTCTTGTGCTTTGATGATGTCTCCAGTATTTTTCTAGCATCTAATTTTCTTATTAAACCACTTCAATAGCAGGATAGTTGGTGCAATAATAGATCAGGTTATATAAGCACCCCAAACATACAGATTAAAGGACCACTATAGGCACCCAGACCACTTCAACTTAATGAAGTGGTCTGCGTGCCAGGTCCATCTAGGATTAACCCTTTTTTCTATAAACATAGCAGTTTCAGAGAAACTGCTATGTTTATATTAGGGTTAATTCAGCCTCTAGTGGCTGTCTCATTGACAGCCGCTAGAGGCGCTTGCGTGCTTCTCACTGTGAAAATCACAGTGAGAAGACGCCAGCGTCCATAGGAAAGCATTGCGAATGCTTTCCTATGAAACTGGCTGAATGTGCGCATGCGCATTCAGCCGAGGAGGAGGAGAATCCCCCGCCCGGCGCTGGAGAAAGAGGTAAGTTTAACCCTTTCCACCCCAAGAGCCCGGCGGGGAGGGGGACCCTGAGGGTGAGGGCACTATAGTGTCAGGAAAACGAGTATGTTTTCCTGGCACTATAGTGGTCCTTTAAGGAGGTTTGGGTTACACAGAAAAATAAGGAGAATGTTACAAAGATTAAATACAATTTTAAAAGTGCTCTGTATATTATTGTAACTTTTTTTAGGTAACAAATTTGTTTGGGCATTTCCTTGAAGGTAGTGCCCCCTGGCTGCAGAAAATGATATGACATAAAAGCAATGTAGAGGGTTATGAACACGGCATCTTACCGTACAAGCAATACCCATTTCCATAGCTTACTCGGCTAAATAAGACCGGGGTCTGCTGTCTCTTGGGTGCAGTTTCACTATAAGAGGTAAAGATGATTAAAACGTGTGGTGACTGCATTTTTGCATGAGCAGCTATATATAAGTATATATATATATATATATATATATAAAATGGCAGGAATGGAATGGGTTACCCTAGACAGGTGAGGTTGAATATTCATCCCTGAGACTACTAAAGCAGAATCCCATTAATAATAAGAAAAATACAGCTCTGACATATTTTTAACCCTTTAGCACTAACATGGGCAAGATTAAGCTAAGACATTTGTTTTCTTCTACATTTAATCCCATATAACATTCCCAGGAAGTCTTGTCATGCATGTGCAGGCAAATGAAGAATTAACATGGCTACCGTGAAATGGGGAGTCCATTAGATCCAGAATAGGGCTTGTGCTGTGTGCCAGCGTGATCTATAAACAAGCTACGTGATTTATGCAGCCATTTATAGAATGGACTATTGGATCGTATTGTCATTTTTACAATGATACGGTTAACATTTAATATTTCTACCCAAACTTTGATTCCGCTCTGTTATATATTTAACGCTCTGTGAGATTTACTGCAGCCTACATAGACTTACAAAAGCGATATAAAAAAACATAGCAAATAATCTTTAAATAGAGCCACCTCCTCTTATTCTTGCAGATTTAGAATTCCTTCGCCTTTCATTTAAAGACAATTTAACGTGCACAGGGAGGTGATCAACAATGGTGAAATGGATAGGATTTAATTTTTATCTTTAAAGGGCGGGAGTTTTTTTAAAGTGCAGAGGTTTTGCTAAAGCAGGAAAGAATTCCATACGTCCTGCTGGGGGTCCGTCATGGGTACAGCCAATGAAAATTACAGTTTAACACTTGAAAACAAGATGCAAAGGGCTACAATTACTAGACCCCATCTATAAAAATGGTTATTCAGCAAGTGTTTATTTTCAGTGACATGACGTCTGTACCGATTATATTTGGCGCCACCCTGTGGTTAGTAGCAGCAGGTCAGTCAAATCAATTTGCTGCCTTTTGTGGGGAAAAACAAACATTTTGATGGAGCGATTTGCCCAGCAGTTGATAATCCAGGTGCTGTGGACTAAAAAGACCAACATATTAAGCTAGTCAGAGCGTAAGACTGAGCCAATCCACAGATGCTGGAGTGCTGAACTTAAATATGCCTCTGAGACAGCCCAATCTTGCCATCGAGCTGCTGGCTGGCAGAGAATTATGGGGATTGTAGTCTTGACAGCTTGCTATATCTGGTCAAGCAGAAAACAGGACATATCTGTAGGGAGCAAATTATATATACACAGATCAGTTCCACAGCCAAACACCCTGATACTGAGATAACATATAGAATATATATAGATTTTTTTTTTGTGCGTCTGGTATGCATCAGTAGACCTGTTCTTTGCTTTCACAAATACCCTGTTTGCAAATTTACAGGCCAAGAATTAATAACATGGATCACTCACTAAAGGACTAAAGGATGAGAGGACACAGACTGTCCAGTGAGATTTAACAGATTACCTTCCATACAGAAACATTTAATTTACTGTCTTCTTCAGAATTAAAGATTCAGCGATGCTGCCCTTTTCTACTTCTGAAATCACTGAAGCATTTGCTTAGAAGTGAAAGGAACTTTACCTTCTGTATGGGTAGCAATTCTTTTCTTAAATAAATACTTTAAAATAAATAGGTGACTTCTTAAAGGCCACTAACGCCTTAACCATGCAAAAACCTACAGACATCCACAAAGCCATACCTGCTTTACCTAATGAAATTGCCTTCACCCGACCTGCAGAATCCATACGCAAGCATGCAGACATTGAGGGGAAAGGATGGAGATAACGTAATCTGAATGCTCTTCAAGCAGATTATACGTGGGAGTTAAAAGACCTAATGTTTTTTCACTGAGGCCTTATTCTGGATTAGTAAAATATCTTAAAACAAATGGGAAATTCAAATAGAAAAATATTCAGTATTGCACAGAATAAACCGCTTAAAAAACAAAACAAAACAAAGAGAAATGAATGACTAACCACCCCTTTAGTTTATGAAGATTAAGGAGGATAGAGATGACGTGGCTTTCACAGAAATGTTTGTGTTTCTAGTGTGGCTCTTCTGAGACAGCAGGATTCTCCATTACGAGTTGTGTGTAAACGGGATTCAGTTAGGGAAGGGGTCCCTGCATACACAGGAAAATAGTCCTGAGCAGATTTCAAGTGTAACCTATCGGGAAGTGTTAAGTCTCTAAAGTGCTCCCTATGACCCCAGACCGAGTTGTTGGGGTCCAGAGATCATATCACGGCGTTGAGGGTCATAGTGGGCGGGGGCCATGGAGCCCAGACACCTCGGGGGACAGTGGAGGACTGTGGGTCCCCTTGCTTGACATCCAGTCATTGAGAAGAGCGTGGTTGGCCTTCCGATGAGCTAGACGGTGGGTGATGGAGAAACCAGCGTTGCCCTCCAACTGAGACAAGATGACCAGAACTTGCCTGTTAAAGAAAACACAGTCACCTTAAAGTATTTGAAGAAGAGGGAGAGGGAGCAAAGGTGTGTGAAGAGATATGAGAAAGCAGTGGACGTGAAAAACGTATTCGGAATATTTTCCTTTACAAACATATGAGCACAGTGCACAGACAGAGAGGAGAAATTCACCTGTGCAGAGGAGGCACGCTGTCGCTGGTTTTGAGGCTGCCTCGGGTTGACACCACGTTGAAGCTGTCTGTGCAGTCACACTGGATGTGCAGGTAAGATTTAGGGTGTCTGTTTTCTACAACTACGATAAGTCCTGCCCACCCATGGGTCAAGTAGTAGCAGGTCATTCCCTCACGACCCTGTGAAGAGAAGGCAAGTTAAGACATCAATTGTTAAGATATTGCTTGGATTTCCACAGGTTGAACAAGGTTGGGCTTGTGCTCCACAAAACAATTCACTGCAAAATCCAAATAAATGTATTGTTCCCCAGGCGTTTCAACTGGAGAAAAAGAGTTTAAAAAAAAAATGGTGGGTCGAGAAAGAAACTGATGGAAACAATGGGTTAAAATATGCTTTCAAAGCTTGTTCCCTTCTTGCTAGTTACGTCAGGGAATGTCAGCGTTTCTAAAGATGGGGCCCCAGACAAAGGTCCAGAGTATCTATTACTTTCACCAGTCAAACAGTAATCTAATAGTTACCTCGTGCCGCTCTCCTTTGTCCTCAGTCAGCAAAATAATGGCGTCTGCGAGTGTTGTTGGCTGTGCCTCCACCTGTTCCACCATAACAAGCCGCGAGCTGTAGATCGCCAAGATGTATCCCATCGGTTCTGCGGCTGACCGGCGGTTATTGCCACTGCCTGTCGGACTGGATGCTGAGAAAATAGGAAGACGAGCAACTAAACTTCAAGTACATTTCATGAATCATTTAATCGATTATTTTATCTTTACCTCATGCAGGTTTCAAAACTAACTCAAACGGCTTATTTATACCTTTGTATATTCTAGAACATTTCACTGGAATCTTGTGTCTGTAAAGACACACCATAGGCACACAGACCACTTCATCTCATAGAACCCTGCAGTGTATTACAGAGCAGCTTCAGAGAAACTGCAATGTTTACATTGCAGAGTTAAGACTGCCTCTAGTAGCTGTCTATTAGACAACCACTAGAGGCGCTTCCTGTTGTTTCATGCTTTGCATGAGGACATCCAGCGTGTTTAAAAATCCTATCGGAAAGCATTGATTTCCTAATTATAGTGTTCCTTTAACGGAATTCTTGGTAATAATCTCAGTAACCAGCATTGTACTTATATTCAGATATCGGTGAAATTAAAAAACAGTTTCAGTTCACCTTGCTCTCGTTAGTAATACTAATATTTTGTATTAGTTGGAGAGCTGCTATGATGTAAATTTCTGTTTATACTACACACTACCAAACTGTTATAGATTATACCAGAGAGCGCACATAAAGGCTGGTATTACAGGAATATACATTTATCACATGGTTGCCCAGGCAATGCTTACCCTGAGCCGTAGATAAACCAGAGGCCACGGATGTCTGCCAATGGTTAAATGCACAGCAAACAACTGCGTACTCTCCGGGTTCCAGCATTACATCGCATCCCACAAACTTCTTCACGGCCCTTTTACTGTGAGCCATTAGCCGCCCCAGCATCACTTTGCCAGCTCCGCCATGGCTAGCTCGGAAAATCATTATACAGAGATCCAGTAGGTGACTGTCCACAGTGTCTGAGCGCCTGTAGTAGGAAAGGAAATGTCAGAACCACTCCTCCACAATAACCAGTATGTCTTCTGCTTATTACATACACATAATAAACATTTCAACATTATTGAGCTCTTTGACACCTACCTGCTGCCTTCCTGGAAAAGCGAAAATTCAAGGGCTGTGCGTTCAACCACTGTGAGAGATGTAACGATCACTGGGGTGGAGGCCTTGTTTGGGAAGGTGCCCTGCACCCGGACCTCATGCCAGTCGGTGTGGATTTTGCATATATCTACAGAGTCAAAAAACCTGGGAGAAGCAAGGAGAGAGTTAGGAAGAAAGGGAGGAGAGAAAGTGAAGAAGGAAGGGAGGAAGAAATCAGGTATAGGGGGGAAAAACAAGGAAGAAAGGCAAAAAGAGAGCACAAGGAAGTGGGGGATGAGAGGCGAAGGAAAGAGGGAGGGTAAGAAAAAAAGCAAGTAGAAAGAAACCAAAAAAATAAAAACGCCATGGTATATAAAGAGGAATGAAATCAAGTGAGTTAAAAGGGGAGGATAAGAGCATGAAAGCAGGGAAGAAACCACGTGTAACCGACAGGAAATAGAGGAGAGGAACATGTAACACAAAATCAGATAAGCAGAAAGGGAAAAGAGGAATTGAGAATGGATGACAAGTACGAAGAAATAGGTTTCATTACAGCAGAGTGTTCACAATACCCAATACCCACCGGATAAAGTCATTGTATTCCATCCAAAACACACCCTCACTACTCCCATGTGGCATTAGTTCACGTTTTAATGGTTCTGGCCAAAGTGACCATCCATCCGACCAATTGCCATTCCAAGAGAATCGGCCCCAGGGATTACGTAGCCGGAGGAGGCTGAAAAGGAATAAACGGGACATGTTGGAACACGCCATCGTTGAGCAGGGCACTAGCTACAATCTACTTCTTATATTTCTTACTCACCGGAAGCTCTGAACATCCCTAACATCCAATATGGAATAGGCATGCCGAGGCCTCAGCCCCATACTTTCATAAGCTGCATCATCCACCTTCATATTTCCGCCTCCACAGGATGCACCCATAAGGAACCTATTCACAAATAATCAAAGGACAACCAAGTATAAATGCAGACGAACAGCATTGGGGGGTGGAGGTGGCAATAGTGGCCAGCAGGTCCATCTCTGCACAGAGACAGAGGGATGGCCAGCGGGTCCATCTCTGCACAGAGACAGAGGGGTGGCCTGTGGGTCCAGCTCTGCACAGAGACAGAGGGGTGGCCTGTGGGTCCAGCTCTGCACAGAGACAGAGGGGTGGCCTGTGGGTCCAGCTCTGCACAGAGACAGGGGGTGGCCTGTGGGTCCAGCTCTGCACAGAGACAGGGGGTGGCCTGTGGGTCCAGCTCTGCACAGAGAAAGAGTGGTGGCCAGCAGGTCCATCTCTGCACAGAGACAGAGGAGTGGCCTGTGGGTCCAGCTCTGCACAGAGACAGAGGGGTGGCCTGTGGGTCCAGCTCTGCACAGAGACAGAGGGGTGGCCTGTGGGTCCAGCTCTGCACAGAGACAGAGGAGTGGCCTGTGGGTCCAGCTCTGCACAGAGACAGAGGGGTGGCCTGTGGGTCCAGCTCTGCACAGAGACAGGGGGTGGCCTGTGGGTCCAGCTCTGCACAGAGAAAGAGTGGTGTCAGCAGGTCCAGCTCTGCACAGAGAAAGAGTGGTGGCCAGCAGGTCCATCTCTGCACAGAGACAGAGGGGTGGCCTGTGGGTCCAGCCGGCCCACCTCTGCACAGAGGAAGAGAGCTAGTTATCATACTATCTGTGGACAGGTAGGAGTGATTGACAATATGTCTACCTGCCCTCTACTGCTTTGGTGGCCAGTACATCTACCTGCACTCACAGAATGACCAGTTGCCTCATCAATGTCCAAGACCTGCTAAGCTATCACTCTGTTTGCAAGCATTGAGAAAAAACAACAACTTTTGTTTGGACATAGTAGTGAATTGTGGCACATGTATTACTTGTCCTTACCCGGCCTCTTTAGAACTCAGCATCTTAGCCCAGATGAGGTCTGTGTCTACCGTCTCCTCCCGGGGGTTGGTGGAGCTGACTTGAAGCATCAAACTCTCACAGGGGGCTCCTGTCAATGTAGCCAGGCCCTCAATGGCACGCCCAGCCTGAAGGGCAAAGTATGAGCCATGAAGTTTTGCCAAGGCCTTCTCAATCAGTGCCACCCACAGTTGCTTTCTTTGTGCCTGCAAAAGTTAAGAAAACAATGGGTATCATTTGGGAACAAGTGAATATGGAGCTTAGCAGAGCGGTTTAATAAGTAGTTAAAAGCATACACGTTAGGCGAAAGGTGAAAACTATGTTGCGTTTTTTTTTCACTGCAATTATTTTTTTTATTTAACCATTATGGAAATATTGTTGTCTGCGGCATTAGTAAACCCTTTATTTCCGGCACAGACTCTCTGAGAATCCTCTGTGAAATTGCTGCAAGTGAACACAGTTTTCAATATGTCTCTACAGGCAGCTCATTGAGAAGCAGATAGGCAGGCACGCTCTAGCTCAGTGTTCCTGCCACTTCCGATAGCTCCACAGAATGAAAATTGAATCGCTCTGCAACACTAATTGACAGCCAGGGAGGTGCTTCTGCCTCAATTGTAAAAGTGCCTGTTTCAACAGAAATTGGCACAATTATAAACTGTACAAAAATGACAGATTCCAGTCACACTGAGCATTTCAGCAAGCGGATGTGCTTTATGAATATGCAGGTCCCTTTAAGCTCATATTTCCTTCCAACGCCTCCCAACCCTCAGTGTTTCCCTTTTTGTGCCAATAATGCTTCTGTATTGAATGTCATGACTAGTAGAAAGTTGACAACTGAACTACAACTCCCAGACACCCTTGCTGTAAATCACGGTGTATGGAGTAAGCTTAGCAGTGCTATAAAACGTCCAGTGTGCCTCGTGATTGGTTGAGCAAATTCCAAGTCTGGACGGCACCTTCTACAGAAGCTGTTAGGCTTGGGCATTCGCAGCAAACAGAACTATTTCACATGAGTATCTCTTATTTTATCATTAAAAATATATAGCTATTAATGGAATGCTTTAAAAATGAACGGGTGTAACACCATCCTGGTGTGTCCCTTTCAGATATTTGGTTTGGATTTGCATTTCTCAAATGCTGTGGTCCAATATTGAAACAAGAAGTAAATTACCAAACATGCGAGTCACACAGCATCAGTCTGCAATGTCTGCTCATTTAAAATGTGTAGATTTAATGCCACAGGCCTGCATTACTAACCTTGCATGCACTCTGGATATCCTGTACATTTCATGTTATAACAGAGATAGAGAAATTACTTAAACTCTCCTACAGTTCTACAAACATTGATTGTATGTCTCCAGGGGATATTTATATTGATGCAGTAGTATAGAATAATGACACGTTTTCTATGCTGTTAGACCATCACTGGATGATAAGAGCTGAGCTGTGCAATGCGGAGTCCCGGGGGCTCATATAAATAGTGTGTCCATGATGGTTTGAGTAGCCTGGGATTTGTTTGTACAATATGCAATCTGTGTCATGAATGTACAATTGTCATGTTATCCACAAGGGAGAAGAATGAAGGATACTTGAACACATTTATTTTTATTCCCCCGCATTACATGGCGCTTTGTCAGGATGTGCAGGAATATAAGATCACAGAACGCAGGGAAAAAGATTGAGAAGAGACATTAAGAGGCATAACCAGTCCTTGAGATGGTCAGACTTAATGAAATATCCCAGAAGAGGTATACAACTGGCAACTAACACATACACAACCAGCACAGGTCAGGGCACCAAAGGGTATCAAGGCTGAAACCTAGCCAGATCTGGGACAGGAATAACAATGACATTAGCCAAGGTCAAAACTGCATTAATGCCCAAAATCAACAAAGTACGCTTGTCTGCGTCATCTCTACGGCTCCAGAAAACGCAAGCAGGAATGTATAGAGAACATAAAGCAACAATGAGACAAAGATCTATAGAATATTGTGATCCTGAGAATTGTATGCACTCAACCACAGAAGGAGGAGACAAACAGGCTGTGTGACATAGCAAGGGGGGTTATCAGGATAGTTCAGTGGTGATATTCTTACAAACAAAATCAATATCATGAATAGGTAATGGAGGCCACAGGAAAACCATACCGAAGGCGTCTACAATGGTATTCTGGAGGGCAAAAACAACTTTACTGCTCATGTGTACATCAGAGGTAAACAAACATCACGCATGTACATCAGAATTACAGTAGCAGAAGTAAACAACCTTCACGCATGTACATCAGAATTACAGTAAGCAGAGGTAAACAAACTTCACATGTACATCAGAATTTCAGTAGGCACAAACAAACATACTTTACACAAGTTACATGCAATTCTGAAGGCCAAATCAACTGTAATTCACGTGTGATCAGAATTCTGTTGAGCTGAGGCAACTTTATTAACCCCTAAAGGACAGAGGCAATTGTCCAAGTTCTGAACCAAAACAAAATCTAGACTTGAAACTATTTGTCTTTTCAACTGTAATTCACCTCTTTCATATTAAGTGCACCCACACTTCTTGTATATCATTTTGGTCAGGGAAAATAGGGCTTTCATTTCACATCAAATATTTAGATATGAAACATAATTTAAACTGAATAAAATCTAAAAAACGTTTGAGAAATTCAGAAAATGTGTTGCAGGTATGTCACATTTATTTTATACCTTTTTTCCAGCGTTAAAAAAACAAAACAAACAAACAAAAAAATGGTTACAGTAACCCTTTAAACAAGAAAAAATATCTAAGTTATATATTTTCTCTAAAACATGGAATTTATACGTTTTAGATGCCTTGCAACACAGTTCTGCTTTTTACATTTCGGGGGAATGTTTGCGGTGAGAAATGTAATGGAGATATTAGTCTCCTAGCAGGAAACTAATCTGGTCTCATCTTGTATTCACACTGTGGGATTACACAATTACAGAGAAACTGTCAATTCTGGGAAATTGGCACAGTCCTTTAACAGATTTAATGCCAGCTATAGATTGCGCAAATTTCTGTACAACGTGTTAATTATTTTTTTTGTTCCCAGGAAGGTAAGAGAACGTGTCCGATTATTCCATTCAGAAAACAAAGCCAATAATTTTCCAATTAAACATTTTCATAATACGCCGAGATATGGATTCCTAATGTCTGTTTTATTTGCGAATTATTGTTGCTGGAGTAAACACAATGACTGGTTTGTCTAAAAGTAGAGGAATCGCTTTTAGAAATCCTTACTGGTTTATTTTCCACGTTCACCATTTTCTTATGTATAAAACAGAACCTCTACGCTTTACACATTTGGACTGGCCCATGAAAACTTGGGTCTGTCTCAAATAAAAAAAGGGTTTCCATTTGTTTCCAACTATGTATGATTTGTGGACCTGTCTCTACTGTACAAAGTTGGCAATTAAATTCTAACTCCCATAAACCATTTGCTGAGCCCAAATAAGCCCTCCTTATGGGAGAAGCTTAACTGTACTATAGAAAATGTAGCGAGCATCTCTCTTGGCTGAGTGACCTCCTGGTTTAGTGAAAACTCAATAGACAAGCTGCATGGCTAGCAGGTTTTGCAGCAAATGTAGGAACTTCAAATGTGTATCCTTTTTAAAAATTATTATAATTTTTTATTTTTTTTAATGGTTGTGATGCAATAAAAGAACCAAATCCAATTTAGGAAGAAAGATTGAGAGGTCTATACTAACCTGGGAAAATAGTAGGTACCCAGCCTCATCACACGGCAGCATATCATCCACCAGAACAGTGCTCCACGTCCCATCCTTGCATAACCGCACCTGGTACGCCCCCTCTGGGCAGATAGTCCTGGTGATCATAACCCTCTCCACCAACTCTGGTCTTTCTGCCAGGACAGCCAGAGCACTAAGGAACCTGTGTAGATGGAAACACATTAGTAAGCAGCAAATACCACGACACTGGGAAATCCATCATTATTCCTTACATATAGACATTCCTTATATACCAACATGGAATACAGAAAAACATTACAATGGAAACGGTTACTCCTCTAGATATTACAACACTGAATAAAAGTATAAATTGTATTCTTTTTGATCTTCCTTTAACGTTTAAATGCATATTAGAGATTTGGAAAAAGTCACATCACAATTCAGTTTAGTCTCTAGGCATAGCTAGGGCACACAATGCAAATTTTACTAACAGTTTCTCTTCTCTTCCTCTATATCCAGTGGCAGAAAATTGCAACATTTGTAGCAATAACTGACACAAAGTCAAGATGGAAGTGCCAGGTTCGAAGATGGAGGTGATTACAGCAGTGTGGATTTCTAGGTGTCATTTTATTTTTCTTCACAGATATTTGCAAAATATATAGGAGTTTACAAACACAATATTAAAATTCCTGGAAGGGACAGTTCCCCTTTAACCCATTTCGATCACGTTCTTCTCTACCATCTATAACTATTTCAACACCGGTTTCCTATCGCTCACCTCCACTGCTCCTCCGTGTCCATCATTGGACGTCTTCCACTACAACCCTTATCCAAAACATGCTATTTATCTACTGTTCCTCAGTGTTCATCATTGGACATCTTCCAAAACAACCCTCATCCAAAACATGCTATCCATCTACTGTCCCTCTGTGTCCATCATTGGACGTCTTCCACCACAACCCTCATCCAAAACATGCCATCCATCTACTGTTCCTCAGTGTTCATCATTGGACATCTTCCAAAGATGAATATTGGAAGATGTCCAATGATGTCCAAGAGAAGGATGGCGTGTATGGGGTAAGGGCTCTTACCCCATACACGCCATCTGTCTCTTGCTCCTCTACCTGTGTCCATCATTGGACATCTTCCACCACAGTCCTTACCTGATACATGCCATCCATCCACTGCTCTCCTCTTCAGTGTTCATCCCTGGACACACACGCCACTCTTCTCCTGCTTATCTTCCCATGTGCTTCACTAGAACATTTCTAAATGTGTAATTCACTCAGACCTATCTTACAAATATAACCCCTTCACATTTCAGATTTTATTTCAATCTTATTATTTCTCTGACATTTAAAACCTTTCTCCCAAATAAGCAACTATATTTCTTCATTTGCCACCCACCAATATTCCACCCCTACAAACTATGTCTTTAACCCAAGTTATTTATTTTTTAATTATTTTTTGTAAACGCTGTTTACTAGTAAAGAAGTGAACCGTCTATAGAGTTTTTCTTGGACACTGCTTTTCAATTTATGAGCTCACCAACAGTTTCCCAGAAGTCCTTGAAGAATATCCGAAGGCCGCGGCGTTCGAAAAACTGTCCACTTGACGCCACGGTCTTTGTAGATGCTACAGTTAATTTCTTGTGGCCGCAACCATTGCTTGACCCTCTGCTGGACACTGTCAGACTCAGGAAAGCCTACGGAGCGAGGGCCAGGGGGAAAGCTGTCATCCACAAAATTCACCCTGTTCTGGGATGGGAACAGGTAAGAGGACAACTGTGAGGATAGGCAGTTACAAATGGAAAGAGGTAGGTGGAAGGAGAGGGAGAAAATGAGAACAAGTGCTGAATGAGGTGGAATCTGTTTTGGCTTTTACTCAAATATCGGTGCTGAACTAGAAAGGAGAAGGTATGAATCTAGAACAGAAATGGTAATGATGGTGTCTAAAATAGGTAGAAGAAATTAGGTAGGCTCAAACAAAATAGGATTTGAAGTTACAGGGACAAACAAAACAGCATAAACACTGCAAAACTTAAAGGGACACTCTAGACCCCTAAAGCACTTTAGCTTGCTGAAAAGCTTTATGTGTGAAGAGTGTGCCCTCTTTTTTTCATATTACAAAAATGCAGATTTTAGATTTTATAAATTAACACTATTATGAATTAACATGATTACACCCTGGGGTTTCAAGCAGACAGCTGGTTCTGTTGCTTCCTAGTTTAGCTCAGTGAGTCTAAACTCAAGAGATAGCAATTGCCCAGAGCACCTGCCTTGTAAAGACGTCTCATTGAGCTGCATTGGGAAGTCTGTGATTGGACAGCAACAAAAAATCTGGGCCGTGTTAGAAGGGGAGGGCTTGCAAAGGCAGCAGACAAGAGAACTGCAGCTACTACAAGCTGTTTTAGATATACACCAATTATAAAATACATAATTAAATGCATGCACGTTGTCATTGGGGGTATATGTATTAAACAGTGATTTTCATTAAAGGACCACTCTAGGCACCCAGACCACTTCAGCTTAATGAATCCCTTAATGAATCCCTCTAGGATTAACCCTTTTTTTTATAAACATAGCAGTTTCAGGGAAACTGCTATGTTTATAAATGGGTTAATCCAGCCTCTAGTGGCTGTCTCATTGACAGCCGCTAGAGGTGTTTGCGTGCTTCTCACTGTGAAAATCACAGTGAGAAGACGCCAGCGTCCATAGGAAAGCATTATGAATGCTTTCCTATGAGACTGGCTGAATGCGTGTGCAGCTCCTGCCGCACATGCGCATTCAGCCAAGGAGGAGGAGAGGAGGCGGAGAGGAGGAGGAGAGCTCCCCACCCGGTGCTGGAAAAAGGGTAAGTTTAACCCCTTTCCTCTCCATCCAGCCCGGCGGGAGTGGGACCCTGAGGGTGGGGGCACCCTCAGGGCACTATAGTGCTAGGAAAAACGAGTATGTTTTCCTGGCACTATAGTAGTCCTTTAATTTTGTTTTTGGGCTGTGAAGTGTCTCTTTACGGTTTCGAATAAGACATTCCCTGTGGATTTGTTGGTGTTTTCGGATTTCTTTCCTCAATTTGCACAGAGTCATGAGATATGTACATGGAGAGAAGATGTCAAGTATTAAGCTGGATGAAGTCTCAAACAGAAGGACAGATGAACAAATGCACTAATAAAAAACTGTACATTACAAAAACAGAAAAACAGAACTGCTTTTTTATGCATTAAGATAGTACATCTAAATAATCTGTATTTTATATATTTTTATGGGGTTTCGGCAGCACAGTCAGTTCAAGAATCAAACAGCATCTGAGAAATTACAGAAAAAAACTAAACATGAGTAAAGTAAAAGGTATTTTTATCACTGCTTGCTAGAACATATAGTTAGCTATTTGAAGCCACCGTTTAGTTATTTTAACAAGTGTCAGTCTGCAATGCATGCTAGTATGGACTCACTACGGCAGTACTATTAATCTTTTTATTAAAGTTCACAACTTGTTATTGTTGTTCTATGGGACTCTGGAGAACAAGGGTCTGTCTTAATTCCGGTCCTGAAAAGGTTTCAGTGAAACCATCATCCAAAGAACATGTGGATAATTAGATCACCTTTGACTAAGTATACATTTAACACTGGGTTAGCGCTATCGGCCACCAAAATATAGGTTATCCATCGTCTTCCCGATACCCACAATTCTTAGCATTCTAGGAATTGTGACATTGATTTACCTGAACACTGTATTAGAGTCTTAAAGGACCACTCTAGGCACCCAGACCACTTCAACTTCAGTGCCAGGTCCAGCTAGGGTTAACCCATTGTTTTATAAACATAGCAGTTTCAGAGAAACTGCTATGTTTATGAATGGGTTAAGCCTTCCCCCTATTCCCTCTAGTGGCTGTCTCATTGACAGCCGCTAGAGGCGCTTGCGTGCTTCTCACTGTGAAAAATCACAGTGAGAGCACGCCAGAGTCCATAGGAAAGCATTGATAATGCTTTCCTATGCGACCGGCTGAATGCGCGCGCAGCTCTTGCCGCGCGTGCGCATTCAGCCGACGGGGAGGAAAGAAGGAGGATCGGAGGAAGAGAGCTCCACGCCCAGCACTGGAAAAAGGTAAGTTTTACCCCTTTTCCCCTTTACAGAGCCGGGCGGGAGGGGGTCCCTGAGGGTGGGGGCACCCTCAGGGCACTACAGTGCCAGGAAAACGAGTATGTATTCCTGGCACTATAGTGGTCCTTTAACCATTAAGCCGATGACATGGCAGTAAATGATAAAGGATGTACTGAAGAAGAAAAAACAAACAAAACAAACCATGAAACCATACATTAACTTGGCTAGCAAAAGGTATTGTTATTGTTTAATAAGATGGATTTTTGTATGTTTGGATCACTGGGAACTCCTGACTTTAATATTCATTTTAATTTTTTATAATTAAAAATTGCCATTTAAAAATAAAAACTTGCACAAAACCCCCACAAACTCACCCTTTATTCCAGCACTAGGACAGACGCGCAGCAGCTGCTCCTCCTGCGGTAAGTCATTCCTTCTGATTACTTTTTTCCAATCAGATGCTTCTCATTGAGAAGCACGGCAGAGCTATGTCGCAAAAGTTGCAATCACTGCTTGATCCAAGGATAAATCTGACTGCCATTCTGGGGTCAAAAAGGAATTTTTTTCCTAGCTTGTTGCAAAATTGTGCTTCAAACTGGGTTTTTTTGCCTTCTTTTGGATCAACAGCAAAAAACAAATGTGAGGTAGGCTGAACTTGATGGACGCAAGTCTCTTTTCAGCTATGTAACTATGTAACTATGTAACTGTGTTCCATCAATGCACTGTTTCTCATAAGAGAATTTGTCCTGCTAATGCAGAAAGTAAAGACCTTCGAAAAATGATCTTAAGGAGAAAGTGCCTCTAGTGGTTGTCTGTCTGACAGCCATTAGAGTCATGTTTTCTGAAAAATAAAAAATGGCAACACTATCCGAGATAAAGGTCAGGTTTAAGATGAAGTGATTTTGGTACTTAGAGTGTTTTCTTAGATAAGATAAGTAGGATGAACTTACCTCGCGACAGAAGCTGACAATATTTTCCCACAATTCCTTGGCCTCGCCTTCATCTGTTTGCCTGCGTTGTTCCACTCGAACACTCTCCCTGCGTCGGAGCATTCGTGCGCCTCGCATGCGGTGCTGTGTTAGGTATCGCTGAGCTGTGTGGCAGGCAGCGCAGTGTGTGGACCCTATTTCATTCAGCAGAGTGCAAGCCGGGCAGGCCCATTCTGTCCTGCGGGGTGCTGGTATGGGGAGGACTGTTGTGCTGGAAGGAGATGGCAGACCCTGTCCTCCACTTTGGCTAGCCTCAGCCTCACTCCCACGCACTGCTCCGCAGACCCGGCATCGGCTGGCACTGCCTACATTTCTCAGAGTACATTTCCCACAGGGCCAGCTGGTGTCGGAGCTTTGTGGCTCTGAAGATGCTGGAGAAGGTTCGGCAGGGGCCATCTCTTCGTCGAGGACACTCAAACGCTTAGCAGGAAGGCGGCTGGGAGCAGAAGGAGGTGGGGAAAGTGTGTTATCAGGGGCCACCTCCCTTCTGCTCCTAGGAACAGGAACATTGTGTGGTCCTGGAGAAAGTGGCAGTGCTGGCAGGGGTCGGGGAGAATCTAGTTCTCGGAGTGGTGAGGTGGCATTTTCATCAGATCCTTGGAAAGCAGCAGGCGGAGGTATGACCTCTGGAACTACCAATGCCTCTGGTGGTATTTTGGGCAGGGAGAGTTTGCGTGGCCCTCCACATGCTGAGCAAGAGCTGGACACAGGAGTGTTATGTAGGGTGCAGCGAGGACAACTCCATCCTGAAGATGTTACAGAAGGGATGATAGCAGCAGGTGTTTCCGCTGGCTCCAACTCTTCCGTGGGAGACATGGCCTCCTCTCGTGGTCCTCGAGCAACCCCATTGGAAACAGGAGGGGGTGGCAAGAATCCACATACCTGGCAGCCTGTAGGGGGCGGTGATGGGTTGGAGGGAGTGAGATTGCTGAAAGTGCAGCGGCTGCAGGACCACCGCTTTTCTGTGCTCAGCCGTAGGATGTGATTGAGGTCTGGGAGGTGACGTGGAGCTTCACAGATGGAGCAGTGCCGTTGCCCATGTGGATTAAGAAAGGTACAGCGGCAGCATGACCACTCCCTAGAAGAGGCAGCATCCATGGGGACCGGAAGCCTGGAAAACAAACAAATAAGGTGTGAATAATAGAATGAATAAGGGGGGGAAAAAAAGGATGAAAGTGGGTAAAGAGTGAAAAGCAGGAAACTGGAGAAAGAAAGCGGAGGGAGATAAAGGGAAGCAGAGGAGGACATGATACTGCAAGTTTGAGCAAAACTAACAAGAAGACAGCAAAGCAGACAGCAAGAGAAGCACGGACAGAAATGGAGATTAAAATTAACTTTCACCCAATATAAGAGCGGGACTTCACGTGTAGGCCAGGGAGGGCTAACCTTGACACTCCAGATATAAACCACATTTTATGTTTTACGTTACCTGGGCATCACTTTGAAACTTGTAACATCTGCAGGGAGTTAGCCATCAGTGCTATAATAGTAACACCAAATGTTTTTTTTTCTATATAACTGGTTCCAAATATACACCCTCCATTTAATACTGGGGGGTAGGTTGGCACCCAATAAATAGTAACACGTGCCCCTTCCCAACAATTCCAGTAACGTGATATAGAAACTGGAATGTAAAATAAAAAAATCTTTACAAATTACAAAAACAATTACGTTTGTCATTATCAACTAAAATTATTATTAAAGTTCACAAATTCTACAGTCACAGATGTGCTGGTTTTAGGGATCTTAAACTCCAATTGATTTTGTAACAATTTAATATATTTCGGAACCTGAGAGCTAGGGACTCCAAGGAAAAAGGAGCTCTGTTTGACGTGCATGCACAGGCACACACAGGCTTGCTGTAACTTGGGAGAGAAGGCAGGCGCACTCTAACAGAACACACTCGCCACTTCCATTAGCTCTGTGGAGCTAATGAAATCGGGAAGATAACCAACCTGGTGGAGTGACAGCCTTGGAGGTGTTTCTGCAATTATTTATAATTTCCAATCGAAACCAGCACTTCTATTAACTGCTCCTGACACATAAAGCACTTCAGCAATCTAAAGACTCAGAATAAACATTGGGGGTTTACTGAATAGTCACTAAATTGTAGCAAATTGAAAACTGAATTGCAAATCTAACTCAGCCAAACTGCTTGGCTACTTTAGCCTCCATTTTCCAATTTACGACAACTGGGGTCTAATGAATAAACACAAATGTATGTGGGCACATTCTACAAAACCCTGTAGATTGTAAGCTCATTTAAGCAGGGTTCTCATCAACCTGTTGTTCCTGTAACATTTTGTAATTGTCTCATTTAATGTTAAATTTGCCCCTTTTAGAATATTGTAAAGCGCTGGGGAATAGGTTAGCGCTATACAAATACCAAGAATGATAATAAGTAGGTTAATGCATAGTAATTGATGCCTTCCAGTGGTGATCAGTAAATCAAGTCTAGTCATGGCAACAGAAATTTGCATTTGGTATCGCATTTTATGCGTTCTTTGATAAATGCAAAATTTCACAAAATGTTTGTCATTCCAAAATTCTGTCCAGTGACAAGCAATATTTCAAGATACTGCAATTCTTTCAATGCACCACTGATATGAAGTTTTGTTTGCGTCCCAGCCTTCTGAATGTATGGGGTACACACACAATGATATTGGGAGTGTCAAATAGACAAATCATAACAATACAGGGGAGATATAACACCCAGTATTATTCTATAGACATAAATATGCAATACACACACACTCCCAAACACACACCAAACACCGAGTTAAGGAAATGTCTACAGATCTCTGTGAAACCTTCGAGGCTGACTGCCAGTTGAACATTAGCTGCCTAGTTACGGTAGGTAAACATAAAAAGAACAGCCATGAGGGTGGAATGAGAATTTCTACTTCGGCAAACATTTATCACCCAGATAAAAAAAAAAAAAAGGGAGCAGCTCGGGTTTGCGGTGCTTACAAAGTGACATGGTAAATGTGGCATCACACGACTTGGGTGCGACCCAAGAATTTAACCCCACCCCCGCAAAGAACTTTTTAATTGGCCTTCTAGTGAGATATGATATTGCCAAAATGTCTGCATGTGTTTTAATGAATCAGCAGTGCTGTTTATTTGTACCTACTAGTTACTATTCTGTCTGACCGGATTTCACCTCGTTCTGCAATGTGCATCGTGGGCATACAAATTAAAGAGGCCTTAAAGGGACACTCCACTGCCCAAATACAAAATAAATAAAAATCACTGGTTAGTAGATGTACCACGAATGGAAACTTGTATGCATTTTATTATGCATTTTTCATTGGAATGATCTAAAAACAGCTTGCAAAAACTGCAGATCTCTTGTCTGCAGCCTTTATAACCCTTCTAACCCCACCTAGACATCATGTGTCTGTCCAATCACATACTTCCCAATGCAGCCCAATGAGAAGTCTTTGCAAAGCAGGTGCTCTGGGCAATTGCTGCCTCTTGAATTTAGCTTCACTAAACCAACCAAACCAGGAAGTAACAGCACTGAAGTCTGATTGAAAAGCCAGGGGGGTGTAACCAGTATAATTTATAAAAATGTACATTTCTATTGAAATCTGCACTTTTTCCAAAACACTTCACACAAAAAGCTAAAGTGGTTTAGTGGTCTGTAGTGCCGTTTTAAAGTACTGATTCAGTAGCCATGGTGCTCTGCATCCTTTATATTTTTAAGTAGAGCACAGGAATCACAGTACCTGGAAATGAGTCCTTTAGGTGGCAGAGGATGGCTCAACACATAAGACGCGCTGGGCAGACCTCTGGCACCCAAAAAGGTTAATTATGTGTGTGTTCAAAAGTCATTTTAACATGCCAGCACAGTTACTAGCCTGTGCTCCTAAAGGGGAACAGATGTCTCTGCCACGCTACTGTCATAGCTGTGTCAGCTGTAGCCGGCCCGTGACAGGAACGCACCTGTCGAATGTGTGTTTGGGGCTTTAGTATAACTTTCTTCTAACGTAAGCAAATTTAGAGCTCAGTGTAAGCAGATCTGATCTCAGGAGATTACAGGCTGGTGAGAGACGGGTGAGTGAGAGAGGGTTAAACCCCAGCCAGTAGCTCCGCTCCCAAGTAGTTTTTCCTCTCTCTGCTACAGTTGCAGTCTAATCATATTTCTGGAGCAGTGGGCTTACCTACAGAACAGGCAGTAGGCACTGGCCCCTGGGGGCAAATATTCCAGAGAAACAATGAAACTGGCACACAATTCTGTTACGCCCTTCCCTTTCAATGTCAGCTCTAGTTTGAATTAGCAGCTCTTTGCCACAGGAAGGCTCATAATATAAAGAAATATATAATGAATATCTATATAAATTGCAGTACTTATATATATATAACAAGTGTGGATTGCAAAATTTCCGTTATCTTAGCAAAACTGGGCAAAATCAATGACACTGCTGGGATAGGAAGACTGTTAGAAAGTATTTTACACAGGAATACGGTCCTGGGACCAAGTACAAAAAAAGAGAAAATAATTCCACTTGCTACTGAAAACCTTAAAAAACAAACAGAATACAGTCAGGGCATGGAGATCTATCACTTAACTTCATTATTATAGTAGATTGCAGTGGTTCCGTCGTGGAATGGGAAGTATAAATGGCATCCTCTCACACAAAAACAAGAAAATAAAGTATTGATTGAGAAAGACTTCCTATAGCTAAAAACAATGATCTGTATTGCTCCTTGACCAGTCACACTGTCAATAGTTTACAAACCAACTATTTACACACACAGCTGCCCTGTGAGTTATCACAGTAACTACCATGTCCAGGACAATCCAGGATAAACATATATTACATGGGGTGCTAGCAGTCTCTTCCCAGACACCTTTTAGCATGACATCCCACCAACCTTAGTCCTCACATTACCAGGGCAGTGTCAACACACACCGTCGTATAGATGAGTTAAGGAAATGGAGCAAATGAGGGTGCTAACGTGTTAACATCTACAAACATACTGGTTAATTTGAACAAAGTAAAAAATAAAATAAAAAAAAACACTACACATATCAATCAAACCAGCGCAGGGTTAATAGGGACACAATGTAACGGAAAACAGAACTATTTGATTTGCATGAGAACTTGCAGAGGTACTGAGCACAGACACAGCAGCAAAGCCTGAACACAGCAACTTTCTTACCTGTGTATTCTGTACAAAGGGAGAATGGTGCCTGGCCATAGAGTTCCCGGGGGAACAGTCCCATGCCAGCCTGGCAGGCTGTGCCCAGAGTATGCAGTACCCACGAAGCCATGGTTTGACTGTCCCTCTGCTGCCAGGGAAGATGCCGAGCTCCCCATGTGTGCCACCCAAGCCTGATCTCACACTGCTTACTCTGGGCTAGATCCAGGGGCGCCCAGAGAAACTGGAGGGCAATGGCATAGAGAGAGGGTGGCAGTGATCAAAACACAGAGAGAGAGAGAGAGAGAGAGAGAGAAAGAGTGGGAGGAAAAAAGGGGGAGAGATGTGGTGTGATTAACAAGGAGGAAAAAGAAGACAGGTGAGAGACAGCTGTGATTAGGAAGGGAGTGAGAGACAGAGAGAGAGCGAGGAGGTACAAAGATGACGTATTGATGGCAGAACACAGTGAGAGGGTCAGAGAGATAATCAGAGTGACAGTCACTGATCAGAAGTAAAAGAAAACAGATTTATACAAAGGGGGTAAAGTGACAAATTGCAACAAGAAATGGAAAAAACAAACAAAAAACACTGAAAATGGATTCCCAAAAGTACAGAAACTGTGTTCCTATGCACAGCACACCGATCCGTGTCCTCCAGGATGAGTGACACTAATATAAAAGATGTGCTTTCTATGAGTAATAGCAGGAAACCATAATACAGAACTTGTCCTGCAGCATTCACATGCAATTATCTGACTTGTAAAATTGGCATGTCACATCTGTAGAACTACATACAGAGTGCCGTCACCTGCATCCCTGTCCCACTGTCCTGACACCCTGTCTGCAAAAAGGTGACAATAACACGACACTTGCAGGAGAAGAATAGACACACTCTTATTGTATTAGAGCACAAAGGCAGGGCAGTCCATTGCAAAAGGGTTATAAATAAGGCCCTGTTATGACTTGTATGTGAAAGGTTTGTGGAGTGTTGTTAATAAATGACACTGTAAATGTGATAGCCTGTTTATACACTAACCACGACACTAGCTGGCCTGCCTTATCTAGTAAGCAATGTGGGCGAAAGAGATACGGGGAAATGGGCTGGGAGCAACGTATAGACATTAGTTTTGACTGGAGATGAATTGCAAAGGCTAGGAGGGAGCGAAAAAAGGCTGGAGAGTAAGAGGATTTGACGGGTTGGTGAGGAAATCTTGAGGTATATTGAAATTTTAGACAGATGTTGAGAAAATGCTGTAAAGGGATGGGGAGAATAATTGTTAAAAAGGTCAAGGGCAGCGGTGGAGAAGAAAATGGATTAAATAGCCCGGAAAAGTGAGAATAACAGCAAAATGTGGTAATGGGGTAGAAGAATAAGATGACGAGAATAGGCAGGAATTGCAACTGACATGGAGGTGAGATTTGAGAACACAGGGCATTTAAGCACCAAAATGCATCTGTGGATGTGTAACTCCACTTCCGGCAGTGTCATTGGGGTGTCATCGGAACTTGAGTTACAGGCTGACAGTAGGTCCACATTCCTACTCCTCAAGGTGGCCAGGTCAATGTTCTATCCTCTTGGCCTGAGATGCTGCAAATTCTGCAGGAATGTGCCTCATCCAGTTTGCCAGCAAGCAATATTCATAGCATACATGACAAATCAAGAAACAGTTCACCTGGATAGGGTCATCCTTTCCTTACTACCTCAGAAGTTCAAAAGTCTGCTATGATGGACACAAGACACCGTTTACAGTTAAATCTCTTGATGTGACGTGTAGACCTTTTTTCTTCATCATTCTTAGAATTTTGACAGAATTGATGTATGGAACCTGGATCTCCAACAGGTTGTGTTTAAGTGATAGCCACAAAAAATATAAAAATGCTGTGGTCGAAGATATATATACATTGGCCCATCATCCAAAGTTCAAGTGGCGCTATCATTACTGGTTATAAAACCCAAGTTCAAATCCATTTGTGAAACTCAAACACTACACTTGGGAGGAATCTTGTCCACTTTATGACTCATTTAATCAGATCTAGATAAGATAAGGCCTAATTCCACTGAATACTAAATGCTGAAATCCAAACTCAAAGAGTAGCTGATTATGGCCAGGCTCATAAACTGGCTTGAGGGAAACACAGAACTTGTATTGTAGAATATTCTACAGGCATAATGTGAAGAGCCTTACAAAAACAGAAACCTTTCTCTAGATGATTTAGGACACATGTCCGAAGGATGCTGCCTTATTTAACAGTGGCAGTACTAAAGAGAGATTAGTCAGGAATCAGGTTTTTCTTTGGTTTAGAAAAACATCGCCTGAGAGGGGATATGATAACATTATACAAATATATCCGGGGCCAATTCAAACCATTGTGTGGAAATCTATTCACAAACTGGATTTTACATAGGACACGAGGTCATGCATTTAGACTGGAAGAAAGAGGATTTTGTCTAAGGCAAAGAAAATGTTTTTTTACAGTAAGAACAATAAGGATATGGAATTCTCTGCCTGAAGAAGTTGTTTTATCAGAGTCCATACAGATGTTCAAACAGCTACTAGATGCATACTTGCAAAAACATAATATTCAATTATATAATTTTTCAATGTAGGGTAATAGCTTCTTGATCCAAGGATAAATCTGACTGCCATTCTGGGGTCTAGAAGGAATTTTTTGCAAAACTGGAGGTGCTTCAAACTGGGTTTTTTTTTTTTTGCCCTTCTTTTGGATCAACAGCAAAAAACAAATGTGATGAAGGCTGAACTTGATGGATCCAGGTCTTTTTTCAGCTATGTAACTATGAAAAGTAGCCGAACTGCAAGAAAAGGTGACTTTGAGAGTTTTTACAGTTTCGCTACTTTGACCTTAAAAATGTGAAATTCACGTAGAATTCTCTACAATTTCACTCACTTTAGTAAATAAGCCTGTCAGGTTGTCTTCCCAGATAGACTCCTGTGCTAGGCAATCAGTTTGAAAAAGTCAAAGATGATGAGTGCAATAGACAGCGGGGTGATTATTGGCAAACCTTAAGCACTCCAGATCTTCCTTCTAAAAGGCACCTAAACAATTAATGTACAAACCATATAGAATAGGCAGTGAGACTGAGAGGCCATCACAATATCGGCATCTCTTTATTGAGGAGAAAATAGTGGGGTACTTCAGGTCTTCGGGATGACTAGTTGTGTATCCAAACTCCTAGCTGGATAGAACGTCTGCTTTAGCAGTCTGCCATGATACATCACAAGGAAATTTTTCCATGAAACCAGGGGGCTGCACTCGCCTGGACTTGCATAAATGGGGTGCTGCTGGGGGCCAATTTATACAATAGACAAGATCCAGCGCACTCACTTATCCACTAAACAGCAACTTTAATGTTGACAGATTTTATAATGTGTTTTTAAAAACTAACTAATAAAATCTGTCCACATTGAAGTTGCTGTTTAGTGGATAAGTGAGTGCGCTGGATTTTGTGTAAGGAATTTTTCCCAGGCTTTCCAAATTTGCTCTTGCCAAAACCTGTATTCATTGGACCAGGGATTCTAGTTACTCTCTGTGGGAAGATTAGGTTTTCTCAGACTGACCATAAGTCCTAAATAAAAAGAACTGCGTGCACCACTGACTGTTGACGGTACTCTCTGTAATGCATCCAAGTTGGAATATTCCAAAGTAAAGCTCTTAATAGCTGTGTGTTAGCCCACTCTATCTTTACTGATCTTCTGGTGCAGAGGAGAGAACCTGAGGCACCTCTTCTTCTGTACCAAAAAAAGGCAAAAAGAGATTCCAAAATTCTGCTATAATCTAAGATGTGTAACACCTTACAAGCACGCCGGTATCTCTAGGAGGACTTCCCAATTCACAGGTTAAAGTTCGAAAAGTAAAATCTAAAATCTTCAGGATTAACCGTTTTTCCTATAAATGGATATTTTGAGATAGATGCTTGTCTTTGGGCACATTCATTTAATAAGGAACAAATTTTTTTCCAGAATAATAGAAGTTCCTGTTTGCCTTCTTAATATTAACATATCTTCATAACACACGGAACACGGAAAGGTCAATGTCATAAACACAGCCACAACACTACTAATCACACACAACACCACTCACACAACACTTCACCTCACCTTACCTAAAATGAAGACAACAACCATACCCGAACTAGAGTCAACGGTCGAACACAACCAACAAGACAGAATAGGACCCGTCTTACCGGGGTTGACGCAGCACCAAATATACATGGGAGAGGCCTTAGGCCCGAAATATAGGCAAATGCATGAAATCAGTCCAGTGAAAAGGTGACAAACTGCATAACACCTACAGAAGTGGAAAGAGGTCACGTGGAAATCTACATGCAGAGGCCTCAGGCTAAAACAATTAGAGAGACACACAAGCTACCCATGAGAACCTCACGAGAACCCATGTCACACAAACGTAATGCTCATGATCTTGATATGTCGGTGACCTGCATGTCCCACCTGCTATACCCTACTGTTATATGTTTCTACTGTCAAAATCTTCAATAAAAACAGATTTACAAAAAAAACAAAAACATATCTTGATAGTAATTAGGGTTTGAGACCTCATTAGAAAGAAATATCCAAGCCACATACCATAATCAAAGATTACAAAAAACACAAAGTTCTTATGTATAACAAGGAACAACATGGAAATATTATTTTGCTAGCTGATCCTCATGTGTTTTAAAGGCATGCAACAGCTTGTTAAGTGTTTTTGGCGAACAATACAAAGATTAGAAGTTAGAATGACTAATATCTTGCTGTGTTAATGTTTGACTCTCTGAGGCTCATCAGTTGAAGGCTCTAGTGTCTATGGCTGGAAATCTCTATCCAACATCAAAACAAAATCTTACCCTTAGATTTAAAGGGCTACTCCAAGCACCATTACCACTTCAGAGATTTGAAGGGGTTATGGTGCCTCTTCGAAACACTGCACATACAGAGATTAACGCCTCTACTGCTGGAGGTGTAACTCCACTTCCGGCAGTGTCACTGGGGTGTCATCGGAACTAGAGTTACAGGCTGACAAATGTCAATTCTGTGCATATTCCTATGCAGAGAATTGCAATCATTGGCTGAGAGGGGTCAGCTGATGCTCTCAGCCAACGAATGGATGGAAGATTGATATCGGGCTCTGTAGACAGATGCACGTCATAGTCAGTCTTTTTTTTTTTTTTTTTTTAATTCTTTATTTTTGCAGTGCGTATAGTGGTTACAGGCATACATATGGTACCCCAACGGCATTCCATATGTTAATATCTAGGCATTAGTTACAGCGGGGGGTAGATAGACCATGCACTTTTTTTTTTTTTTTTTGTTACGTAAAGATAACAAGCTAATAGGTGTCACTTTATGGTATAACATGCTTGGTTAAAATTGCGTTTAACTTCAACTAATTGCACATCAGATTGTAGTAATATTGCCGTGACAGTAATCTAAAACAATTTAAGACATAGAGGTTGCTTGACAAATTAATCCAGAAGGGCATCCAAATGCAGCTCTACCAGACGGTACATAGTTGTAGAAATCAACAGTACATACAATTTAACATGAGTATAGTAGACGCTTTTCATTCCCTGAGTCTAGTAGGGCACTTTGCTTAGTAAGGTATGCATTCTGGAATATCATTCTATGTGGCATTCTTACTGGTTCTGCATAGGCCTATACTAGGATACAGGCAACAAGCTAGGCACATAGTAGTGAATAGGCTGTGCTAGAGTTACAGGCTATTCTGGCGTGTCACATTTTTAAATATTAGAGGATTAGCTGTCTAGACAACAGAGTAAATTTTAAAGTAGGTAAATTTATGCAACATAGTGAGCATGTCAATGGGTTACATATGCACGGATTAAACCATCAAAAATGCGTGAGTGTTTAATTTATTTTTACCCCCCCAGGCCCACTTCAGCAAGATGAAAGTCCTTGGCTGTGTGGCTTGAGACCCGTCCATGCAGTACAAAGGCACAGGAACCCGGGAACCGCCGTGTCAGTTGCAGTCCAGCCGAGTGTCAGTGTGCTAGTCCCCCTGTGGTGTGCCTGCGGTGCAATCCAGCGCCTGCCTCGGGCAGGAGACAGCTCCCCGCCGCCATGTTGTTTTCCAGTGCGATCTTGTGGTCGCGTGCTGTCGGTCGCGTGTTCCCGCTTCTGCGCGGCTGTCCGAGAGGGTCAGCGTATGTGGCTCCGTCGCCGAGGCTCCGTCTCTCACCGTGAGTGTGCCTGGCTGTGTGCGGGTGGTCGCTTGCAGGCGCCGGTCTCCACCCGCTGTTTGTGATGATGCCTGCGGAGGTACAAAGCGGCTCCTGCTTCTCCACCACGGTTCAGCTTGTCCCAGGGTGCCTGCCTGTTTCTTTGCTTCCCATGTTGGCTTGCCGGCGGCGTACAGTGGGGACGTGTTTCTTACTTCATGCTTGGGTAGCTCGCCATGTGGTCTCCGCCATTTTGGTTGCGGACTCTGCGTTTTGGGGTAGCTTTGTAGCAGCCTGGAGTGCTGGTTCATCCGCATGTCGGCAGGCCCAGGGTGGGGACCGGGATCACCTCCGCCGGTCCAAAGGGGGGGGGAAACAGGGCCGGACCCCCCTAGCCTCATGCTTCGTCTTCACCGCTGGTGGGCAGGATAGCTGGGCAGCGGCCGTCCACCCCGCTCACCGCCCAAGCGGTCCCCATCGTGGGTGACGGGGAGAGCGCCCCTCCGAGGGACTAGAACTTTGCAGCAGGCCTCTCCTCGTAACCAGGGTGGCTTCTTGCACTGGGTAGCTGTTGTCAGTCGTTAGGTAAGTGTAAAGTCGAGTTTTAGTGTTAAAACTGGGAGAGATTGCAGGAGCTGCACGATCGTGCGACCGCTCAGCATGGCGGTCCGGCCCCGCCCCCGACGTCATAGTCAGTCTTAAAGAAGACCAGGTGCCCGGTAGGACCAGGGAAAAGGGCAAACTGTTGCAAAACGCTTTGCCCCACTACTGGGAAACAGGGCCAGGGTACTAATAGAATCATAACCAGTATAGCGGGCGGTTGTGGTTACGATGCTTGAAATAACCCTTTAAGTAAATTTCCAAATAAACTAATATGCAATATCCATATATATATCCACAGATGTTACGAGGAAAAATATCCGAATGAACAGTGCCTGGAGTTTGTTTTTTGGAAAAAGTACCCCAGCTCTGAGACAAGGCACACAGTTTGTATAAACAACCTAGAGGGGGTGAGCTAATAGAAGCTTAGAATATTGATAAAACACAAACAGAGCATTATTTGGAGAGATCAGGGAGAAAGACCGCACAGGATTTCACATGAGACAACTCTCTACCTGCTCTTTGGGAGTTTGAGAAATTACTGAATGACTAAGAACTCACTGGAATTCCTTTGCAGTGCTACAAAAGCTGTGGCCTTCACGCCACAAACAGGATATCACAATGAGAGATCTAGCATTTGAAAACACATCCAGCCTCGCACACATCCTGTAACAATATCTGGAAGCTTATTCATCCATACAATGTTCAAGAGGTATTATATATACATACACAATGCGTTTGCCAGAGAGAGACATACACCATACAAGAGGTGAGGTGCAACACACAGGATACATTATATACCCAGTGGGGAATATATCATAGAAGTAAAACTTACAGCATACAATATTAAGTGCACAAAACGCATATAATGAGTCTGACGCCAACCAGGCTATAAAAGCTGCTGAATCTCAATATGCAGGGCCTTCGATGCTGCTCGAGGGTCTACACCAGGGGTAGGCAACCTACGGCACTAGTGCCATGCACGGCACTCAAGGCTGCTAGAGCCAAACAGGCTCTGGCCTATCAGGAGTGCGAGTGAAACTTCAGATTTCTGCTAATACGAAAAGCTGTTGAAGGACAGTCCTCAATTTATGTATTGCACCACATAGAGGGGATCTCAGATCACTTCCAACCAGCACTTGTGAATGAGAATCCACATTGTAATAGAGCACCCCACAGCTGTTGTTGCAGCTCCTGTCCTTGAGCTGTACCTGGCCAGCCTGGTCTCCACTGGAACACAGGGAAGCCACCCGCACTGTTAGATATACACAGATATGCAGAATAACCCTCCCCTCATACAAATAATAATACGAACAGCCCATACACAAACACAAAACGCAATTCGCACAAACTCAACACCACTGACAATCAACATGCATGCACACAACCCCACATGCAGCCTCTCACATGCAATACCCCAAACAGCCCCTCACATACACACACTACCAAACATACAATGTGACATATCCATCCACACAATTCTACAAGCAGCCCCCATGCACAGCCCACATTCATAGGTTTATTTACACAATGCCACAAACTACTCATCAACATATACAATATAATAGCTCATACATGCACAAATACAATGATACAAAGCAACTGCAGTATAAATAACAAGCACAATACGGCAACATACACACCTCAATTTAAAAAAATAGGACCGGCATGCTATGGGCCATAATCTTATTTCGGCACAGTGCTGCTAAAAGGTTGCCTACCCCTGGTCTATTCTGACAGTAGCAAAGAATGTTGCCAGCCTGTTAAATACTTTTAAATTCTACAAAAACATCACATCAGGTTTTGGTCCATTTAACAAAGCTACAGTATGGGTAAATAAGACAGAAAACCTGCCTCCCTTACCGAAGGGAGGCTGGTGGGATAACGGAGCCATTTAAGGCTTATTTAACTCTTTCCATGTCAGAGACACGCAGTGCTCTGAATATAGAACCGGTTTTCAGTTTACCATGTTCCCAGCGACGCGATGAATCACAGTTTGGCAGGAATACAGCGAATTTCCTAAAATATCACCAAGTAAAACAGTGAAGGCTAATACTGGAGCTCAAGATATTTAGGAACTATATTTCCCTTGAAATACAAGACGTTTCACTCTCTCTGCTCTGCATCTGTAGACAGTTTGCACACCTACCTCTCACCTATAGAACCTCTCCAGGGATATGCAATGTCCTGCTGTATTTCACAGACCAGTCTGCAGTTCTATGCAGTGGATATCAACACCTGGTCATTTATAATACAGGTCAAACTTACAGTAGTCACCAGCTGTTTTACCAACAGAAATATGAACATTCTTTAAAGGGACACTATAGTCACCTAAACAACTTCAGCTTAACCCCTTAAGGACACAGCTTCAGAAGCTTGACTTACGCTTAATGACACAAGCAATTTTTGCATTTTCTTGCTGTTTGCGTTCAACTGCAATTTGCATCTCTCTCATTTATTGCACCGACACATATTATATACTGTTTTTTAAAGGACAGAAAGGGCTTTAATTTGATATAACATATATATATATAAATGCTTACTTATTATAAAAAAAATACAGAAAAATGCAAAAAAAATGAAAAATATTGTTTTTTTTTACAGTTTTTGCAATAATAATGTGTGCATAATTAGTGCAGGTTAAGGAAAGTAATTAAAAATAAATTTATTTATTTGTTCTGATTTACAGAATATATAATGTGTCTGGGATTTTAAGTTTTTTTGGTAGTTACAGGTCACAAAGCACAAGGAGTAAAATAAAATTTTAATGTGGAGCGATTTTAGAATTTGGTATGTTTGTCTTGTAAGCTTAATAGCCATAAAAGAAAACAAAATTGCCACACAAAAGTATATATTTATATAAAGTAGACATCACGGGCTATTTACCTAAGGTTGTTTTGACACTTTCTACGTAGCCATATTACCGCCAACCTCTGCTAAATATTGGAGTAAAATTGTGTTCTTTTTGGTTTTTGGCACACAAACTTATAACAGAGAAATTCTCGTGTATATTTTGTAAAGTTGGTGTGTGCTATTCCTGTACAAAGTTTTATTTTGTGTTCAGTTACATCTGCTGAGTAAAATGACACCCCCATTGTATGTCTTTTGCACTATTTCGTGAAGTTACAGTGCCATACAGGATACCTGTCCTTTTCAGTATTCACAGTAGAATTTTGAGAGATGAATTTAATGAGCCTTAGCTTCCATTTGGGGTATTATAACAGTTTGACTGTTCAAAAAACCCCCACAAAGGCCTACCATTTGTAAAAGTAGACACTCCAGGGTATCTTATAAGGTGCATATTGTGCCTTAACATGCCCCCATTTTTTCACCAATATATGCCAAAGTATGTGGTAAAAAAAATTTTTGTGCATTTTTTACATACGGATTGCATTTTTGCTGGGCGTTTTGTATATTTCATATGTGCCACTAAGTTCAAACCCCCAAATTATGCTCAGCTAAGTCTTCTGAGTAAAATGACACCCCATATGAATGTCTTTGGCACTATTTCGTGAAGCTACAGTGCCATATAGGAGACCTGTCCTTTACAGTATTCACAGTAGAATTTTGAGAGATGGATTTAATGAGCCTTAGCTTCCATTTGGGGTATTATAACAGTTTGACTGTTCAAAAACCCCCACAAAGGCCTACCATTTGTAAAAGTAGACACTCCAGGGTATCTCATAAGGTGCATATTGTGCCTTAACATACCCCCATTTTTTCACCAATATATGCCAAAGTATGTGGTAAAAAATTATTTTGTGCATTTTTTACATACGGATTGCATTTTTGCTGGGCGTTTTGTATATTTCATATGTGCCACTAAGTTCAAACCTCCCAAATTATGCTCAGCTAAGTCTTTTGAGTAAAAATACACCCCCAATGAATGTCTTTGTCACTATTTTGTGAAGCTACAGTGCCATATAGGAGACCAAGCCATATCCGTTTTTACCAAACTTTGAATTTTGACGCTGGGCCTATGTGCAATTTCCAAGCATCTTCGCAGGTTTTAAATTCAATCTACCCCACAAAGGCCTACCATTTCTTAAAGTAGACACCCCAGGGTGTTTCAAAAGGTATAGTTTGAACCTTAGCGTGGGATCATTTTTCCGCTAGCTTGTACCAGATGTAGTGGTAATAAGCGTTTTTTCTGCCTTTTTGACATACAAAGTGAGTTTGCACAGTATATTTTGCAAACCTTATGTGTGCTACGACTGTATAATACTTCATATGTTGCTCAGCTATGTCGGCTGAGTACAGCAATACCCCCGTATGTACCTTTGCCAGGTATGTGTGGACATCGGAGGGGCACATTTGGGACACAGCCATTCCAGTTTTTTTCAAACTTTGAATTTTTATGCTGTGCCTATGTCCCATTTTAGAGTATTTTACCAGGCTATATAATCCAAATTCCCCATAAAGCCATACCATTTCTTAAAGAAGACATCCCAGGGTATTTCAAAAAGGCATATTTTGAACCTCAGCGTGGGATCATTTTTCCGCTAGCTTGTACCAAGTGTAGTGGTAATAAGCATTTTTCTGCCTTTTTGACATACAAAGTGAGTTTGCGCAGCATATTTTGCAAACCTTATGTGTACTATGACTGTATAATACTTCATATGTTGCTCAGCTATGTCGGCTGAGTACAGCAATACCCCCGTATGTACCTTTGCCAGGTATATGTGGATGTTGAAGGGGCGCATTTGAGACGCAGCCATTCAGTTTTTTTCTAACTTTGAAGTTTTACGCTGTGTCCATGTTCCAATTTGGAATAGTTTAGACGGTTGGTTATTGAAACTTCCCCACAAACACATACTATTTATTAAAGAATACACCCTGGGGTAATTCAAAAGGCATATTTTGAACCTTGGCGTGGGATAATTTTTTCTCTAGTTTGTTCCAGGTGTAGTGGTAATGAGCGTTTTTAAAATGTATTTTTTTACTTTTTATAACTTTTTTACTTTTAAAAACTAGTTTTTAAACTTTTGTTTTGCTTATAAATTTTTTTAAACTTTCCTAAACTTTCTTAAAACTTTTTTACAGATTTAACATTTTTCTAAGCTATTTTTTTTTACTGTTAACCCCTAACTAGCAGTACGCAGCACTAACAGTAAATTCCCCATTTTCCCATAACTCCCACCCACCCCAGCTAGCAAAATATATAGTTATAAAATATTTAAATTAATTAATTAAATAAATTGAACCCCTGAGGGTTAAAAAAAATAAATAAAAGTTAATCCTCAGGGGTTAAAAAAAATTAGATCACAGTATAATACTGTGATCTCTATTTGATCGCTGTAGGCAGTGATCGACTGGCAGGGAAGGGGTTAATTTTTATTTGGACTAGGTAAAGTGTGTTTTTTTGTTTTTATTACTTAAATGTTATTAAAACATTTTTTTAAGCTTAATTTTTAACTTTTTAAAGTTTCTTTTAAAACTTTTTTTTAACGTTAACCCCTAGTTAGCCTAACGCCAAATCCCCCAATTCCCCACTAACTTCCACCTACCCCAGCTATCTAAATATATAATTTAAAAATAATTTAATTAATTAATTTAATTAATTTAACCCCTGAGGGTTAAAAAAAAAAGAATTAACCCTCAGGGGTTAAAAAAAAAAATCAGATCATAGTAAAATGTAATCCCTGCCAATTGATCACTGTAGTCAGTGAACAATTGGCAGGGAAGGGGTTAATTTTTTATTAAAATGGGTAAGGGGGGGGACACTTTAAATAAACTTTATTTTTTTAAACAGCAGGGGGCAGGATCAGCACTGATCCGGCTCCCTGCACTTCACACAGAACCCGGAAGTGCAGGGAGCCGGTAGGTAAGTATTCAGAGCACATGTGCTCGCTCCGACTTGTGGTCAGAGCGAGCACATGTGCTGGGCAGCTTGACCGGGTGCTCCCGGTATGCCTCCAATGCAGAGGCATACCGGGAGCACCATTAACCCCGCGATCGCCGCGATAGCGGCGATCCGGGGTTAATTTTACCGCGTGACGGACGAGGTCCGTCACCCGTCGTTAAGGGTCTCCCCTGTGTGACGGACCTCGTCCGTCACCCGTCCTGAAGGGGTTAATGAGGTTGTTCAGGTGAGAACTACAGCCCTGCAGCCTTTCTCATGTAAACACTGTATTTTCTGAGAAAATACAGTGTTTACATTGAAACCTAGGAACACCTCCAGTTGCAGTCATTCAGAGTGAACCAGAGGGACTTCGGAGTTGAAGCCTCCATTCACTCGGATCTGCTGTAAGCTGAGCACAGGGCAGCACTGTGCACAGCATCCTGTGATTCAGTAACTCCTCCCTCTGCATGCAGACACTGAACTTTCCTCATAGAGCTTCATTGATTCAATTCATCTCTATGAGGAGATGCTGATTGGCCAGGGCTGTGTTTGAATCATGCTGGCTCTGCCCCTGATCTGCCTCCTTGTCAGTCTCAGCCAATCCTATGGGGAAGCACTGTGATTGGATCAGGCTACCACATGTCAGCAGACTGCTTGTTTTTCTGAGTCTAACAGCATGCAGATTTACAGCTTCAGGCTTGAATACAGTAAGATTTTTACTATATTTATGGAGGCATGAGGGGCCCAGGGGGGCTAGATGGTGGTGTTAACACTATAGGATCAGGAATACATGTTTGTGTTCCTGACCCTATAGTGATCCTTTAAGTCTAATGTATAAACAGTGTTTCTATGGAAAACTGGAGGCATGTTGAAGAATGATTTTCTTTTTCTTAGAACGCTTCCTATTAACAACACCCATCACTGTGACAGCTGACGCCATATGCGTTTCTCAATACGGCATGACGCATGCCTATGGCTATTCTGTGAGTGACTGTATACTTGAAGAGCTGGCTTGAGAGGAGCCAATTAACACTTGTTCCTATATGCAAAATGTTTCTTAGTAAAATTCCTTACATGTATCATATACCCAATGTAGGTAGCGGCAGAATATTCTGTCGCTTTATAAAATAAAAACAGATGGTCATGGCAGGTAAGAATTTGCTTGGTCCATCTCCCTCCCCTTAATAAAATGTTACACTGAATTTCCCTTGGTTTTCAGAATAAGGCTTAATTTAAAGAGCAATTTAAGTACCATAATCACAACAGTTCGTACTAGTCATTATGGAGTAAATATTGTCCTGGGTCTTCCCACTTTGTGTCAAGCTGTTTTTGAGCGGTTAGCTAAAGGGAGAGCTCGGACGCCTGTCTAAGGCTTGTCCCCTCTCCTAGGGTTCTACAAAAGTGGACTTTCAAATTACATCTCCAGCTTTAGAGAGCAATGACTGGCTAAGAGTGCTGGGAGTGGCAATGGGACTATACTGGCTGTTGCTGTACTTTGATGTGTCACTGCTTTCCAATGGGAGCGCATTTTCTATCTTTAAAGGGACACTATAGTCACTCAGATCACTTTAGCTCAATGAAGTGGTCTGGGTGCCAGGTCCCTCGGGTTTTAACCCTTCAGATGCAAACATAGCAGTTTCAGAGAAACTGCTATGTTTACATTTGGGGTTAAGTCAGCCTCTAGTGGCTGTCTTCTGGACAGCCACTAGAGGCGCATCTGCGACGCTGGAGGCATATTATGAGAAATGCTTTCCTATGAACATTTTGAATGCGCGCGGCACTTGCCGCGCATCCGGCTCCTGTGACGTTGGACGGGTGAACTGACGTCGGAGTGGGAGGAGAGGTCACCTGCGCCGAGGGAGCCCGGCGCTGGAATAAGGTAAGCTGCTGAAGGGGAGGGGGACCCTGAGGGCACTATAGTGTCAGGAAAACCGCTTTGTTTTCCTGACACTATAGTAATCCTTTAATAAAATAGATTACTTGTATACAATCAGGCCATGCAAGCACTTCTTCAACCCTATTTCTGAGTTTAAATGCTTGAATACGGTCTGTCTCACCTGCTATACCCATGAGCAGAGCCACTTTAGGAGTGGAATTGACACAATAAGACAAAGGTCGTACCATAAAGCAATCACCATGGAAACCAATAGGAAAATCACGCAGATGGCACCGCTTTTAAAACTTTTATAATACAGAATTGCTTATTCTACAGGGTTACTCCCCATTGTTTGAATTTTCAGGAACTGTCAGTCTTTGATTAAATAGTTTCCTTTACAAATGCAGCGATTTCTCTTTCTGGTGAAAATGCTTAAAGAACCACTGAGTTACCCGAAACATTATAGCATACTGAAAACAAAAGTTTATTTCTAATGCCTGTCCGCCTCTCTTCTCCCCCCATGTTGGTAAAGTTAACCCTGGTAGCCCTTTAAACATTTATTTCTTGGCAGTGCTGAAGTCCCTCTGCGCTGCTTCTGTCTCCGCCTCGTCTGATGTTGGTAATGGAGGGAACCAACTGTGCATACTTGTCGACTGCTGCATGCCATTAGGCATTTTCCATAGGAACCCATTGGTTCAGTCTTCTCCTATGTGGGATTTCAACACGCTGGATGTCATAGTGCAAAGCGTGAGGACCTCCAGCGTCGTTTCACAGAGTCAAACTTTGTGAATCTCCAGGAAGCGCATTTAGTGGCAGTTTCACATTTAAGGATTAACGGGACAGGAACACTGCACCCAGACCACTTCAATTAGATTGAGAGATGGTCTGGGTGTCTATAGTGTCCCTTTATGAATTTAACTCCTTACGATAAGACAGTGGCAGGACTTCCTAGCACCATAATAAGTTCCCTGCGATGAAGTTGCCATTGTGCATGGAGTGTCCCTTTAATTTCTTCAAATGCATATAAAGCCTTAATGTGTTTTAACGATCTTGGCATGTCTCCATAGAAGACATGCTAAGGTGATGAAGGCTTTCCCGGTCGCTTTTGTAAGTAAAACCTTGCACCGTATTACTGACTCTTCTTTGAATGCTCACTAAATTATTAATTCCCCTTTAAAGCTATTGTCTCCAGACTTGGACACAGTATCCCAAGGGAGATTTCACAAGTGGTCAATAGAGCCATAAGTACATTTTATCTACTGCTGATGTCTTTTCCTACACATCCAAGTATCCTACTGGCTCTTACTACCGTAATTCAGCAAACCACAATATTCAATCTGTGTTCTCTCTCTTTAACAAAAAAATTAAACGTATGCTTTCATACAACCTTATTAAAAGGCAAAGTTGTATCAAAGAAAAAAAAACACAGGCCTCGCTGGAGTGAAAGGAATTACTTTAGTGGCAACAACAAACTCGGAATAGCACAGACGAAGGAATCCCCCTTATAAACTTGTAGCCTTGATGATAAATAGCCCTCTGGTGTCTAAAAAGCTCAAGTTTGCAGAATCGTAATCCACAAATAGCTGTACATGGCTGTGGACAGTGTCTGTAGCTTTAAATAGCACATTAACACGGTCACAGCTGCTCAGATGGGAGAAAGCAGACAAGTGTTGGCCATTGGTTTTGACAGTAGCAGTTATCCATGTCTAGTGATGATCCACCCGTTACGGTGAGATCATGACAACTAGGAATTCTTCAGTTAAAGCCACATGGTTTTACTTACATAATCCTTAAACTGTCAGGACGTTTGGACAAGCAGGTGACATATAAAGTGAGAGTGAGTGGTTTAGCATATAAAGACAAAGATATGGTGCATTAATTGATTAAGTCCGCTAGTTTTAATTAGACTTGTAAATTTGGATTGATCAGAATCAAAGTTTGGCAGAATTTTCTATCTCAGAATTCTGAATCCAACTGTGTCCAAAATTCTTCATAACGAAAACATTTCGAAGACCTTAAAATCTAAACTGAAAATGTTAAGCCGTACCCAAGTCTAGTAGGCACTGCTACTAAGCACCAACTTTGATCACCAGTTTACAGTTGAAGAGTTGCTGCTATTTTGTTTTTTCAAAGGGACACTATAGGCGCCCTTTTCCCTTCATTTTAGGACATCCCTGGCAATTTTCAGGTCCACTTTTTTTTTTTATTCATACTGAAATTTCAATATTAAACAAACAATTTAAACCAAAATTCATCAGAACTGAAATTTTTCAAAAATCAGAACCATATCAATTCAGAAAGACTGGCATTTTAACTTTTAACAAGTCAATATATAAACATCAGGCTTGAAGAGCCATCAACCAGTCTTCTCTCCCCATTCAATCCACTTTATTGTCTCACCTCATTTTTTTATTGTCTCACCTCCCTGTCTTTCTTCAGGTTTTTTAATCCCCCTTTGGAAAATCCATTTTTTTAATTAAGGATTTTATTGAAAAAAAAAAAAAAAAACCCACAAAAGTTTATGGCGGGGGCGGGGCCGGACCGCCGAGCAGGATGGTCGCAAGCAACTTCAGCTCCTGCAAATTTCCACCCTATAAGCCCTTAAAGCATGATATATTCTGAGCTGGCAGACCGACAGCACTGGTCCTCAGTGTGCTGGGACCACTGGACCCAGGGAGAGGCTGACTCCCCGAGTTGCAGTCCCCTGGGGGAGAAATTGTCGCTCCAGATGGGGCCTTCTTTGGCGGTGAGTAGGGCAGACGGCCGCTGTCCTGCTATCCTGCCTGACAGTGCCTGGCCAGAGGTCCGGACCGGCGAGAACCTGGCTCTGCCCCCCCCCCCGGACCGGTGGGGGTGATCCCGGTCCCCACCCTGTGACCCTGAGAGCGGCAATGCAACTGGGGCCCAGCAGTACTACCAGCTTGATCTGCGGCCTGGGCACCCCACCTAAGATGGCGGACGCCACGTGCATCGAAACTTGCAAGATAAACTGCAGCCCCCAAGTACCCACAAAATACAACAAAGCAACCGGGCGCGAGCAAACCAAAGTCCCACAACGACCACCGGTAAACACCCGTCAAGATATCCCAGTACAACGTTTACCCCAAAGGTCACAGCACTGGAATATGGCTGCGACATAGGAGCAGGCCTGCAACAGACGGGAAAAGCGGGGACGCGGCAAACCAGCAACCACAGCACGGAATAACCCACGGCAAAACAGGGCATTGAAGCATGTGCCTCTGACACACCGATCACCCACACAAAGTGCTGCGACACACAACACCCCGACCATCAATGAAGACACCACGCTACATACCGACAGCCAGCCAGCAAGGGGCCCCTCTCGACGCATGGAAGGCTCCAGCACAGCGAGAGTCCACCCTGCACCACCGCTCTGTCGCCTCCTCTCCGGTTGTCTCCCCTACAGCGAAAGAATCTACAGCTCAGCCTCGGAATGGAGTGGGCTGAGGGCCGGCACGGAGCGCACAGAAGCGGGATGCTGCAGGCTACTGCCAAATCCTTCCTGCACCGATACATTACAGGAGGCACCCAACAGGACTTGGACACTGTCGATGACTGGCTTGCCGGGGTAATCTATTATGTAGCTGGTACTAGCTGGACATGTTTCACTGGCCCACTAGGGCAGCCTAATACCTTTACTTATTATTATTTAACAGGATGCGTTAGTTTAGATCGCCAGTATAGCCCAATATGTGAATGTCTTCTCCACTCTTGGCATTATCTGTTTCTCCTGGTATACCGGAGTAACTCAATATGCACCTATTCAGTATACTATGTTTGCTAAACTTGTCTGAGTAACTTACTTTATACATGCACCTAACGTGGGGGGACTACCTAGCCTGTTAGAGCACAAAGACCAGCCTTCACATATACCTACTCAAAAAGTGGACACCACACGTCTCTTCCTTACAAACACTAGGCAATAGACGTGCACTTCACGTCAACCCTTTAAACATGAGTACTAATACTACACCTGTAGAACGTAATCAGGCAACTCATAAGATAGCAAGCTACACACTATGGGCTCACTCAAAACACCTCCACTACTCCGCTCTTTACGGCGCAGGGTTGGCAAAGCATGTCGGACACAGAAACAATTAGTCACCTCAACACAATATATACCAACAAAAGCATAATGTTTTCGCCTACACCTGTTATAATACATTTAAAACTGTGCACTACTTATCTTTACCCCACTTGTGAAATCTGTAACAAAACTCGAGGAATGCCTTTGGGGTACCTTGAGCCTGTCTGTACCAAACTTCTGCACTGCAAAAATAAAAAATTTTAAAATAAAAATAAAAAAAAAAGTTTATGGCAATGTAACTGGATAAGTGCATCTCAAAACCACCAGGGACGACCTTCACCATTTTCTCTTTCTAAACATTAGAAGGCTGGGAGATAATCAGCTCATCTGTTTAAATCACAGGTTCCGACTGGCGGCTTAAATCCCCGTTCTAAACATTGCGATTCAATTCCACGACAGCCACCCACACACAGAATACTTGTTATATCTTCAGGTAGTGATGACAGACAAAACATACTATACAGTTTGAATAATGAAAATAATTAACTCTTGTAGCATAGTTTTAAACGGATTTATGCAAACATAATTTCAGGTGACCAGTTTACTTTAAATACTATTCAGGAAAACAAATTGTATTTATCAGGTTAAGTAGCGGGTTTGCGTGATGTGTTGACGACCTCCCACACCACAATGTTTAACGGGATGAGTTTGGAGCGTGGTCAGGGTAGGCATGGTGACAGTGTGGGATTTGTCAACTTCTGGTAATTTAATTGCAAACCTGTTAAACTCCTTCTGCATCTATTTTCATTAGTGGACATCCAGTAAACATCACTGCAGGATAAACAACATCTGCATCGCCTTCTATTGTTTTAGCACTGACACCTCACCTGATATTCGTCCACATATTTCTATATAAACCATTCCTGTACTAAGCACACATACACACTGAAACACAAATGGATAAAAGCATTAGACAAACTACGATAAAGATTTTTACTTACCTTTGTTGCCAAACCCTGCAGTTGCTCAATTTGCCTCCCACGACGTCACGCCAACACCTATCTTACGTCCATTCCAATGCTCTGCATAGAAGAGCATTGGGGATGAATAGAGCATGCGCGGCCAGCACTACGGTCCTCAAATTAAATGGAGGTAAGCACTGAGTTTGACACAGTTCTCAGAGCGGAAGCTCCTCACGTAGGCAGCCACCAGAGGCAAATTTAACCCGGCAATGTAAGCATTGCCAAATCTACTATATGGCAATGTTTTACATTGAAGAATTAAATTTGAAGGACCACTACACTCAGACCACTTCATTGAGGTGAAGTGGCCTGGGTGACTTTTGTGGCTCTTTAAAAGGGAAATATTTATGTCCCAGAATTTGTAATATTATGTTTACTTATCCCAATAAATAACAAATATGTACTTATGAGGTGTAAAAAATAAAATGAAACTGTGTAAATTCCAGAAAAGTTTCATATTTAAAAAAAAAAAAAAAAATAATTAAAAAAAAAAAAAAACTATCTGTAAGGTGACTTTTGTGGTCCTTTAAAAGGGAAATGACACAAAGGGGGAAAGATTTTACTGTTAGAATGGTTTCTTTTTGGGCAAGTGCCATTTTCTTTTAATGTGAAACCTGCCACTGTGACGGCCAAGGTATACTTTACCCCAAATATACAGCACCCATTCGAAATGCGTTACTTTTGGTTCTACTAAAAATCATGTCGAATCGCCATGGAAATTTTTTTTTTTAAAGTTTAAAAAGTGTGGTACTGGTGCGAAAGGTGACTATTTGGTACACAGATATATTAAAAGTGACAGCAATGGAGAGAAGTCGCATGTCGGCTGAGCTCCGAGCTGAAAGCGGCAAAAATCGAGCAAACGACTATAAAGCAGACGGTGCACTGTCGAAAATTAAACGTCCCCCTGCAACACCAATATGGGGAAACGATCAAAAAAGCTGAAAGCATCCTCGGATGACGGTACACGTCGAATAGGAGACATATTCCTGGCGCGGCCTAAAAACAAAATGGCGGCAGCGCCAGACTCTCCAGGCCTATCCTCGGACGAAGACCCACTGGACTCCCCAGATGCCATACCTGAGGCAGATGACCCTTTCTCCGCCGTGCAACTAGGGGACCTGGGGGCTCCCGCAACTAAGGGAGACATCCTGGGCCTCCTGAAACACCTGCGCACATGGTTCCGCACGGATATGGCGCTACTCCGCGAGGAGGTAACGGCCGTAACGGACAGGGTGAAGGCCACAGAGGAGGACATCACCTCCATGGCACAACGCCAGTCAGACGCAACAGAACGACTACAACAACTCCACGGCTCACACCAGGCCCTGCAGGCCAGAGTCGATGCGATGGACGACTCCAGGAGACGAATCAACATAAAAGTAAGAGGCATCACGGAAAATGTCAACGACACAGAGCTACCCCACTTTATTAGGCGCCTCCTGTCGGAAATCCTGCACCCCAAACAGGCAAAGAACCTGCAACTAGATGGAATACTCAGACTCCCCAAGTCACCAAGGGCTCCGGCGGACGCTCCCCGTGATGTCCTCCTGAGGTTCCAGTCCCTACGCGACAAACAAGCAATGATGGACGCCATCAAGAACAAGAGCCCACTCAAATTTGAGGGCTCACAACTAACCTTTCTCCAGGATCTCTGCAGGGCAACATTGGAGTGGAGACGTTCTCTCAGCCAGGTCACCAAGACCCTCCGAGAAGCAGGCGTCCAGTACAGATGGGGCCCTTCCCACACACTCGTGGCCATACAGGGCGAGACCACCCGCCGACTCACCTCAGCTGCTGACTCCGACCCATTCCTCCACAGCCTGGGGCTCAACCAGCACAAGCCCAACAAGGCCAAACCTGGACATTCCTGGGACATACCCAACATAGTCCCCTTCGTACCTCGAAACGAAGCCGACACAAGATGAGAAGCCCCAACGGGACCCGGGCTCAACATACCTCTCAAGTAGAGGGAAGTGCCGAAGGACTGGCAGGCGATCACAACTTTTAATGCTGGCATAGCCACACAGTTAAAATTTTATTTAGGCATGTTTAGTGAAAGCCACCCGGCTACCATACCCCACTGATGTCTCCACACCACTCCTTACAAGATACACAACCCGACCACCCCCCTCCCACCAATCCAGGGGCCCTAGAGCAAATCCCTAGCTACCCTACCCAACCGGGAGCGATGAACCAGCCTCCGAATCTGAGTAGCACACCCCCCTCCACAGCGCTACCTCTAGTCACAGCACACGAACCAGCAGGCAGCCTCACCAAACATCCCCCCATATTCTCGGGCGCACCAAACACTCCAGCGGGTTCCTCAATCACGGCCCACCCCGGTATACGAAGGATCTAGCCCATCACGACGGAGCCACGAAGCCAGATCGCCACTACACCCAAACACCTATAACACAACGCTGCTATCCCAGCATACAAAGAGGGCTACTCTCTAGGTGACACACTCAAAAGCTGTGACAACCTACCTGCTGGAGCACTGGCCCAGTAGAACCTGATGCCTGCAGTAGCCCGCACCCTGGGATACTTAGCTAGCTAACTCCCTGCCCCCCCGCCACACTGACCGGCCATATACTTATATATTGTGCCTCAGTGGTATACTGAATATATATCATTAAATCCACATGACAGGGTTAGGAACACACCGCGAAACGCATGGTGCCCAATCTTAACCCAACCTTAGAGACAAGCCGGATAACCTGCTCACTTACATATTGGATCACTCACCTCAAAACCACAATACACTTATTACAGTCAGTGTGGACTAACAACAGGGTATAGCTGAACACATTACAATTACACCACATATTCTAACGACTGTAGGCCTAGACTGTTTTTCCTTGTTCTGCAATGTAATAGCTTTAACAAAAATGTGCAGTAATCTCACGTGCCATTCATCTGTATATTAATGTCTTAATCTGTTTGTCCAAGCTATTGTGGCATGGCAAACCTGATTGTCATATTCATGCACAATTAAAATAAAGAATTATAAAAAAAAAAAAAAGTGACAGCAACGGTTTCATACATATCATCCCTCCCACCCCCATGTGGTTATCCTGTGATAACGAATTGTCCAGTTATTGTACGTTCTTTGCACTCTCCATGTAGTAAGTGTGCAGGATATCCTGCCAATGTACCACTAACCCTACATATGGAGCACACTGTAAAGGCAGTACAGGATGCTAACACTACACTCAAGGTCCTCCAAAGCTCACACAGATGCACACTACGATATCCTACTGCAGTGGGTCTTAAAGGGACACTCTGAGCACCATAATAACTGCACTTTTTTGTAGTGGTTATGATGCGGTGTTCTTGCTTTTTGTTAAACGGTTCTAGAGTAGATTTAAAAAAAATAAAATAAAAAAAATGAGGTTGAGCACCGAAAGTCCTGTCTCTGCAGATTCTTAGATAATGAGGACGTTTGATTATTAGAAATTTTCGTCAAACAATGGCAGCAAAGATAGGTTTGAGAGCACTGTGGATGACTTGGAAATGAATCTCTTACACTATAACCACTACTAAAAGATGTAGTGGGTATGTTGCTCAGAGAGTGTCCCTTAAAGTTTTGTACAGGGGGACCACAAATTATGCATAGGACATTAACCCAGTGACACATTTTTGCAATTGCAAAACTAGCTCAGCAGTAACCCATCCCACAATTGTGATTTAATAATAAATATCTTCTGCAAAGCACTTTCATTACGCAGCATTTTATTGTGGACTGTAATGAATCTGATGTGCGTTTCAATCTCTGGGGACCTAATTTGGGGTTAGAGGCTTCAAGCATGTTTCAATGAGCCAATTCTTTATTCGGAAGCAGAAAAATAAAGTGTGCATTTTACTGTACAGTATAATGATGCAAAGTATGTTCCTGCAATGCCATCACGGAACTTGTATACTTTTCTAATCCCTGATAACAAATGTGCTACAATAAATAACAATGTTCAGTATCTGATAAACCTCCGGTAGGTGAAACAGCAGGTTCCCCTACAATACTGGATCCTCTGATGTCCCGCTTTACTGATAACCAGTCAAAGTCTCCAAAACCAGCACCAACAAAAAGGCACCAGGCCCATATAAGATTTCTTTGGCACCTGAGTAAATGGAAAGTTCTGGTTGGCCCACTTAAGTTATTATTCTAAGCACCAAAACCACTACACCTTAAACCAAAACCAGTTTTTCATAAAACACTGGTTTTGGTTAGAATAACCCTTTATTAAGTGGTCTGCTTTCCCCCGACTCCCCCATCTTCACCTAAACAAAACTTTACAAAACAAATTAAAACACTAAAACGGATCACTGCCAAATAAACGTTCTCCCCTAAACCCGACTGATCTTCCTTGGCTGACGTCACACTCTCCCGGATTAGGACAAATTGAGGGTGGGAGCTGTGCCACCATAGTGGCTGTCTGGCACTGGCAAGTTATGCATCCTGGCAATAGATATATATTTTGTACAGAATTTAATTAACCAGGCCAGAACTTTGTTCAGGTCTAGCTAATGATGCTGCCGGAGATGGATTTACATCTCCGACAGCTAAAAAGTTCATCTCTATATGTGCAGCATAGCGACTTCAAGCATCATACCACATCAAATGGCTGAAGTGGTCATGGTGCCTGGAGTAAACCTTTAATGTAGCAGTTTTGGTGCATAGTTGCTGCTGCTTTCAGTTTGTTTAATAACTCTATAAGGACAAACATGTTTTTGTTTTTCCCACTGTCATGAACCAAGGCTGCTTGGCTATACACTGCAGCACGGAGGCTGCTTACATAGAATGGGCATGTATGTTAAGAATTACATGTCAATTATCACCAGTAAAGGTGAAAAACCGTGCGAAACGAGAAGAAAGAAAGCAGTGAGTTACTGGAAACAGCAAGGAAAACAGGTAGGAGGAAATAAAGACAAACAGATGGGAAAAAACAGTGTAGGATTTAAAACATCATCAGGAAGTTCTTTCTTTTTGTGTGTACTGACCAATCAGGGTTTGGAAAAGGGACAGGCTTATTTTAAAGACGAGAATAGATGGGTTAAATACACAAAGCCAGGTTTTTACCTAACCTTTACAACTTCAACTCCTTTGTCTATTCTCCAAAATTCACCAGTTCAGTGAAAGAATACCAAGTAACATTTAAGCGTAACATTAGGTAATACATGTGTAACAATGCGTAGCATAGCAATATACCTGTTCTGCACGGGGACACAAAGGCTGCATTGCCACAGATTAGTGCCACCCGTGGCACTGTTAATCAGACACATTAGAAGATATAAAAATGTATTTTACCACATGAGAGGAGGCTTCCTATTTTACATTAAACTCTCTTTACCAACTCCACATAGCAGTAAAGAAAAGTGAAAACATTAACCAATCAAAATGCAATAGGAAGTATGGTATTCACAGTGAGGAGGCTCCTCCCCCTCTTTCTTTACTGCTCCATTATATATATATATATATATATATATATATATATATATATATATATATATATATATATATATATATCTGGGTGAGGCCCAGTACAAAGCCCAATATACCCTGCTGGGGAGACTGGTATTACCGTTACCACATTCATTGGATTTAACATATTCACCCTGCTAGGGTGCTTAACACTATTATATACCCTGTGCCAAGTGTTTTAATTTATACTGGTCCTACTCCTAAACATTATGGAAGCATCCCAGAGCCCTTCGGACTTCCAGGCAATGATTGCCGAAGCCATCTCCGCCTCTATGGAGAAAGCGCTTTCCAGGGTAATGATGGCATCAGCCGATCAAACCAAGAAAGCCACAAAAGCCCAACACCATGACTACGATTCTGAGGCTTCAGAATCACATGCACAGGCTGATTCACGACCTAGCAAACGCGACTGGAAGGGCGAAAAGGGTAACGATAACCCGGGCAAAGGCAAGGCGCCAACCAAACGCCACAGACCAGCCCCACCTACCCCCGCCCACTACTCCTCGGATGAGGGGGAAGAACACACACGTTCCATGGCCGTGTTGAACGAGTGGCAGGCCGCTGATTTCGATTCACAGGACAATGACTGGGGTTCGGACACTGGATCCCGTACTGGCTTCTTACGAGGCACTTTCTTGGACGACATCCAACTGCCAGATGACCTCGCACCCGTCCAAGAAGAAGAGGAGGCCATCCTGGACCCCACGGGACGTCTCTTCGACCCTCGTAATATCCAGCACTCAAGCTCTGGGGACTGGACTCCCCTCGAACACCTCTCTAAAAATTTATGCATCTGTGGCTCTGCAAACGCTGGACAAAACGGTGCGCAACCTCGCCCTTCGCTTCCCGACCACGTGGCTCAGACTCCGGAGTTCGACCAGGTCATGACCACCTTCATGTCTCGGGGTGGCTGTGACCCCCGGAGAGGAGTGGAGAAAGGATTCCACGGAGTTCAGGACAAACTACTGGACTCCATCGGCCCACTTTCTCACATCATGTATTTGGCGGACAACGCATTTACAAGAGCTGACGAGTTCGATGCCAGCATGGTAAAAGAGTGGGCACATGACATAAGAGAATGGACACAAAGGTGCTTCTGTTTCGTTGGTAACACCGGGAAGCTAGTGGAATTGGGCACCAAGGAATTGGGATCGCTGGCACAGGGCAAACTGTTCAGGGAAGCCTTCCTAAAAGAACTGAACAAACATGTTAATATACTCACGTCCCTTAATAAGGCTCAGACGTCTATGAAAAGTGTCTTCAGGGGCTACCCCAGTCGGGGTATTTTTGGACGGGCTGGCCGACAAAGTGGCCTAGCAGCCAGCCGGTTTTGACCTTCTAGCCCCCGCTCACATAGACTTCAACCCTTCTACCCGGAAGTGGGCTTCAGGCAACCCTTCTCCTACACCAGAGGGGCTAACCGAGGCAGAGGACCACGTAGCCGTGGCAGAGCACGCTTCCCCACAGGTAAGCAAACTTGTGTCTCAAGTACCACTTACCCCATATACTGCAGGTCGTATCGGTCTTTTTTCAGAACTGGACAACCATGTCTGCGGACGCATGGATCCTCCAGACGGTTCGGGGCTACATCATCGATTTCGTGGACCCTCCAAACCAAACTGTTCCTCCACACCCCATACAGTGCTCCACAGAGGACCACCAACTCATCGACGGCGAGCTACTAGAGCTCACGACCAACGGGGTTTCTTCAGCAATATATTTCTGGTGAAAAAGAAATCCGGGGATTTCCGACCCGTCATAAATCTGAGGCGGCTCAATGCTTATGTAATGTACAGGCATTTCAAGATGGAAGGCATTCACCTTCTGAGAGACCTCCTCCAAGACAGGGACTTGTTCACAAGACTGGACCTCAAGGACGCTTATTTGTCAGTAACCGTCCACCTCTCCTGCCGCCAATTCCTCAGCTTCTGGTGGCAAGGCCGACCCTGGCAGTTCACATGCCTCCCTTTCGGCCCCATGGTGCGTCACCAAGCTGCTGAAGCCAGTAGTTGCACATCTACGAGCACAAGGAATTTGGTGCATTATCTACCTGGACAACCTGCTTCTGTTTTGCTCCGACAGGTCCAGACTGACTCAACACACACGCTATACCACACAATTCCTGACATCCCTAGGCTTTGTGGTGAAATACCAGAAGTCGGCGATTTCTCCGGCCCAGACGGTACAATTCTTGGGCTTCGAGATAGATTCCAAGTCCAGCACACTACGGCTACCGAGATCAAAGATCGCAGCCATCAGAAAGGAACCTCCGCAGAGTCATTCACTGCCGTACCATTCCACTCCGCAACCTGGCGCGGATAGTGGGCCTGCTGTCCGCTTATATCCAGGCAATCTTCCCGGGACCGCTCCACTACAGAGCGATGCAACGCCTGAAGACCTCCTTTCTTCGCCAGAACCCTTCCTACAACCAAACCATTCCGGTAACGGAAGAGGTCAAGGAAGAACTCGGATGGTGGTTGGACCACATGGAGGCTTGGAACGGCCGGGCCATCTTCGGGAACATGCCCGACATAGTCCTGGAACCGGACGCCAGCCTCTGGGGCGCCACGGGCGAAGGCAGACCGACAGGAGGCGCCTGAACTTCTCAAGAAATCGACCTTCACATAAACTGTCTAGAACTCCTGGCGGGATCGTTCGCAATCCGCAGCCTAGCGAGGGACAGGACAAACTGCTGCATTCTCCTCCGGGTGGACAACATCTCAGCGGTCCGCTACATCAACCGCTTGGGAGGAGCATGGTCCCGACTCCTCTCAGAGATTATGAAGGAGATCTTCGACTTTTGCCTGCCCCGCAAAATCTCCGTCATGGCGGAATATCTCCCGGGACAGTCGAAAGGTTCTCGCGCCACTGGCGGGACAGCAGCGACTGGAGACTGGACCCACAGACCTTCCATCGCCTCTCCACCTGGACCTGTTCGCGTCACGCAACAACAAACAGACAACCGAATACTTCAGCTTGCTCCCGGACCCGGAGAGCATGGCGGTAGATGCGTTTCTCCAACCATGGCCATATACGGGAGCGTATGCTTTTCCCCCGTTCGCCATGATAGCGAGGACGATTCAGTATTTGAGGACTCAACGCGGGTCTCTGCTCCTCATCGCTCCCCTATGGCGGGGCTAACCCTGGTTCCCGGATCTACTAGCGTCATCCTACATGGATCCCCTCCTCATACCATCCTACCCAACGCTCCTCACGGATCCGAAAGGGAACCCTCATCCTGGAAGACCGTCTCACCTTGGTGGCCTGGACTCATTCAGGGGTGCCTGGCAGACCAGCCAATTATCGTAAGCGGCTAGAGATCTCATATGGGATTCGTGGGCACCAGGAATCAGACGATGTTACCTATCAGCTTGGAATTCCTGGTCCTCTTGGTGCAGTGAACGGAACCTCGATCCCTTTACTGCACCTATAACGGCCATCCTGAATTTTTTGACGCGGGTCGGTCCTACTGGTCACTCAACGTCGTGCGCTCCGTGATTTCATGGCCCACGTACCGGTCCTGGGGATACCAGTCGGGAAAGAACCTCTGATATGCCGACTCCTGAGGGGCATCCAATTACAGAGGCCTTCGAGACCCAAATTCTCCCGCTTATGGGACGTCGAAGTTGTCCTACAGTTTTTGAGAGACTGGCCAGATAACGGCAGACTTTCCCTCCGATAGCTCTCAGCCAAACTGACGTTTCTGCTTAGCCTAGTCTCGTTCCGCCGGGTATCGGACGTGCGGGCTTTCGACATCGACGCCTTTTCGGTCTCCCCAGAGGGTGTTACCTTTAGAGTATTGCGTCGTACGAAATCAGACTCCACATCGGTCTCCTACCCCTTTTTCCCTACCGTGGTGTCTACTCTACGTCGGTACGTGGAGGTCACATCCCCGCTCCGGGTCTCCTCTTCCAGCCAACTCTTGGTGTCTTACGTTAGATGTCATGTAGCCGTCTCGGCTAGCAACCTTGCCAGATGGATAAGACGGATTCTATCACTGGCGGGAGTGGACGAGGTCTTCTGAGCCCACTCTGTTCGCGGGCCGGCGGCTTCTTCGGCTTTCTCAGCGGGTGCGTCACTGGCAGATATCCTATGTTCCGCAGACTGGTCGCGAGAATCGACCTTTCGAACTTTCTACTTCCGCCCGAGCTCGGGGGTGGCCACGTCTCTCCTGCATCAGCGTTAAAAAAATGCAAAATAGGAAGCCTCCTGTCATGTGGTAAAATTGAAGATTATGCTAGCGTTAGTGTCCTTATAATCTTAATTTTAGTAATGACAGGAGGCGAGTATTTTCCCACCCTTCCCTCCCTTGGGGAGAAGGGACTCACATAAGTATACTTATCTTTAATGTATTCCTTCCTTACCTCTATCTTCCTTGCTCCTCCTAGATATGGGGATATGTTCGGATTTTGTTTATTTCTAACATTACTTGTCGTTTATAGTCAGTTGTTGATAATCGATAGTGTGACATCTCTGTGAGATTGTGTTGGGTCGTTAACATTACTTCAAACAGTTTCCAGACCGGTACCTAACCTACTTCACGTTCTATTTCAGCGTAAATTCGTGGCGTTACAGTTCATGCTCAGGATGGACACCTTCAGACCTTCCTTCAGCCATTAAAGTTTTGTTTATTGGAAAGTCACCCATTGGTGCATGTTACAAGACTTTGGACCTTTTGGAACTTTATCCATGATGTCGCTTTCGAAAGAGGGGGAGGAGCCTCATGTGAATACCATACTTCCTATTGCATTTTGATTGGTTAATGTTTTCACTTTTCTTTACTGCTATGTGGAGTTAGTAAAGAGAGTTTAATGCAAAATACTCGCCTCCTGTCATTACTAAAATTAAGATTATAAGTACACTAACGCTAGCATAATCTTCAATTATACACAACAACCAAGGTGTGCTTGCCTAATAAGATGATATTATTACAGGCTATATGAATAGAAAGGCCAAGGTTTGTACACAGCGTGATTAAAGAGACCTTAAGGAAAGAATTATTGATTTTTAGAAGCACCTCGTCCCACCCACTTTTCTGAAACAGAAACGGTTAAAAGACTTGCCACAAACAAAGACAAAAAATAGTTAAATGAAGATGTATATAGAGCACGCACAAATCAGATTGATTCAAAAGCTCTATAAATTTAACATAGTTGTAAAATGTTTTGGGCACATTCTGGCAATCAATTGGTTTATACTGCATGTATATTTTCAGGGTTATACCCTGAACTCCTAAATCAAAAGGATCTTAAAATCCAAGGGCAATATTTAGCTGCAACTATGGCTGAGCTGCTGACTTGTTTTGAATAGGCTACTTTAAACTAAATATTTTGCCAAACTGTGCCCCCATTCCACAGTCTAATAGGCTGGATAATTAGAAAGCTATGTCAGAGTCTGTACAAGTTACATAGGAGTTATGCATCTTGTAAGAGGCTGGGTAAGCTAAACCTGTATTACATCCGGAGTATGTGAGTTGTGCAGTTTTTATTTGTTGCATGTTTTGGGTCCGTTTTGGGTTTTCCCCCATATCTTGGCACTGATGAATATAAATAAGAGAGAAGGGAAAAGAGAACTTCTTGCACCCTATTCTTAACCCCTTCACTTCTTACACTGTATATGTGCAGGGGATAATCTTGTTGTTGGAGGTCTTCAAGCATGCATTAACATTTTATGCCTTATCTAGTGTGGCTATACTAAGCCCATTTACAATAATAAAACTTACATTCTGCAGGTGTTTCAGGGATTTACAGTCCCAAAAGGACCAGCAGAATCGTCACAATTATCCCTGAACAGTGTAATTTGCTATTTTTATAAACATTTTATTTTCCACCTACTGTATATGTTGAATGATGTATTTTGCATGCATCACCTATGTTTTCATGCATACGCATACATTTTAAGCTTTGTTTTTCCCCAATCCAGAATGAACTTGATAACAATGCGGTTAATGACAGTAAATGCTTCGATTTAATTTTATGGGTTTTAAACCATTATTAGCTTAAGTAGCATAAAACACTGCTTTAGTAAAACTCTGAGATGCACAGGGGCTGGATGAGAGACACACATACATTCATACTGCCAATACTTTACATGTAGTGGACAGACAGGGAGAGATATACAGAGTTATTTACTAGAGAGAATTCATAGTGAATTTCAAATTTAAGGTCAAAATAGACCAATTGGGGGGGGAAAAAGCTATGCGTTCAGTTAAACTAATCTGGTCTTAAAGGAACACTTTAGTGTTAGGAATACAAATCTTTATTCCCAACCCTATAGCATCCCCTCCTCCCACAGGCAAAAAAAAACAAAAACAAAAAAAACACACCTGTAAAAATGACGTTTTACTTAACTTATTCTAGTGCCAAGGCTACCTCGGCGCTATTAACCTCCCCTCACCGACCCATGTCATGGATGAGGCCCTGCCTCCTCCCTGAAGGTCTGATCCAATACTCCTTATAGTGGCGGACTGGAGACCTAATGTGCATGTGCGGCAGTACCATGTGAGCCTTCAAAAGTCTCCATAGAAAATCAATGAGTCAATGCTTTACTAAGGGACTTCTGCATAACCAGAACGGGTTTTACTTGGTCTGTGTCGCGTAAGCGCCTCTAGTGGCTGTTTGTATGACAACCACTAGAGAATGAGTAAACCCTGCAATGGAAATATTGTGGTTTCTCAAAAACTGCAATGTTTTACATTGTATGGTTAAAGGGACACTATATGCACCAAGACCACTTCAGCTCATTGAAGTGGTCTGGGTGCAGTGTCCCAGGTCCCTTAAAGGGATAATGTAGTACCAGGAATCCAAAGCTGTATTCCTGGCACTACCGATCCCTCTGCCTCGTCTCCTACCTCGTAAATAAAGGGTTTAAAACACTTTATTTACTTACCTTATCCCAGTGCCGATGTCCCTCGGTGATGGGTCAAAGCTCTGCCACCTCTTCTTTCGTCCCGCAATGAGCGGGGTCTGATTTTCCTATGGGGAAAAATCCTATGGGGAAAAATCTGACGCTGGAGGTCCTCATGCACAGCGTCCAGAGTCAGATAATGGTCCGAAAGTCCGTTACTATTCCGGAAGCACCCCCAGTGGCTGTCTGATAGACAGCCACTGAGGGCAGACTTAGAGCTGCAATGTAAACATTGCAGTTCTCTGGAACTGCAATGTTTAACATTGCAGCACTAAGTGCAAAAGAGACATGGCACCCAGACCACTTCAATGAGCTGAAGTGGTCTGGGTGCCTACCCTTTAGCCCTGAGCAGGTAGTTATTGCAGTTTTTATAGAAGGCGGACCCGAGCCAGAGCCAAAGAACGTTGGAACAGGACCTCCTTCTGCACCCTGGGGGAGGGGTTCCTTGACAGAAGAAGCTATAGTGCCAGGAAAACAAGTTTGTTTTCCTGGCACTATAGTTTCCTTTTAAGGGGACAAGGACACTGCACCTAGACCACTTAACTGATAGTAAATGTGAAATTCACATTAGTAAATAACTCTACATGCAGCTCTTCTCACAGAAATCACATAGAATATCCTACCATGTGAGGAACAGAAAATACATGAATCTGAACTTTTTCCGATTATTTCAATTCAAAAAAGTTGATGAAGATAAACAGAAAATTATTTTTCCAATTGTATTGTTTAGATCTAAAATCCCTTTGAATTCTTGCTTCTACACTTTACTTAATAGCTTAATAAATGAGGCTAAACATGACACATATAGGGGGGAGAAGAGTGAGTGTAGACATCATGCTAGACTGAAGCAAAATATGGGACCTTTTGCTATTGAAAGAGAGAGGCTGGAGGAAAATAATGGCTATCACTTGTGAACTTTTGCAAAATGATGGGGTCTCATTGGTGGGCTATTGCACATTAAGGGGGTCTTGGCAAATTAAAAGCACTTCTCGGGAAGAATATATGGGACTCTGGCAACATGAAGGGGTTCGCCATAGGCAATGAGGAAAATAAAGAGTGTCTGGCCAATTTACCAAAGAAACATAAAAGGATTGATCAATAAGAAAATGTCAAAAAGGACATCACAGGGGGGCTGGATATATATAACTGGGGTTACCCAGAGCAGCAACAGAAAATAACAAGGGGGTTCTAAAGAGGGGTTAAATGGAAATAAGGGGGGGGGGGTCAATAAAATTAAAAAGGGGTCTCACTGATGGGCAGAGAGGGGGGTGTGCTGATATTAGGGGTCACTTAGATGGAGTGCAGAAGGTTAATATGGTGACTGCAGGAGGGTGCATGGGGACATTGGGGGGACACAGGGGAGAGCTGCATATCAGGGGGTACACAGGGGCACATGTGATATTGGGAGGAGGGGGGTCTGACATGCAGAGGGGGAGGAGGAGGTTAACCTGTTCCCTGCCAGTGAGGCCATCCCAGCTCCCTGTGTCTGGTACATTGGGTGAATAATATCCCTCAATAAATACCTTTATTAAGACTCCCAGGACGGGTCCAGGCGCTGCCGGTTCCTCTCCCCCCTCCCGGCTTCCTCCTCCTCCTCTATTTCCGGGTCTCTGCAGCCTAGCTGCTCCACCTGCCGGCACAAGCAAGCAAACGCGTCCCCCCTCGTCCTACAAACTACTAATCCCGGCATGCTCCGCGCCGCGCGTCACCATACGTTATCTTGGTGTTTTAGCGCGCGGGGGACGCCGGGAGTTGTGGTTCTTTTTTGCCAGCTGTGCAATTGCAGCAGTTACAAGGCTGTCAGGGTCTTTATTATTTTTTTATCTAAATGTCTACCTGTTAAACTGCCTAGCAGCTGATTCCCCAACAATATACAGAGATCTGTTATTTTAACCTAGCACCCCTTTCACCATCTGCTTGTTATATTTTGATGTAATAAAAAAAAAAATTACACTTTTTTTCCCCATTAATACATTTTATTTATTTATTTATTTATTTTTGCAAAGCTGACAGTGAATTATTTTAGATATATCAAGTGGTATTTATTATAATGTAGTTTTACATCACATGCCTGGGGCAGGGTAAGCGGGTAAATATCTTAAAATATAATTTATCTGTAAATTACGCTATTCAATAAAACCTTGAAAATCGCCTATAACTTGTTGTTTTAAAACCTTGTTTATTTATTTATTTATTGGTGCGTTGCTTCGTTTTTAAAAAAGTTTATATTAAAGATTTAGCAATTGGCATCACAATCCAGTTCAGTCCTGGCACGGTCAGGGCACACGTTGGATCGGAAGAATTGAAACTGAAACACAGGGGAAGATTTATGAAAGTGTTCGGTTCTAAGAAGTAGAGCAAATAAAATTGAAAACGGTGAGGCATCGCCAATGGAACGTTCCTGCTGAATTCACTCGTTTCCGTGGTGATTGCCTCACTTTTAGGACTTTGAACCAGTTTTTAGATCAGAACGCTTTCATACAGGGTGGCCCATAAGTCCCGACCCATCCAGCACACAGATACATTGGATACATAACATATATGCATGGGTAGGGACTTACGGGCCACCCTGTAGATAATCCCCATTGCTTCTGTTTTTTTACAAAACTACTCTCAATGCTGACTGACAGGTCCAAAGACCAGAGGTACATTGATTGACAGGGAGCCAAAATGGGGCGCCTAATTCCAGGATAGAGGTACAGTCCGGACTTATACATTTAATTTTATTTCAAACATCACAAATACATAATTGCATAAATTTAGGGGAAAGCAAACATTATATTAAAAATAATGGGGAGGTTGCCAAACCCAGTGTTGTTTCCACAACAAATATTATTACTTCATGCTTGTGGGAGTCACATGAAAGGTTTTTCCCTGTACTATGTATCATTCATATTTAGCAAGAGGGAAATCCGTAAACCAATCAAAGCAGTTTAACAGGATTCCTCCCTGAATTATGAATTCCTTAAAGGAACACTATAGTCACCTAAATTACTTTAGCTAAATAAACAGTTTTAGTGTATAGATCATTCCCCTGCAATTTCACTGCTCAATTCACTGTCATTTAGGAGTTAAATCACTTTGTTTCTGTTTATGCAGCCCTAGCCACACCTCCCCTGGCTATGACTGACAGAGCCTGCATGAAAAAAAAACTGGTTTCACTTTCAAACAGATGTAATTTACCTTAAATAATTGTATCTCAATCTCTAAATTGAACTTTAATCACATACAGGAGGCTCTTGCAGGGTCTAGCAAGCTATTAACATAGCATGGGATAAGAAAATCTTAATTAAACAGAACTTGCAATAAAGAAAGCCTAAATAGGGCTCTCTTTACAGGAAGTGTTTATGGAAGGCTGTGCAAGTCACATGCAGGGAGGTGTGACTAGGGTTCATAAACAAAGGGATTTACCTCCTAAATGGCAGAGGATTGAGCAGTGAGGCTGCAGGGGCATGTTCTATACATCAAAACTGCTTCATTAAGCTAAAGTTGTTCATGTGACTATAGTGTCCCTTTAATACCTTCCTGCAGCATATTAATTCTACGTACTACAGGACAAAACCTTTCATTCGTTTCCTATCAGAATGTGGAAGTAATGTTTTTAGGAAAGCTTGGTTGATATGCTGAGAGCTGAGGGTTAAAGGGTTACTCCAAACAGTATGACCATTTCAGTGATTTGAAGTGGTCATGGTGCCTGAGTCTGTATGTGCAGGGTCACACTAAGAAATTACCTGCTCTGCTACATTGATCTTGATACTCATGTTCGTCATTGTGCCCATAAAGTAAAAGACAAAACCCTGCTGGCTAAATTAAAGGGACACTATAGTCACCAGAACAACTACTGCTTATTGAATTTGTTCTGGTGAGTAGAATCATTACCTTCAGGCTTTTTGCTGTAAACACTGTCTTTTCAGAGAAAATGCAGTGTTTACATTACAGCCTAGTGATAACTTCACTGGCCACTCCTCAGATGGCTGTTAGAGAACCTTCCTGGGTCATGGCTGCCTAAAATGCATCCAAACATTCAGAGTCTCCACCCTCTGCATGCAGACACTGAACTTTCCTCATAGAGATTCATTGATTCAATTCATCTATATGAGGAGATGCTGATTGGCCAGGGCTGTGTTTGAATCATGCTGGCTCTGCCCCTGATCTGCCTCTTTGTCAGTCTCAGCCAATCCTATGGAGAAGCACTGTGATTGGATCAAGCTACCACTGCTTCTGATGTCAGCAGATAGCTTGTTTTTCTGAGTCATACAGCATGCAGAGTTACAGCTTTAAGCTTGAATACAGTAAGATTTTGCTATATTTATGGACGCATGAGGGGCCCAGGGGGGCTAGATGGTGGTTTTAACACTATAGGGTCAGGAATACATGTCGGTGTTCCTGACCCTTTAGTGATCCTTTAAGTGTCATGTACCATATTCATTGCCTTCTATTATAAACTATGGAAAAAGCATTATTATTATCTACTATCAGGCGTTATTTTTAACACAAGATCATGATTGAACAACACATAGCTACAAAAATGAAGAAATATAGATAAGTGATATGCATTATTTTTAAAAGGGCTGCAAATTTTGTTACAGGAAAAAACTTGAATTGAGATATTTAAGCTAAAGTGGCAGAACGGTGGCCATAGCAGTTGGAAAATATTTCTAAATAGACAGTTTTTCCTAAATTTTGCAATATGATTTTTCATTGTTTACTGTCCTCCTAGACCGGAGAAAATTTTCCTCAGGAAGTAGAATTTTTAGAACACATGAACGTAAAGGGACACTGTAGACAATATAACCATTTTGTCTCATTGAATTGGTAATAGTGCATAGAATCCCTTGGTGTTGCCTGTCCATTCAGTGTTAAACCATTTTGGGCAATTTAACACTAAATAAAAGTACTTGGCTGAGACAGCCCCACTGGAGCTGTGGCTAACGCCGAGATTATACACTTCCTTCTAGCCATGCCAATTCATACTGGTAGTCGGCACCGTGATAGGCTGAAAGCTGTCAGCTGACATTCTCAGCCAATGACAGCAGCACATTGTAGTTCAGGCTAATGCTTCCTCATTAGACCAAGCATTACAGTGGGGAAGGGCTACCGAGGACTTCCATTTAACATTAAAACATTAAAAACTGTTTAACACAGAATGAAAGGATAGCACAAGGGGACTCCAGACAATATAACCCATTCAGTGCAAAGAAGAAGTTACAGTGTTCCTTTAAATATCATTGGGGAGCTGAAGGATCGCTCACAGTCCAACATGGCAGGAGACACCTTGAACCTGTTTTTGCCAAATAATTCCAATGATTTCCTAAAAAGCTTGAACGACCCTGCTCACAAGTGTCTACAAAGGGGATTCATCTTTTTATTGCCCGTGGGCTCAGTGGAGACGTTTGAGTTGAGCGCTCCTGGTCTCTGGCGCATGCAGTGATGGAGAGCACTTAGCACCGCTGCCCATTAAAGACAATGTTGTTTTGTTTTTCAGTTTTACTTAACTTTCCTTCTTAAAAACAGTTTGCCTACATTTCATGCCAGATGACTGTTTGATTTTCAAACTGCTATTTCTGTCTTTTTATGTTCATTGCAAACTTCAATAAAAATTGATTATACACCAAAGTGTACTTCGCGGGGAGGAAGTGTTTTATAATAGAGTTTTAAATAGGGTCACAGACGAGGAAGACGCGGGTTTAACAGAGTCTGACCGCCATTCACGCAGCTACGTGGGCAATACACAGAAAAAGGCAATAAGAATTTATTATTTGTTAAAAAAAAATATACAACTGAGTAGACTGAGGCAGGAGAAGGACAGCAGGGAGCTATTCATTGAAGAAAAAAAAATGAAAATTGATCTGACCTAAGCTGACATTTACTTGTACAAACACTGAAATGTCTGGATTTAGCATATAATGCTTGAAAACCACAGTGGGCATTGTAATTCTTTAACAGCTAGCAATCTACCAGTTTGGCCACAGATGTAAGAATATATTAGCTTCCTATTCAGAATGAGAAGACAACTGGATAAATGCTGTCTGTTTTATAAAAAAATAAATAATAATAAAGAATATTAAATACAAACCAGTATAACTGACTAGTAGCATGCTTTGCACAGCACCCTCGTACCGGCTCTGCGCTGTTCTGCATTAGCAGAGAGTGGACATGCTCTTCTGCCCAGACTTTTAGAGTTAATCAACGCACCATGACCACTTCAGTGATTTGAATTGGTCATGGTGTCTGTAAGCTGCACATACGGAGATTACCCCTCTCCTGCTGATGGTGTAACTCCATCTCCAGCAAAGTCACTGGGGCATCATTTCGCCAGTCCGTAACTAGAATTCCAGGTAACTAAAGTGAATTCTGCGCAAATATGGCGTCTGACACCAGCACACACAGCATACTGGCAACCACCTCTATCTGATCCGCCATGTCCTGCCATCAGCTCACCCTCTCAAACATATTTCCCATCCAGCAAGGTGGAGTGACATCAGCAGCGAGGATCGGGCTGCAGGGAGAACTTGCCCTTGGCAAGGAAGTTAATTTTAACTGTTTTTGGAGGGATGGTGGCAGTATAAAAAGAGTTCCTCTGCCCAAAAACAGTGTTTTCTTAAAAAACAGTATTTTTGGTTGGAGTAACCCTATAACACCATTGATTGTCACATCGCATGCTGAACGCTCTGAACTCCACTGAGAGACCACAAAAAAGAGGATATATGAACTCTATCACAGCCTAGTGTGGCCACACATAATATAATAGGTGGGGGTAAGGCATGAAGCAGGACGGGTAGGGTGTTGACACAAGGGGTGTGTAGGGTGTAAAAGACACACAAGTAGGCAGGACTGAAAACACACATACAGGGGAGTGGACAGAACCACAGGTGTAAGAGGAATTGTGGCAAGGCAGACAAAAGTCAGATAAATGGGGGTGAGAGAGGCATATGTGGGGCAACATGATTGGGATAAAGGCATAAATACAGAGAGAGAGAGAAGCCTGTATTCAATGCAACCCTTACAAACTACCTGACTAATAGTTGGGGTGGTGGGTGGGTGCAGCAAAGTTCTGTTCCCCAGCATCCCCCTCACCAGTCATCTGGCGGGCACCCCTCTTTCCCCTAAATAGCCTGACGGAACACTGAGCTGATCTTTGATAAGCTCCTGCCTGATTTAACCCCTTAAGGACACATGACGGAAATATTCCGTCATGATTCCCTTTTATTCCAGAAGTTGTGTCATTAAGGGGTTGAATTTAAAATGAAAAGACTATTATTATTTATAAAGCCCCAGCATATTCTGCATAACAGGTTTCAGCCCACAAAACCCTACCCCAACGAGGCCTGTGGAGAGACGGAAGTGTCCCCCCACCTCCTATTGCAGCTTAACTTTACTTTATAGACCAGCTATTTTCCATTGTGTGAGATAATCTCTTATTTCCTCCTTAACTTCTCAGTAAACTCCTTAATTACGCACAACCCACGCCGTATTCTTTTATGACACTCCATAAACTCCATTTCCAATCACTGCAAACTCTCAAATGCAACAGTTTGCATTCTGTCTTAAATTCCACTCTCTCCTTTAGATTGTAAGCTCATAGGTCATCTTGTTAAACACTCTAGGTAACAGGAGCCAAGATGTGATTATAGCCCAGTTGGACAGTTTTCTCAATCAGCACAGATTGCTTATATTTCGCAATTCAGTTATTAATTCAGCACAATTTTTATTTATTTATTTATTTAATTCCAAATTTACGTAGCTGATCTGGAACAGGTGTTGCAATTCTGTTTTGGATTCACTACAAATGGTTGTTAAACGAATAATTCCCTTTGGTGTGAAAATGCTACAAACAATATTTTAAAATGACAGATATTGCTCTATCTTGTAACTATATGTATAATTATATAGTGCACATTGTCTATAATCTGTCTTCAGGTATCATTGCATTGCACTGCAGTTATAAGACCCAGTAAAAAAATACTTACAATTTCTTCTCAATTCAATCTATTTGTATCCAGGGAGTAGGGAATTGTCCCAACTAGAAAAACATGTTTGATCATAAAATGGCTGACCAGCAGTCACATGGCCAGGGGCGTACAGATATACTGAATAATGCAATTTTATGCTATGTTAAAAAAAGACAACCACATCGATGACACCACTGTGACTCATGATCTAAACCAGAATGTGCCTTCCTTACAGAGAAATAAAATGTACATTCTTAAAGGGGACATGGACTGGTCATGATTATTCATTAAAATGTAAATAATGAAAACATTCAAATGTTACATTCACATTAAATTACATTTAAATTCCTGCCAATTCACACAGCTTTCCTAGGGCTTAAAATGTCTGCTATAGAAGTTACATTATACTATATATATATATATATATATATATATATATACACACACACACACCTAAAAATGGATAGCACTCCTTAGACTTTGTGTAATGATTAAAACTTAACTTTTAATGTCAGTTTCAGTTTTTCTATAAAACTTTATTTAGGACACATATAGATGTTAAGAGATAAGAGGACACACGTGTGTTAGCTACATTTATATTTGTCCTGATGGGATTTTGAAAGTTTTACAGAAAAACTGAACTGACAATAAAAGTAAAAAATTTAACCATTACAGGAAGTCCCAGGAGTGAGATGCATTTTTTTTTTTTTGCGGTTTACACACATCATTTTATAAATATATCCTAATACATTTATAAAGGTCGGTTTGACTCAATTGTAGCTATTTTTTTTTTTTTAATATATATATAAAATTCTTTATTTTTGTAGTGCATAGTGTGACATTTTGGGAAGTAGGTACATTTCACAAGATTAATTTCGACAAGACCTGGTTGCAACAACAGTATGAAATGTCAAGAGAGGACGTCACTTTTTGGATAGTTATAAAATAATAATAAATGGTAACTAACAGGCTGAACATACATGTCTGGATCAAATTGGCATTGAAAGCTCGGTAGATGTGGGATCAACTCCCAAATTCAACTTAAGATGCGGGAGCTCAAGTGCTATGCGACTGCTCCACTCCAAAGCCCAAACCCCACCCCCAATTGTAGCTTTTTTATATGTAAAATTAACATAGTATCACTTTTATAAAAAGTTAACTTTGTATTGCACATTGTACTAACCATCCTTTTATCAAATAAACGGTTTGTCTATTAGATGGACACTGTAAACACCATAACCACTTGACAACCAATAGATTGTGTTCCAGCGCTGTTCATCAATGGTTTTACCATAACCACTTTAACCAATTAAAGAGACTATGGCGCCTGGAGTCTGAGGGCGCTGGGTCTCAAATTACTGGAGGCAGGAAGAAGGAGCTAAAGTCCTAAATCTGAGGGGCTGGTGAAAAGAGCTGATATCCTGATGCCAGGTCCCACATCACTGATCAACAGTTTACTCATCAATTCGCAGAGATCCTCGGTCCCCAGTAGTCTGCATCCTATTCTGCATCCTCTCACCGCCCCAACCCATGCTATGACTTGGTATGTCATGGCGTGATGTGTACATCTGCATATATCATATCGTCATTGTTGGCTAGACTTCCAGGAACCCAGCCCCTCCACTAAATGGTGAGCGAAAGTTTAAAAAGACGTCGGGCACCATAACCACTTCAAACTGTTGCAGTGTCCCTATAAGCTTTTAACTCTGTTAACTACAAAAATGGCTGCAGGACTCAATGTAAACCTGAGGCCGCCATCTTTGATGAGGCAGCAACATCCAGCACCAGGGAAGTAGATAATTTAATCTACATATCAGATTGATAACAGATATATTGAGTGGACGTTGACCTCCATACCCATATTTTTTGTAATTGTCCATTTTCTTCAGTTTAGCCAATCCCTGGGGAAAATCCTTAAATAGACAATATGACTGAGAATGACAAAAGATGATGGTAACGGCAAATATGGTGCAATAGGAACTAAATGACTACATAGAGGTTATATTGGATTTATGAAGAGATCAACTGTTATTTAAAGGGACATTCCAATGACCATAATATCATCTTTGATATAAGGAGGGGAAAAAAAAATTACCTTACAGTGGGCCAACCAGTAGAGACAAATGACAGATATGGACACTGTGACTTTAAGGGGAAAATGAACATATACTGACCTGGGGCACCAAGGGTGCAATACAATGCTTCTTTATAATAAGTTCTGCAGAGCTGGCTGGAATTAGTAATAATTAGAAAAATGAAACCTGGCATTTCTAATTACACATTTCCCCCCACTGTCCAGTCACCATTCGTCTGATAACATTACCCGTTAAATGTTGATTTAAGAATTAAAGTTATATCAAACATAGCTCTGTTTACACAGTTTGCAAACAGTGTCTCAGCAAACACACACAGAGAGAGAGAATGTATTATTTGGTGTAACATGCTGTTGCTGCACCTGTGGTTTTCTGAATTTTCCCAAATAAGGGTGATGGGAAAATACCAAACTGGGTATTTAGCCAGAACAAGCAGAACTCTCCGCTCAACACCCCTCACATGCTGCTTTCTCCACAATGACTTCTATAGATCACAAATTTGTGCCTTGCGATGGTACTTAAAAGACAAACCATCTCATTAACTTTTTAATTTTTGTAGTTCAAAACTTGATATTACCTCAATCACACTATTTTCCCACTCATGAATATATATAAAATCATAAAGATATTGCTCCTGCCAACTTTGCTTGGTGTGGGCAGCCATTTTGTGTGATCTTGGGTCAGTATTAGCCAAGCTCACTAATCAAGGTCAGTGACTCGGCCATTGCACATTCACACAGCTACAACACGTGTCATTGCAGAGTGTGCAGTGTACAGCCATGTAGCTTTTAGTTATAAGACTTACTGCAAGATCTGCTTCTTACATTGTTCTGTGTCTAGGAAAAATGGGGGAAGAAAAATTAAAAAGTAAGAAACGATTAACTTTGTATTTAAAATGGTTTAACGAACTGCCTCTATTTGTCATTTCGCACATGTCCTATCACAGTAAGCATCATAATCCTTTGACAACCTGGGAAAGCAGGGAACTCCGCATGTTGCCTGGCAGGTTACAGAAACTATTAAACATTTCAAATGAATGTACTCCTATTTCTAACTCTTTTGAGTGGTAGGGACTTTATTGCATATGTCCTGATTCAAGGAAGGAAAATATCAACTCCATGGGGGCCGGAGGAAGTAGCGGAAATCTTGATAAGGCGTTAGAGCGAATGCGAAACGCGTCCAGAGTTCTTTTAGGTAGTGTGCCTAAACATCATCTCTCCACTTCTTTCAGGTGCAGGGATCTGGGATTTTGAATGTTAGAATTGTTTTGTTGTTGCAGTATCTCCGATACAAAGTCTATCTAGATCCCATGTCACGTATGAGGTCTGTTTATATTGTGTTTTGTACCATGTTGCACATTGAACAAATAAATGAAGTTGTTTTAAGGATTTACGCCGCTGGAACGGTTTGATTTTCTGACTGTGCGGTTTGTTTGGGAAATTTCAATCTTGATTCCGAGGGGGCTGGAGATGAGACTCAAATCATGATTTCATAGGATTCAAAGCGGTTATCCCCACTTCGTATTAGTTAGCCGTTTCCGCCTAGTGCCTTAAGAGCCATATCCACTCACCATTGCTACCAGCATCTTTGGATTAACTGCAACTTTCTATCCACGAATTTCTATTTAGCATACTCATATACCATACAAAATGATAGGACACTCACTTTAACAAGTCCTGTCAAAATAAAGACCAACTGTACCATCATCACATCTACCTTATTATATTGATAGAGCGTCGTCAGATTCCGCAGAACTTTACAATGGGTGGACGAACAGACATGTAGTTGTAACCAGACAAGTTGGACGCACAGGAACAGAGGGGTTGAGGGCCCTGCTCAATGAGCTTACATGCTAGATGGAGTGGGGTAAATTGACACAAAAGGGTAAGGATAGTATTAGACTAGTGACCGTTGCAGAAGAGGAATCAGACTATGATATTCTCCGTTTCAATTCTTGGAATCGGAGCTATGTCTCAACTATTTAGCCAATTTCTCCTACTTATAATAAACCTCACATTTCCCTTTCCCACCCAGGACATTATAGAACCTTACTTTTACTCCCTGGACAATGACTTATCTTCAGTACTGCCCCAAACAACACCTACTCAGTAAACGATATGTTGACAACATACTCTCCCCTGTTTGATTGGAGAAGTACAGCGTTTGGCTGCACAGGCCTATTTCCAATCCATTGATTCGTTATGAGAAGCACTGAATCAGAGCAAATCGTGGAAGACACCAGCAGGCATGAGGAGTCGGCGCTGGAAACCAGGTAATTAAATTGCTTTTAAAACGTAAATGTAATATCAAAAGGGGGTGTATAGAAAGGATACTAAAATCCCAGGGAAAAAAGGCATGTTATTTTTGGAACTTTAGGTTCCCTTGAATGGTTTATTTCAGTATTTATTTTTACTTTTCTTATACCTCGATGATATATGGCTACCATTTTTCTCAAGAAAAAAAAAAAAAAAATCAAGTATCTTACAATTGAGAAAAAATAAATAATCACAGTTTTTCAATCAAATGGAGTTTATTTCTCACCAGAAATTTCTGAAAATACACAAAGAAAATGCAAATGATCTCCAGGATAATTAAACAAGTTGTTCTTTATACAAGTAAATCATCGTTCATGCTCCCTAACTCCATTTGCCAGTGCAGCCACCTTGATGATCCTAATCAGTTTGATAAGAGAAGTAAACCAGTGTCACAGTGCACCCTGGTGGTTAAGATTGATATTACTTAAAATAAATAAAAATTTGTATATGTCCAACAATGTAAAGAATTTCTCGTGTGTTCCAATATAAATTCTGATGATTTTTCTGATCTAAATTAAAAGTGTGCCGTTCCACCTACAGTGCCACAAAATAAACCAAAAACTCATTAATGGACACTTGTTGCATCGTGTAATGCAAGGACAAAAATACAGACCTGCATCCTTTTCTTTCAATAAAATTAAATCCCCAGTGTATCTAAAATAAGGAAAGGCAGGCACAAATGGAGAAAGAAAAATTAAATACTGGGAATGTGTTTTAAACACATAAGTCTTTAGAACTGAAATTTAAACACTAAGTAGGAAAAAAAAGGAAAAATTCTTGGAACAGCCCCTTTAAAAAGGAGCTACATAAATCCCTAAGTTGAATCCATTTATGGTTTTTATTTTGTGTTAAAATCACTGACGAGTCCTTGACAGTTCTAGAGCACCCACTAGAACACGAACACTATTTGCTTCAGCATTTTAAGTCACACTCAAGATTGGTTTTCTTTGGTTAGAACGTTGCCAATGGCACATTATGGCCTCTACATCGAATAGGCATTCTCCAAAAATGTGACACGAACTGATCACCAACCCTAGACAGGATATCTGTAGATCAAAATCATGAGAGAAACCTATTATAGAAGGACATTCGTGGACATTCCCTTTTTTTAAATATAGCATTTGCTTGACAATAACTCATCACCATCCTATTTGAACATTAGAATTCATATATTTTACTGGAATTTAAAGATAACTAGTGTTTGTGGAGTTAGACAAAGACTAAATATACATCATCTTATCTCTGCAGAACAGTGGCCATGGAACAGACCTTCTAAAGACAAGAGTCTATTCCAACTCAATTTACAGTTACCAAGACAAATCGTACTGAAGTAGCAGTTCACGGTAAAGCAGATATTGAACTTGGCAGGATCCAAAATGCTGCGGGATTGGTGGAAATTCAATAGAAATAAGAGTTTGCAACAGAGTTTGTCTGGTTTAAGGGAACAGACTATGACCAGTACTGGCCAAGAATTTTTTTTTTTTTTTTTTTTTTAGCAGATTATGGTTAAAAAAAATAAAATGGGAAGGACCTTTACTAAAATTAAAAATAAACCAATTCAAAAATAAATAAAAAATAGTGCAAGTAGGGGGAGTGAAAAAGGTTTAAAAAAAAAAAAAAATAAGGGTAGAAAAATTTAAGTGATTTATAGCCCACATCCCACTCAACATAATTAATCGAGGAGACGGTTTGCGATTTTGTGATCAGAAGGTGCACGTGCGAAGGTGTAAGTTACAAACTCTTACAATTCAAGAGACTGATGTGTCCATTTATCAATATCACTGGATCTTCAATAAATTATATTCGTGGCACTTACACCGTGACACAATTAAAGATAAATTTCCATCATTCTGCAGGAGTGTGTCATACAAGAGGCAATATTCTACCCCTTCTCATACCCTGTAATATTTACAGATCAACCAATATATATATATATTTATATAGATATCTATTTTTATGTACTTATATACATACACATATAGAAACGTTCTTCAAAAGTATCTAAAAACGAGAGTTTCGACTGCGTATATATATGTATAAAAAAAAAACTAATAAATAAAAATAAAAGACAGGAGGGGGGCTGGAGGCGAGAGTTTAAGAAAAACTCCCAGAACGATTATTGTACATTTTAAACCTCTCAGTAGCAGTACGGGCCTGTTTAGAATCCATCCAAAGCTGGATAAGCCAAGACTATGTAGCTTTTATCATTCCCCAGCAGGCCAATGATTGTTTGAGGATGCGGAGAGTTGTAGTGTAGCCAGTTAGCCAACCTTGCATTAATTGCAGCACCAAAAAAAAATAAATAAATAAATAAATCCACCAATTAGGGTTGTGGGGAGAGAGGAGAGGCCGCAACAGCAGTCTGGGCATTGGAGAATGGTGCTTATATATGAATATACAATTAACCACACACATACATACATGAATGTATTGTGTATACCTTAATACACCATACTCTATCTGTACATTTTTATCAGGAATTTACATATTTGCAAGTGTTCTCAACAAACAGATTCTGGTCTTTTCTACAATAGGTAGACTCTAGCTAGCATTCCTGGGAGCATAATTTAGCTCAAGAATATGAAATAATACCATTAATTTCATTCTCTGTATATAGCGATACCCAATTCAGATGTATTTAAGGATAAAATCTTGATCTGTTAATCTACATTTTTCATGATCTGATAATCTAAACCAGCTGTTTTAAAAAACTGCAAAGAACCAGCAATTGGGAAGATTTACCATGAGGCTTAGGATAAGAGCTAAGAAAATCACAACTGCAGTGCTAAAGGTTATCCATTTGTGTTCTATACAGAGTGTATTCTACAGCTATAGTGCAATCTGGGGTATATATGATATATACAGATATAATATGCACATTTTGTGACATTATATATGTATATATACACAAGCTGACATACCCACACCTGTGTAATGACGCAATGCTATATACAGACTTCCTAGATAATATTTCTGAAATAGGTTCTCCAATTTACACATGTACAATAAAAAATAAAATAAAAAACACAACAAAACACATTTGTTTGACTGTGGTGAACATTCTCATTTTTAGCCAGTAGGTGGCAATATACAGTAATCCCACTGAATCAGTGAGTTGCACCTTCAGTTTCTCATAACAGGAGAGAGAAAGGCATCCGGGTTGGGGTCCCTGGTATATTTAGTGTATGCCAAGAGACATGGAATAATTGTGTGCATCATTTGGAGCCCCAGTACATAGAGTATACCGAGGGTATTTGGTGTCCCTGTGTGACAGGTAGAACGTTTTATGAGACAATTTCTTCATGTGACGAATATTAGGACACCATTTAAGTATAGGAGGTGTAGATGCCCATCTTTCTCCCTCTGCTGAGAGGGCCAGGTACACTGTACATGTCCGGAGTGATAATCTTCACAAAATGTCTTAGCGTGGTGCATTGGCAAGAGTCCAACGTGTCCAGGGCCAGATCTGCCTCCTCTGATTTAAAGATCATAGGCAATCGTCCCCACTTTCTTAGAGAACACATGGTGCTAATGAATTCTGCAAAAAAAAAAAAAAAAAAGAGATTGGTCTTCACATTCCCTGAACAGCGTCATCCTACAAAACGGTTATTCGGATTCTAAATTGCTCAACTTCCTGTATACTAAGACGGTGTGATATTCTCATTGATTTATTGATTCCCTATGCATCTGGACTCTGTATTATCAAACCTTGCTTTCATCAAAATTCTAGATCCCCAAACTCCAGTACACACAAACTCTACATCAGTGGTGCCCAAAAGGTGGATCCCCAGACTACAACTTCCATGATGCTTCGTATGCCTTTAGAATAAAGCATCATGGGAGCTGTGAGTTTAAACATCTGGGGATCTACTTTTTGGCACCCCTGCTCTGTATGCTCCCTGTTCTTACTTCACTTCCAAGATGGCAGGGTTGGTCTCCATGATGGCCACGATTATGCGGTCAATATAGTCCTGCAGTCGAAGGTTGATGTCTTCTTGTTTCTGAATAGCTTCCATGAGCTGTTTTGAGAAACGTGTAATTAAGTAAGGGAAAGTAGAAAAGATAATCAAGGAACCAGAAGGATAGCAATGCTTTCATGGTTGAATAGTATCTAGACTATCCAGAGTCATTATCAACAGACTACAGATTCTCCAGGTTTTACAGCTCTGGGAATCTCCAGATTCTCAGAACATTTCTAGATACACTAACCTGCTTTAGAACGAAAATAACCAGCTCATTTACCTCATTAGTTCAGAAGACAATAGCTTCATTCTTTCTTGAACTAAACCAAACTTCTAGATTCTAGTAACCCCCTAAATCTAACCATTCCAATTATTTTGTATGTCAGTGGACTGGTCACACGTTTATTTTTTTTTATTTTTTTACTGGTATTTATAAAGCGCCAACAGAATCCGCAACACTGTACAATTAGTGGAGAACGTACAATATACACAGACAAATAGTAGAGAGAGCCCTGCCTGTAAGCTGATATTTAGCCACTGGAGCTCTTTTATACAAAGTGTTTAGCTAGATGGCCCATGAGCTTACACTCTAAAGGATACAATGGGGATTTGAGACAAGACATAACTCAACTCTATAAAATACCAGATTTTCTCAACCAGGGTCTAGTCAAAATTAATTCTATAATACCGTAAGAAATAGCTATGATTTTAGGTTGCCACTAATACTGGCCCCACGTCAAATTTGTAAGACACTGAATAATCTCACAATTATTTTCATAAAAGTAATACATTTACCAGTTAAGCCTCAACACACCACACCAAAGAAAATAAACCATTAATCATTCATACACCACACCTTCTCACAATAAAAACAACCTCCTCCCCACCCCAAAAAAACCCTCATGAACCCAAATCTAGAAATATCTGCTGTTACTACATTCTAGAACCAACTAAAACTCCTCCTTACCTCATCTCTGGAAACACTGCTGATTTCAGCTGCCAATGAGTCCGAGAACGTGGTGGAGAAAAGGTTTTTGGCTCCCTGGATACTGAGGTTAATTATCTGGCCATTCAGCTCCTCATTTTGGTCCTTCAGGGTCCGTTGCTCCTGAAATGAAAAAGAAACAAATTTGATGGAATTTTCTCTCCACAACAGGTAGCTTGGCGGTCTTCAGTGTTAGTTTTGTCAACTACCAATTTTAGTCAAATTTTATTTAGTAGACTAAAATACGACTAAAACTAAAATTGCTTTTTAGTCAAAACACGACTAAAATAAATTGAAATTTGCTGCCAAAATTAACACTGCACAGAGGGGCGGTGGTAGGGGCAAAAGAAACGGGCTTGGGAGAGAGACACCTAGAGGGGCTGTGAGGACACAAATAGACACAGATGGGCTGGGGAAGGGGAAAAAGAGACAGACCAGGGCTTTGGAGAGACACATCTGGAGGGGCTGGGGTGGGACAAAAGAGACAGAGGCTTTAACTAAACCCATTAGATTTTAGTTGTGTCGATTCAGATCACTAAAATTAAAATGACTTTAGACGAAAGACTGACTAAAACTTGAAATGAAAATGGCCACCAAAAATTAACACTGGCTGTCTTGCAGCATTATTTTATTGATTTTAATAAAAACTTGCTCCATAGAGCTCAGAAGCATAAATTTGTAATGCAGGTCAGACCTCAGGTCACACTTTACAACCCCTTTATACCTGTTTAAGTCTTCGCACTTCCTGCTCTAGCTCAGTTTCCCGAGTTCGGCTGTTATATTCTTGCAGGGCGGCGCTATTTCCAAGCCCCAGGCGGTGTTCCATTTCAAGTCGCATCAGTTGCATCTGTTCAAGTTCCCGGCGAAGCTCCTCAATCACCTGTTGCCAATTTTTTTTTTTAAATGTATTTTTTAAATCACAAATTGAAATAATGCAATGAAACTATCAATTCCTGTCCTGATCATCTTTAAAATCTGATAATGGATAAAGCAATGCTCTAGGTACCTGGCCTGCGTGGTGATCAATGTATTCTTAAACTGTAAACCAACCAGGTGGTGTCTGTTTACTCTGGAGCCAGGGATGGCTGTGTATTAAAGGGATACTAAAAGTGCTAGGAATACAAAGAGGTATTCCTGGCACTAAAGTTCCCTCTGCCTCACCTCCCTTGCCTCACCCCCCCCCCCACCCCAAAATCAGTGAATAAAGGGTTAAATACCCTTTACTTACCTGATCTCAGCACCAATGTCTCTCCTTGAATCAATGCTTTCCTACGGAGAAAAATCTGACACTGGAGGTCCTCATGCAGAGCGGGAGGACGTCCAGCGTCAGATACTGGACCAAAGGTTTGTTTCGATCCAGGAAGTGCCTTCAGTGACTGTCTGGGAGACAGCCACTGTGGGCAGACAGTTTCTCTGGAACTGCAATTTTTAACATTGCAGCACAAAGTGCAATAGGGACAATGCACCCAGACTACGTCAATGAGCTGAAGTGTCTATAGTGTTCCTTTAATATCCTATGTACAATTCATAGATGGCATTTGTGCATAGTGAACAGAAAATAAGCACGGAATCCATGCGTGTAAACGGTATATTTTAGAATAGATAACCTGTGGGGAAATATTATATTGGTGAAACACTAGCTCTGTAATAGCTCTGATAATATTAACCATCTGAATAATACCAATACCCTCTGACTGATAACTGAAGCCTCTATGAAAACATGGTTGATTGTGAGCATGTATTTTAATCACAGTTCTAGGTGCAGGAGGAGCTACATTGAGTCTCGCACATCAAGGAGCCAGACTAATAAATTGTCAGACTTCACGATCACCCTTCGAGGCAGACAAGTATACGGACAGGAAAACTACCAGGTCAGAGTTGGTCACCACACTTTGTACGAGACCCCTCTATAGGTGTACATGTGTCTGCGTAAAAGATCAGTCACGGTATGGAAAAGAAAAGCCACGCAGTCTGCGGGTAGACCTGTAGAGACATACGGTTTGGGCAGAGTACTGCTGGTAAGAGGTGGGAACTCACCTCTTGTGATCGTTCCCTCTCACTCTGCTGTTTGTGCTTTTCTTTGTTAAGTCTTCCACCGAGTTTCTGATTAAGTTCCTTATTTTCTTTTACTTGTTGCCGCAGTTCTTCCACCTGATCTCTCAGCTTCTGGTTCTCCTACAAACCATGTTGAAAGATGGCACATTATTGTTTACTTAATCACAGATTGCTGGATTTACCCATCCAACGCTCTTCATCCATCAGCTATGTCTCCCAACACAGTTCTCGTTCTCAATTACTATTCAACCCTTTGCCATATCACCATCTATCTTCATTTCCACCTAACTTAACATGGGTCGGTTTATCTCAGATTACCAGTCTTCATATTAAAATTATCAACCATCATCACCTACAAACTCTTTGGTCTGTCCAGCATGCTTACCTTCACCACCCAACTCTTTGTGAGGTCCGATCACCCTGGGTCTAGTACAAAGACACGCAATGACATGCATACACAGCCTTACACATACAGATGCAAACTAACATACACAGTTATAATATCCCTGCTTGCCTGCTGTCTGAGGGAGCAAGGGAGTAAAGAGAGACTCTGCTTTGGGCAGCTCTCCCTGGTGTCTAGTGTTGCGGAGCAGGAGAGGTGTGCACTCACCAGATTAGTCTTCCCCTCACTGACAGCAAGGCTGTGGGTGCTGGGAATACGCTGCCACATACTGGCATCAAGCGACTCTCACACAGGATGTCTGCATGAGAGCCACACCACTACCACACCTCCACGTATTTACTGTTGTACCCATTGCATTCTTGTCTGGAAAACTGGTTAATTTGTAAATATGATCCCTGATGCTTTGAAAAACTTTTACGTTTTAATAAAAAAAAGTTTTAAATGGGGAAACACACTTCCAAGCTGTTGAGAGGCAACTGATGCAACATAAATGAAGTTGTACTCTTGTCGCAAGCCCCGGCCCAAACCAGGATTAGTTGACGTTTGTTTCCAAATGAGGAAGCAGAGTTTAAGCTACACATTTGCTGAATAGTTTTCCAGCACAATATTTGATTCAAGTTAAAGATTTCTGAAGGTTCACTTGACTTCCCCACATTTTGTGAAGGACAGAACCACATTCTGATGAAAAATGAAGGTATTAAGAGATTATTCTAGTGATACAAACTGGTATATTCTAGCAGTAAAACTATTCTAAATGCAACTTCTCCTTACGATAACATCCAAACAGCTTGATTACTAGTAATCATAAAAAGTATCACTGTTTGTTCTCACCTCTTCCAGCCTCTGCGTTGTAGCCTTGGCAGTAGGCAGTTGAGATCGGAGTTCGAAGTTCTCCGCTTCCAGCTCCTGCACTCTAAAAGCAAAAAAATAAATAAATGTGTACATGATTTCTGAGGTCCGTTAAAATTACCGTCCAACTCTGGAAGCCTTGAAATGTCAGTTCTGATTCCATAACAAGGTGTTGTATGTGAAAATGAATGGAGTAGGCCTCTTTTGCAATACAGTGACGCACCGTTTTTATTCACAAACAAAAAGACAAAACAATCCTCTCTGTTCTTTTAACTACACACTACCAACATTAAATCCCTACTACCCTCCAAAAAATGTACAGTATTTTATTGATCACAGCAAAAACCGGATCAGAAAGAGTAGGTTTTTAAATTTTATAAAGTGAAAGGAAAAAGTTAACGCTTACCAAAAAAAAATGTAATTTAAAAAAAAATAAAAATAAAAAAACTCAAACCCCTCCCAAAATAAAAAAAAAATAAAAAATAAAAAAATACAGAACAGTTGAACTGATCATTGATTTAAAAAGGAGTTAACAGATTAACTCCCTTTTAAATGCTGGAATACTTTCTCTTACCTTTCTTTGTATCTCTGACCACCCTTCCTCTGGCGCCCCAAATCAGAGTGGGAAAAGAGTCTGTGTTAATGACAAAGCTGGTGTTTGTCGTGTGTGTGTGTGTGTGTTATAGGAATAGCAGTGACTGCTTGTCACCATGATTACGTTACCCTAAAGACTACCAACTAAATCACAGGGGACTAATTCAGTTGCTGAGGAAGTCCCTGCATCCGATCCCGGAAGGTAAGGGCGTGCAACTCCATTAAATGTAAGACCAATGCTTCAAACCATTTTAAGAGGCTTCATAGCCCTGTTTCTAGTACAGCATGAAAATTCCTAAAGACCTTAAGATTAGAGTTTCCAGTGTCCACATGCAGACAGCGCTTGCTATAGAAGTTTTTAATCTCCTGATCTGTTAATTACCTGCTACTGCCTAGTAGCCTCCTGTGTGACATTACCTGAAGCCAAATAAACAAATCAAAACGTCACTGGAATAAAGAATAACTCTTCCATGCCTGCAGCTTCTAAATGTACTATCTGTCCACCATGCTTGTCTAGGAGAATAATTTATTTTATTGATCACTTCTTAGTAGAAACAAGGAAGTTATGGCTGGGCAATAAGGATGTAGATCAGCTAGGCTGTCGAACCAACCGTAGACTAGGTACTTGGGGAAACCAGTTCAAAAATAATTGCATATTTAGTTGTAAACTGTCTTGCTCAAATCAATAATAATGCATATTTATGTCGTGTTTTCCCTTTAACCCACAACATAGAGTATGGGAATTAAAAAAAGACTCATCGCGATGCAGGCCTGACTGTCATGGAGGAGAGAGGTGTTTTGCAGGAGCTCCTCTCCTAGGCAAGCTTGAACCACAGTTCTCACCCACATTCAGCCTCAGAGGGAACGACTTTATAGAAGCATACAACTCCTGACCCTCCTGGGACCCACTGTGGGGTGTAAAAATCTACAAAGAGCACATCTGCTGCACTGTTCCAACCATGCGGCCAAGGGCACACCGGACGGAGGAGGCGGCCGATCCTCCGACCTGGAGTTGTCTGATGGTACGCAACAGCACACGAGAACCCCATTACCCCCCCCCCTCGGACCGGTGGGGGTTATCCCGGTCCACCCCTGGGAGGCCTCACAGACCTAGCGGGAGATAGAGACAAGGCCAAAGCGGTTACCACAACCTGCAGCGACACAGCCAACATTGCGGGCGCAGATCGGGCCCCCGACAAGACGGAGGACAACCCTGATATCCTGGCTAGGCTGGACAGGATTTTCGACGACTTCTGGCGCAAGCTGGAAAGTAAGCAGTACCAGCATGTCCGGAGCCTGCCAGGTGACTACTCGCAGCACAAACCAACCCAGGTCACACAGCAGAAGGCCGCAGTTGCGAGGCCATGCCGAGCCCTAACATGGCGGCGAGGCGGGAAACGCTCCGTGCCGAGAGGCGCATACACCCACCCGGGTAAACTACCAGAGGGTAAAAGCTCGCCTCGGAGACACCCTCCAAAATCAGCAACGGCATCAGAGGGAGCAGTCTCCTCATGGGGGCGCAACCTACATAATGCCTCCCACATGCCCAGGAAAGCGGAACAACATGTACCCACGTTGAAGGCTCAAACATGGCCGGCGCTCAAGCAGCAGAGCCCGACTAAACTATCCGCAAGACAGAGACAGGAACTAACTAAAAGCAAACCACAGCCCTGTTGCTAGAGGATTGCCGTTGGGGTACCTCGAGCCCGGATGTACTTATACTATGCACCGCAAAAAATTAAAAATTATAAATAGTTCATGCAAAAAAAAAAAAGACTCATCGCATAGTTTACCCCAATTAACTAGAGGTCCTCGGTACTTAAAGGACCACTCCACACCCTAAGAGCACTTCAGCTTGCCGAAGTGCTTTATGGGTGAGGAGTATCCTCATTTAACCCAGTTTATAAAAGTAAGGGGTTATATAGAAACACATTTTCAAATTGCAAAATGTGATTTTAACTCAAGGCTATTCATTTTTAAATGGTGCCTGCCAAACAATGTAGACACATCAGCAAGCAATTAAAGGGACACTTTAGTCACCAAAATAACTTTAGCTTAATGAAGCCATTTTGGTGTATATATCATGCACCTGCAGTCTCACTGCTCAACTCTCTGCAGTTTAAGAGATAAATATCTTTGTTTATGCACCATAGTCACACCTGCCAGCATGTGACTTGCACAGCCTTCCTAAACACTTCCTGTAAAGAGTCATCTAATATTTAGACTTCCTTTATTGCAAATTACGTTTAATTTAAAAACGCTTATCCACTGTACTGTTAATAGCTTGCTAGACCATGCAAGAGCCTCCGGTGTGTGATTAAAGTTCAATTTCGGGAGCAGGAGATAAACTTTCAAAGTAAGTTATATCTGATTGAAAGTAAACATTTTTATTTCATCCAGCCTGTGAGAGTCACTGCTGGGGAGTAGGGGCTACGGCTGCATGGACAGAAACAAAAGTGATTTTACTTCTAAATGGCAGTGAATTGAGTAGTGAGAGGCATGATCCATACACCAAAACTGCTTCATTAATAAAAAGTTGTTTTGGGGACTATAGTGTTCCTTTAACACAAAATCTGTCTCATATTTAACCCTTTCTAGGGATTCATCGACCGGTTGATAATGGCCAACCCTGATCAATTTGAAGATTATGACATAGAAGTTTTCCTTAATAGATATACCCTGAATTAAAAAAAAAATACATAATTACATGCATGCAGGTTTTCATTTGGTGTTTTATTTACTAAACAGATTCATTTTTGTTCAGATACTGGAGTCTCACTTTAAGAGAATAGTAATATATTTCAAGTCACTTGGAATTTGCCCATTTTTTATTCTCTCTTTAGAACATTTATTTGTAAGACTTAGTGGGTCTTAAACTGGTAAAGCAGCGTCCCAAAAGGAACCTTAACTTAGTTGAGAAAAAAAAACAACCAAACACTTTGTGACTGCCATCCAAACAGGATCTATCCAAATATTTATGCTCCAGCTTGCTCTTGCAAATTAGGCTTTCAGTAAACAACGGTCTAGAAAGATTAGTTGCAAAAACAGCTATTTATTTTGAGAAGGACCTGAAGTGGCACAGTCTCGATTAATCTGATCAGAGCTGGATCAGACATTTGAGAATTTAACTCACCGTGCTTTCAGGCTGCTCAGTTCGAACCCACGGTCCCGTTCCATCTTCCGCAGCTCGTCTCTGTGTTTACGCGTCTCCTCATTTTGGACCTCGTCTGATCTTAGTTCCTGATCTTTCAACTGCTCCTCTAAAGCATGTGCTCTGACCAGCAAAGAGTTAAAAGTAGTTTTAAGGAAAGAAAAAAAATAAAGAGCGTAAACACGAAAAACAATAACACTAGTCTAAACCGTAACATATGTTTTATATAGAATATATATATATATATATATATATATATATATATATATATATATATATATATATATCTATCTATATCTCCTGGCTTGGAGCTCAGGGTTCTGTTCACTCACCTATGTAATAAGTGCAGGTTTTCTTGCCGGAGACGATTTTGCTGTTCCCCAGTGGTGCTGGCTTCACGTTCCAGCTCAGTCACTCTATGCTCCAAGTACAGAACCTGTAGGGGAAAAGCAAAGTTAAAAAGAAGTGGGTATAAAGGAAAAATTGTTTTTTTCTGTGTGTTCAGAGTCATATTAATCTATTTCATAGGTAGCCTTCCAACCATCACATGTGATACGAAGGCAAAGAGGGATATTTCCCCAGACCATCTTTGTTTGTGGTGCTTTTTTTAAACTTTTTGAGATACCAGCAGACAAATTTCAATCGATTTGCCTAGAAAAAGCACATGAATTTGCTTTGTATGTTTGCCTGCTATATGGCAAGGGGGGGGGTAGAAATCGAATCGATACATATGCAAATCATACTTTTTGTTCAGGGTTTGAATTTCATATTTTAAACCAGACAGTGGATTTTAACGAATTAGTTCTGCTCAGAAATATATTAACTTTTGAGAAGAAAGTGGTTATCAGCAAAAATCAGCACGGTTTTATGAAGCACAGGTCATGTCCAACTAACTTGATTGCGTTCTACTAAGAAGTAAGTAGAAGTATAGATCAGGGTGCTGCCGTGGATGTGATCTATTTGGATTTTGCCAAGGCATTTGAACCAGTTCCACACAATAGATTAGTGTTCAAACTTAAAGAATTCGGTCTAGATGAAAATTCTTTTTCTTGAGTAGAAAATTGGCTTAACCCCTTAAGGACCAAACTTCTGGAATAAAAGGGAATCATGACATGCCACACATGTCATGTGTCCTTAAGGGGTTAAAGGACCACTCTAGGCACCCAGACCACTTCAGCTTAATGAAGTTGTCTGGGTGTCAGGTCCAGATAGGATTAACCCTTTTTTTCAGGGCACTATAGTGCCAGGAAAACAAGTACATTTTCCTGGCACTATAGTGGTCCTTTAAGGATAGAGTACAACAAGTGGTCATTAATGGTAAATTTTCAAGCTGGACAGAGGTGGTAAGTATTGTCCCTTAGTGTTCTGTTCTGGGTCCCCTTCTATTTAACCTTTTTATAAATGTCCTTGAAAAAAAGCATTGAAAGTCAAGTTTCAGAGTTTGCAGATGACCCAAAACGCTCTAAAGTAATACAATGTGAGCCTCATATTGCTTTGCTGCAGAGGGATTTAGATAAATTGGGGAACTGGGCACTCAAATGGCAGATGAAATGTAATGTTGAAAAATGCAAAGTTATGCACAAGAAATGTATACCCTTAATGGCAGTTAATTAGGGATAACACACGAAAAGGACTTGGGAATTGTTATAGACATCAAACTATGCAACAATGTGCAATGTCAATCAGCAATCGGCAAGTCCAGTAAGGTATTGTCATGCATGAGAAAGGGCATTCATTCTCGGGATGAGAATATCATTTTGCCTCTTTATAAATCACTGGTAAGACCACACCTTGAATATGCTGTGCAATTTTGGTCACCTGTTCTAAAGAAGGATATTATTGCACTAGGAAGAGTACAGAGGCGAGTTACAAAATTAATAAAAGGAATGGAACATTTTTGGTATGAAGAAGGGTTAACAAATGTAAATCTCTTTAGTTTAGAAATACGTCGCCTAAGAGGGGACCGGGGCCAATACAAACCATTGTGTGGAAATCTATTCACAAACCAGATTTTACATAGGACACGAGGTCATGCGTTTAGACTGGAAGAAAGAAGATTTTGTCTTAGACAAAGAAATTGTTTTTTTACTGTAAAAACAATAAGGATGTGGAATTCTCTGCCTGAAGAAGTGGTTTTATCAGAGTCCATACAGGGGTTCAAATAGCAACTAGATGCATACTTGCAAAAATAGAATATTAAAGGTTATAATTTTTCAATGTAAGGTAATAGCTTCTTGAGCCAAGGAATAATTTGACTGCCATTCTGGGGTCAAGAAGGAATTTATTTTCCTAATTTGTTGCAAAATTGGAAGTGCTTCAAACTGTTTTTTTTTTTTTGCCTTCTTTTGCATCAACATGGATGCAAGTCTCTTTTCAGCCTATGTAACTATAACTCCATTGCCATCCTTTTCTTCATTTGGTCTTGCTCAATACTGTACCTTATCTGTGAGGTCTGTCTCATCATAAGCCAGGTCTGTGGGATGTCTCTCCATTGCATCCTCTGCCAAGAAGCTGCTGTTATGTAGCCGTCTATAAAACAGAAGAGATGATCATCAACCACTGATCAGGCGTTGAACATGACGAACAGTCATGAGAAGGTCTAGCTCCTGTTAACACACACACTCACCATATTAATACATTTTTATTAAAGGGACACTCCAGAACCCAAGAGCAGTTTTTAGCTTGCTGAAAAGCTTTATGATTGAAGAGTATGTCCTCTTTATCATTTTGCAAAAAGTGCAGATTTCAATAGAAATTGGCACTTTTATAAACTAACCGTATAACACCTCCCTGGCTGTCAGACACTTACTCATGTTATTTCCTGGTTTGTTTAGCTCAGTGGAGCTAAACTCAGGCAGCAATTGCTCAGAGCACCTGCCTTGCAAAGACTTCTCATTGAGCTGCATTGGGAAGTCCGTGATTGGACAGCCACAGAAAGTCTCCCTTTAAGAAAATAGTAATATATAATCAAGCCACTTGGAATTTAACCATTTAAAAAAAAAATTCTCTCACTTTGCAACTTTTATTTGTAATTCTTAGTGGGTCTTAAACTGGTAAAGCAACGGCACAGAAAGAACTCTCATTTGGATTATAGCTCAACATGTCATGCCATGCACGATTAATTAGTTTCCCTTTTTCTAACCCCATCCAAACACTGGCCGCAGAGCACTTTGCCATGACATCAACTAACGCCATGCAGAACTTTTTATACTGTACCGCATGCAGAGCACAATGCTTTATTGGGCTCACCTTGCTTCCTTTCTGCTGGAAGGCCTTTTATCGGGGCTGCAAAACAGACAGAAAGATGGGTTGGTAATAAGAAGAGACGGGAAACGAGAGAAAAGAGGAAAAACAAACAAGATATTACAAGCACCATCTTTAACCTCCCTTCACCACAGCAAACAAGGGCCAGCACTCAGATAGTACCAACAGCTGGAGTAACACAGCAGGTCCACGCCACCTCGCTTACCTGATCACTGCTCTGTATAGAGAATACTGCAGGAGAACACAGGGAAATTTATACAGAAAGAGGAGGAAAAGAAAGAAAGGGGGGCAGGAACTGTAACTGGAAACTGTTAATAAATCAGGAGAGCTTCCTTGTCGGAAAAAGAGCTGGGGATGATTCCAGGCAATTTCCTGCTTCAGGAATAAAAGATAAAGATGGAAGCAGGGTAGACTACCCCCTCCCCAAAAAATGAACTACAAATAAAGTGATCGCTGGCAGGCTACAGAAATGTATATTTATGTCAGATACAAATACCAGAAACCAGGTAAAGCTGGTAGGGGAAGTTAAAAAAAAAAGAAAAAAAGAAAAAAAGAAAATAAAAAATAAAAAAGACGGGAAAAATTAAATCTACCATAAGGTGTATATGGGTGAGCTTTTAGATATATCAGAGTTCAGATAGGACAGTACGCTTTCAGCTGTATTTTATTTGATAAACCCTCTGGCAAGGGCCAGGGAAAAGAAATAAAAAGTCAAATAATAAAAAAAGAAAAGAAGAAAAAGTCAACCACAACTTGATATTTGGAGGGAAAAAATACTGGAGATTGGGAGTTTACCAATAGACTTCCCTACCGTGAAACCCACTGCATATGAACAAACACAAACATGCAGAATATCCCACATAGACGTCATGCAGTGCAACGCCACAACCTGGGACAGGGAGAACACATAGCTAGGATCCTTTAGAAGGTACGGACGTTGTTCATTTACCCCTCCATTGAGGGAGTGAGTGCGTATATTGCAGTATGAAATGCACCACTGTAAAAGTGGGTCAGTAGGTGTTACGCAATACATTAGAAAGCACACATTTCAATCGATACTTTAAAAACAGAGCTGCTCTGCAATACCAAATTTAGATGGCGCTAGATCTGGCTGCAGGTCTCGGGATGCCCTGCAAATCAGAATTTACGTTGAGGTGCGATATCGATAAGTCACACAGACAGAGTGGTAATGGTTTCTCCCTGTGCCCAGCGGGTGATAAGCATGCAGAGTCACCTGTCCATCTCTAAGTATCTGAGTCGGGTGGACAGATCTTCCAGACGATTAACATGTTTGTGGCACTGGCTACAGTACAAGCCGCCTCCGGATGTGCACTGGGGTGGCGCTAGAAGCTTGCGCTCTGATACGGGGGCACCACTGGAAGGAGGCAAAAGTTACCCATTAGGAAAGCTGTGGAATTGTGAGTTTCAATAGACTTGTTTAACATCACACCGTACAGTAACTGTAGCCCCTCGCCCAGTTTATATGGCAAACCAACAGTCCTGGCGTTTAAGATTTCCCCAATTCTGTTGAAATGAGGATATCACAAAATCCAGGATCGTTTGTGTGCCTTGATGGGTGGGTTGGCTTTTTCTACCAAATAAAAGGCAAATATTAGTCATATAATACAAATATTTTACAAACACACATGCAGACCTTTCTGTTCACCAATAAATAGAGGACTCAGCAGCAGAGCAATCCAGCTTTATAACACGGGCGTTTAAAAAAGACCTTTAAGTGTGTAGCCAAACAGTGCCTCCAACTTATCCAATAATGGGAGAGGACCCTAGGTCAGGGGGAGGATAACCTGTAATTCTCCAACTACTGATTGAAGTGAATCATGGGGATCTAAACACCTGATGTTATGTTAAAACCAGGTTTTCCAAAATTCTGCTGTGGCAGACGAGATGTGCTCATTAGTTCTTCTACACAGTCACAAATTCAAAGACTATTAAACTACTTCTGTACTGTCTATTTATTAACACAGACACTCAAAACTGTGCTCCCAAATCCCAACACCAATTAAAGGGACACTCCAGGCACCCAGACCACTTCTGCCCATTGGAGTGGTCTGGGTGCCAACTCCCACTACGCATAACCCTGCAACTGTAATTATTGCAGTTTTTTATAAACTGCAATAATTACCTTGCAGGGTTAACTCCACCTCTAGTGGCTGTCTATTAGACAGCCACTAGAGGGCACTTCCTGCATCATAGCACAGAAAACCTGTGCTAGAGTGTCGCTGGACGTCCTCACGCTGTGCGAGGACCTCCAGCGTCGCTCAATTCCCCACAGGAAAGCATTGAAAAGCATTTGGGGTGGGAGGGAGAGGACCTGCGGTGCCAGGAAAACGTTTTGTTTTCCTAGCACTAGAGATTCCCTTTAAGGATTGCTCTAACAAAACAGTCAGTGAAAACTGTATTTCGATAGAAATATTTTGTGTTTACCTGAAACCCATGCGTGGATCTGCTCACACTTGCACCAACATGAAGTCTGTGAGAGCCTGTGCTCTCGGGCTACTCGTCTAATTTGCAAAGTTTGCATCTTTTCCAAACAAGATATCCACTGACATTAGTCCAAATTAAAAGGGCATGATTTGTGCACATACCCAGAATCTCAAGCTGGGAAACTTTGAGAACACAGATCTGTTGGCTTGTCTGGTACAAGTCCTCGAACAGAGTTTACTGTGCACACAGGAAATGTTTTTCATGTGAAATGTTTACTCATCAAAATGTAACAATTCAATATTAAAAAGTTTCTGCATATTTCCCTAAAGCATTTTTTTTATGCTAGACGATGTATAATCTGATAGAACACTCCATCTCTAAACCGTATTAATATGTGTCAAAGTGTTATAACCAGGAGAGTAACATTTTATGCATATTGCAGGTTCAATGGTTAAAAAAAAAAAAAAAAAAAAGCCCTTTTCCCCCCCCTTTTCTAAAGGGACAGTAAAGGCACCCAGACACCTTCATCAGTAGGACTAAGGAGGACTTTGGAGGATCTTACTGGACCGTAGGTTGCCTAACTGACGCTGGATGTCCTCACGCTCTGCATGAGAGCATCCAGCGTCAGTAAAATCCCCCTTGGTTCAATGTTTTCCTACGGGGAGGGCATAATGCGCTTGTGAAACTTCCCGCGCATGGCATTAGGTTTCCCCATCGGATGACACTGGAGGAGGCGGAGCGCCGTACCAGTAAATAAAGGGTGTTTTTTTTAACCCTTTAAGTGCTGGGGTGGGAATGTTAACAGAGGGCTCTATAGTGTGAGCAATACAGCTTTGGATTCCCAACACTATAGTATCCCTTTAAGCTTGTGAGGGTTTTTTTGTTTTGTTTTTCAAATTTTTTTTATTTATTTTTTTAAATAGATTGTATGCTACTTGAAGCTTGCTCAGAAATAGAGGACATACACTTCCTCCATCTGTGACAGCAAAAAAAAAAAAAAAAAAAAGGGCTTGTGTATTTAAACAACTAATAACAGAAAAAACAAAAGAAGGATCCAGGTGCATGCTGGTAGATGGTATTGCCCTTCACAGACGTGTGTCATTGTTTACTCTATTTGTTGGTCAGTTTTAACACTCCTGATTGGACCACGTTTGGGACGTTACCTTGAGTTAAGCCTGGAGGAGCTGCAGACTGGCTGGGGAAGGCTGTTTTCCTCTTCTTCATCACACTGGCTGCTATAGAGATCTGGTTCTGCTCCTTCACCGAAATCCTCAAACTGTTCCTCCTGGCTGTTCGCAGTGACAATGGAAATGTCGCAAAGAGAGATCTCCAAACCCTCCGGCCTGTGAAAGTATAGGGGAGATTTATAAAGTGAGCAATGGCCGACGGCGCAAAAAGACGACATGACATGGGCTTATTCACTAAATCGTGGATGGTCAGGAATTCAAAGAAAAATTTTAAATATTAGGCTGGGATTGCTGAACTGGAAATAATTTCCAAGTCTGCTAGGTCTTCAGTTTGGCCTAAAAATTGAAATCCCTGGCAAGTCTCACTTAAGTGGATAACCTTGAGAGAAGACACTGAATTCACATACAAAACGCCAGGAATAGGGCACAATGACATCTTTGAACCCGGCAATGATTATTAAATAGTTGTGCGATGTGAAGTACAGTATATAAAAAAAAGAATTAAAAAAAAATAATTAACCTACATGAAGTGAATCGCTCGTCTGTTACATACATACATATCCCAAAGATGGATCTGTATACAGAGAAATAAAGGACAAATTCTACCTGCAGTTCTATAACCAGATTATGCACTAGTTACATTTTAGATTAGTATTTCTAAAATCCCCGGGGAGTATTAGTCTTGCACTACAGGGGGCGCCGTGAGCTACAATGAAGCCTAAATGACAGCATGGCAGTTGGTCAAACGGTTTGGAAGTCTGGGCAGCTGCAAAAAGGGCATCAGCTGGGGTGATAATCCAGCTGCGTCTTGGAAGTAAAACATTGTTGTATACGCCTTTACCATCTCATTTTTTGTATTCAAAAAACAAGTCCGTCCTGGTCAGCCTGCTAATATCCTAGGACGGGGTAGCAAGCTGGTATATCCTCCAGCTGTTGTAATTACTACAACTCCCATGGGGCTTCGACAGCCTTTACACTGGCAAAGCATCATGGGAGCTGTAGTTCTACAGCAGCTGCGATCTATCTTTCACCCACTCGTGTCCCAGAACACTTTACAATGTGCAAGGCTATCGAGCTTCTCTGTACTTTTCTTGCAGGAGTGTCAGGGAACTGCAGAGTACTCACGGTGTCCTGGGGTGCATTTGATGTACCCCTCCATCGCCTTCTGTTTCAGGGTCTTCCTGTGCAGCCAACGCTCCAGTGTCCTCATCTGTGAAGGTCTCACATTCACTGTATGCACTCTCCGAACCCACGTAGGCACTATCTGTAACTTCCGTTACCTTGGGGAAACACAAACAGGAAAATAAATTTTAAATATAGTTTTCCATATACAATTCGCAGTTTAGTGAATAAGCCCACTCCCCCCTCCCCAATTCCAGGTTCTGTGAGGGAAATCTGAAATAAATCCAAGCCAGTATTGGGAGAGTAGAAAACTGGTATCCATCATATTGCAACTTCAAGTGACTCATATAGGAAGACACTTTAACCCCTCACTTATCGTACCTGGATCTTTGGTTACAAACAAACCAGCCTTTGTGCTCTCCCTCCTACCCCCACATTAAGCTCCTCGCTAGGGTACCCATTGTTCCTTTGTTAACCAATTGCAACAAGGTAGGCAGTTATAGCATTTATTCTTGTAATGCATACCTTAATACAATGTGACTTTCCTAGTTTACCAAAACATATGTTTTCCCATTAAAGGGACACTATGGTCACCAGAACAACTACAGCTTATTGAATTTGTTCTGGTGAGTAGAATCATTACCTTCAGGCTTTTTGCTGTAAACACTGTCTTTTCAGAGAAAATGCAGTGTTTACATTACAGCCTAGTGATAACTTCACTGGCCACTCCTCAGATGGCTGTTAGAGAACCTTCCTGGGTCATGGCTGCCTAAAATGCATCTAAACATTCAGTGTCTCCTCCCTCTGCATGCAGACACTGAACTTTCCTCATAGAGATTCATTGATTCCATTCATCTCTATGAGGAGATGCTGATTGGTCAGGGCTGTGTTTGAATCATGCTGGCTCTGCCCATGATCTGCCTCCTTGTCAGTCTCAGCCAATCCTATGGAGAAGCACTGTGATTGGATCAAGCTACCACTGCTGCTGAGGTCAGCAGATAGCTTGTTTTTCTGAGTCATACAGCATGCAGAGTTACTGCTTCAAGCTTGAATACAGTAAGATTTTTTACTATCTTTATGGAGGCTTGAGGGGCCCAGGGGGGGCTATATGGTGTTTTTAACACTATAGGGTCAGGAATACAGGTTTGTGTTCCTGACCCTATAGTGATCCTTTAAATCGAAGTAGTATTAACCAAACATGTGATCAGTACGTGACACCCATTGAAGCACCAAAAAGCACCTAAAATGCAGAACATTATGAGTTATACAGTGTTACTCTGTATACGCCCATGCTAACAAAAGTATATATAATTAGATCTGCAGTCAACTCCCATCACCTCTGGCTGCCTGAACCAACTGAAAATTAAATTAGAAATATCAATTATAAAATTTTGCCCCTACCATGCTGCCAGTTTGGAGCGAGCAGAAAGACAGACTCACTCAACATATTAGGAATATTCCAATACCCCATTCAATGAAGCCCTAAGCTACGTTGTAATGGAAAACCATTTGCTATATCTACAGAAAGCGAGAATCAGTGGGGGAGAATCAACCCCTTCTATTTCACTGATAGAAAAAAAAAGAAAAAAAAACAACATAGGCTGCAAAAAAAATAAATAAAATAAAAATCAGTTCCTTGCATGGCAATTTGCATTTACTTTTCTTGTCGCATATGCTATAACTGATAAGAGCACCAGTAGGTACACCGAGTGTACACACACACTACCTGTGCATGGTGTTAAACCCTAGAGTATACAGTGTAAGCTTACTTGCCAACAGCAGTCTTGGGTATGTCCTACATTTTTGTCATACTCCTGTATGACACAGAAAACAACCAGTGTTCACCATAAGCACTTTTTGTTTGTAATCTGGCACTGAAACATTACAAGAATGAATATTTGGAACAGGAAAACCCTGTATATTGCTTAAAGTACTCTGAAGGGAGTATTTAAAGTAACCTGCAGTCTTTACTCCTCTTCACCTGGAGGACATCCAGCGTCCGTGAAATTCCCATAGGAAAGCATTGAGGCAATGCTTTCCTATGACTAAGCACTCGCCGCGCATGCGCATTAGATCCCCCGTCAGATGATGTCAGAGGAGACGTAGCACCAAGGTACATTGTAACTAGAATAAGCAAAGTGAAAAAGGGTTTGTTTGTTTTTTTCAAAGAGGGGGAGGGGGCGAGAAAGGACCAGAGGGTTCCTTAGTGTGAGGAATAGAGAAGTTGCAAAATCCTATATAATGAACCTTGAATACATACTTTATAACCGAGAACTTTACGGCAACACTGGATACACACTGGACTCCAACCCAAAAAAACACAAACAAACAAACAAAAAAAAACAAAAACACTATTTTGGTTAGAATAGCCCTACCTGTCCTTCAAAACACTGAAGTGGTCATGGTGCTTGAAGCAACGCTTTAACCTGGGTCTCAAACACTCAATATTTATTTTAATGCCACTGCAAAAATCAAACTCCTAATGTAAAATGCAAGTAAAAAAATAAATTAAATTGGGTTAAGAGGAGTATAAGAAAAAAAAAAACTAAAAAGTCAAATACATAAACACAAAAATGCATAGCACTCCTCAGATAACATCAAACAAGAAAAGAAAAAGGTTCAATTCCACTAGCAGTTACAAGAACACAAAAATTCTCTACTCAGCATTTTATTTAGGAGAAAATCATTTCCATTCCTCTGTTCACGGACAGATAACATTATCTGAACAAGGTTCAAAAGTCATCAGGAAGATGACAGGGGAGGTTACAGCACCAAATACATGATAATGCACACACAGCAACGACAAACACAGGCAGGCGTTCACCACAATAAACACCACTATCTGAACAATTGTATACTGAAATCATTTATTTATAAAGCACGGTTATGGCAGCTCGCTCTTTGGAAAGAATAACCGGAAAAAAAAAAAAAAAAAATGAATCTTTGAAATATAAAATTAAATATATGGGTTTCTGCTCTGGTAGTCAATCTATGCCAAAGGGCACTCTACAAAACTATCGATCACCCAACGATTAAAAAGTAACACACGGCGGAAGAACCTCACAAAGAAAAAGAAAGTGGTTATGGTGTTTGAAGTGCTCTCTGGATAGGGGGCCTGAAATTTTGTTTTCCCCATTTCTGGAGCAGGCTTATCATAATCACCAGGACCCAGACAATTTTACATTGTAAGTGGTTTATCGTAGCAGGACTGCTTTCTCTAGAGTAAAGGAGACACTTTCAAAGAGTTTAAGGTATTTTCTAAATTAATTTTAACGTCAGGTAGATAACATCTGGAGAGTGGGCTAGTGCGCGAATGTTCCAGTTGAAGGATGGGTTGACAAGTGTACGCCATGCATACAATTTGGGAAAAAATGTTGGATGGGATGTGGGATGTGGTAAGGGGGGGCCGGGGTATATATACGCAGGCTTTTTCCCACCATACCATTTTAGAAATTCCGGCGTGGAAACAGCTTTCCCTGGTTGTTATCAGTGCTAGTTGGTCGGCCTGATGGGCTCGGGGGCGTAGGAGCCCTGTTTTGCGAGCTGCATCACTTACTGCTCCGGCTGCCCCAGCTCCCTCTCAGTTCTCGCGGGCTGGGAAGCCGCAAGGCGGCCTGTTGTTGCAGCCGCTTGGTCAGTGAAGGTTGATTGAGAGATAGGAGAGTAGGCACAGTTTTCATATTTGTTGAATAGGGGGTGGGGGGGGAGTAATGTAAAGGTTTTCAGGGAGGATAACTGGGTCAGGACCCTGCATATAAACACGTAGTAAATTAGGGAATTGGGGGCACACCTGGAACATGCATTTCTCAGCAATGGTGCAACCGTAGAGACCAAAATCTACACAGCATACAGAGTAAGTAATAGCACACACAGAAGTATAGTTAGTTTTACAAGACTACTTAAATACGGGGATTCAATTCTACCATCCGTCCATATTGTGTTAAGCCCACCACTACGTCACAGTACCCCAATATCGGTGGGCCCTATACCAATGTTAAAGGTATTTAACAAAGTAATCAAATACAGTGGGCCGCTGTTCTTTAATCTGCATTCTGTATATAGACTTTCTGAAACACCTTGTTTAAGGAAGTATTGCTGAAACACCACAGCTTGCACAAGGAGGATGTAACTAGTCTTTCAGCTGAAGGATTTGGAGACTAAACAGACTTAAAGGGACCTTCTAGGAAACATTGAAGAAAATAAACATTAAAAAGTGGTTAAAATTAAAGGGCTAAAATACCCTTGAATTCCCTGTGTTTGCAGATTGTTCCAAAGTTTGCCTAGACTAGGGAGCAGCGGACACCTGTCAGCCAATCCTAGCTATGCCACAGTTTTCAGTGGAAACTGGGCATACGACACATACTGTGGCTCAGGTGGGATTATGGGTAATATAGTTCAGTAGTCAATACCTTTATTGATCGGAAAAGATGGTTACATTTCAGAGATAGATGCGTGTAAGCAATAAAACTCACAGTAATGTACAGCATGTATGAGAGTATCACAGAGCTCCACTGCAAAATAAACACAGTAATGCGCTGTAGGTATCACAGAGCTCCACGCAATAAAACTCACAATATTGTAACATAGGTTTGTGTTCATTTATTAGTTTGTGTAGATAAAACCCAACTTGTTCTTGTTGTTATAAGAGATTTACATAAACTAAAATGACATAACCACAGGCCATAAAGTGGTCTAAAAAAACCAAAACCCAAACAAACATTGTTATAGTCCCATTAGCCAACGACACATCCAGATAATTTTCTGAATGCAAGAAAGAGTCCTCCCAGTCTATCTGAAATGCCGGAGCTATTTAACATATTAAAAGGATGCACAGAGGGATTTATAGGGGTTGCAGATTTACACACAACAAAGCACTGGCGGTGGCCTCTATGCAGGTGGTCTCGCAGTAAGAAGTGGATTATAGGAAGCTTATGTCACGATAAATACTCCCAGAGTGGAGGGGGACCTTTTAAAAAAAGTCAGCAGACCTGGGTGCGATAATTCACTTACTGCACACAGCTATCCATCACTGGTATTTTCCAAGCGCTCTTGGTTAATATAGATGCTTAATATAACACACCGGGTTCTTTATTAACAGGAATCAGAGATAATCATAACTTTGGATGTTACGGCTCATTAACCTGGCTGTATACAGAACACCCTGTACACCTACTGCATGGAGAAATATGCAAACTGTGTACACACACTCAAAAACAGCAATATACACACACACACACACACACACACACACACACCAGCAATGTTCACGTCGCCAAGATTACAGATGATCATTTATTAAAATCAAGCAACAACATTGCACAGTGCAAGTAGTAAATGGGAAGAGAGGAGCATTTAAAAACAAAGTTAAAACATAAAACAACAGATCGATGTACAGAGTGAGGTACGTATTACATAGCGCACAAGCATAGCTGAAAACAAATTGTATGACTTAAAAATGCAGCAACCAGGCACCTTTAAATATACTGGCATATAAACATCTTGGAGCAGTTTATTTATAATTTTAAAAAAGTAAGCAAATCAAAATAAAAGGAATGTTAGAAATGGCTACTAAGTATACTTTCAAATATTTGTCAGTCTGTTTTGTATATTTACAAACATCAGTACTGCTGACATTGTAGAGACAGATACAGTATCAAGTAAGCTACCTCTTCTGTGTACGCATACATCATCTATGTAACAAGATCTCAACACGGAAATCAAATTGTATATCAAACACATCTGCTGAATACAGTGCCAGGACGAAAACCACAACACGTACATACACAGCGCAAGAGTTTTCTATACACCAGAGAGAAGGCAGTGTAACTCCAGAAGTGCACAGAAAGCTGGAAAGGTGTATGTGTACGTCTACATGCAAATCAGCACCCACCTGTAATAATGCCATCCTGGTAGGGATCCCAGCCTGTGCTCCTAGCACCAGCATTGCACCCTCAGACAGGGGTGCCAGTTTGTGCCAAGAGGTAGTTAGGAAAGCAGCCTTAGAGTCTTGGAGGGGGTAGGAGGGGGGAGGAGGAAGGGAACATTTGGGGAGGGGAAAGTCCAGAAAGCCTGAGCAGGGAATAGACCAGCTTTTGTTTCTGACCTTGTAACCTGGAGCTGCGTCTCCCTGGAACAGGGAGGGGACAAACCTGTCTGCAGTCATGTGAGCTTGCTACAGGTACACACCTCCTGTCACACAGAGCATTGCACCTGAGCAGCGGGGGCTGCAGAGTATCACTATGCTCCCATCTTCCTGGCCAGCAACAAAAATATTACACTTATGGGGTGATCACATTATCTTTGATCAACCTTATTGGAAACCCAAAGGCTGGGGTGCCTAAAATACAGCTCTCTGGCTGTACTAAAACTACAAATCCCATGGTGCTTTGCCAGCCTCACATCTGCAGCAGAGTTACCAATTAAACAGGTCTTAATAGCAAAATGATCCCTTCTTCTCGCTCTTTATGAAGAGAGAGTGGAATAAACGCCACATGCGTTTACACAAGGTTTCAGAATGTGGAAGTGTTCTTACATCACCCTGTTTAATGTGGGAGGAAGTGCTGAGGAGGTTTTTTTTTCCTGTGTAAATTGATAATACAACCCCGGCCCTCCCCCCCAAAATCACTTCCCCAAAGCCCCAGCATGAGGTGTTTCAAGTACTTTACAGTAAACAATGAAACCAATCAATCACACAATGGCTCTTCATGCGCCGGCCCTCTAAATGGACTTTGTTGCCTCCATGGCCTTCAGAGAGGGTATGTGGAGCACAGAAAAAGGAGGAAAGTGTCAGAAGTGAGAGTGAAGTGTTAAAACTAAAAACCTGGGACATACAAAGACCCCAAGTAATCTTCTAAACAGGCACGTGCTTACGTGAACTCTAAGAGAACATTTACAGGGTTATTCATTAAAAAGTGTGTTTTGTCAGGAATTCAAAACATATTTTGGGCCAAGAACAGCCAATAGACTGTTATGCTTAAAATGTGACATTCACTCAATTTCAAATGGATTCTCGCGGATCTGTGAATTGTTGGGAGTTAATTGTGTTCTAAATTACCCCTGCAGTGGACGTAGCCATGAGAGACGCAGAGTGCGAGGCCATTTCATTGCCCAGATATACCAAGCTACTCTGAGCCAGCATTCCAACATGGAAGTATGGTCTATGGAAGGTTTCTGAAATTACTTTGTGCTCAGATCACCAGTAGTCCAATGGCAAATACGTTTAAAGTTATAGAAGAAAAAAAAAAAAAAAGAGGACACTGTCACAACTAAATAATGACATAAAAAAATTTAAAAAAAAAAAGTAAAAAAATTACTTACAGGCTTTTATGTTCTAATCTTTTTTTAATTTTCATTTATAGGACATGCTGGCCACAAGAGCTAAAATAGATACCGTTTGTTAACTCCTGGGGTGCCGTGCATTCTGCTGGAGAAAATATCAAATATGCATGCGCTCATCCATAATTTATCTGTAGATGTGTGAGCAGTAATAAGAACAGCCAGTGCATTATGGGATGACTTCATTACCTACAGCCTAGTTCGGTGGAGGTAAGTACTTTACTTACCTCCGCTGCTTAAACACCGTGACCATGCCCCTCCCATCCAAATAAAGAACAAGTTAAAATTAACCTGTTATGACCGGTTAACTGTAAGTGAAAACTTCCCCCACAAGTCAATTAATCTATCATTTTTCATAGTGATTAATGAGATATTCTATTGAGAAATCGGAGATAAATTAAACCCATTGTTCCAGAAGAGCCACTAACAGTGTGTTCCGAGATCTTAACACAAACAGTGTTCTAAATCTACCATCACCACTAACCCCAATCCTAAGGAAATCCCCTGCTACTGTCTATTTAAAGGGACACTAGAGGCACCAAAACAACTTCATCTAAATTAAGTTATTATGGTGCCAGGAGGACCCTACAGGAAAAAAAGAGTTTAAACTGTTCTCGAACAGTTTAACCCCTAAGTTGCTTTCAGTGGTGATGTACACTTCTCCCCTGCAGCATTCAGCTTCTGAATTTTCAATCACAGGAAGCGCAGAGTGAAGCCGCTAATGCGGTCAGAGACTTCCCATTCCCAAAACTGGCTTCTAAAAAAGGTACATTTCTTTGCAAGCTAGTTTTGTGAATGGGGAATCGCTGATTGGCTGAGAGTGTCGGCCACTCAGCACTTCCTGTAACTGAATATTCAGAAACTGAATGATGTGGGTAGGATTAGACATCGCTGCTGGAGGCAACTTAGGGGTTAAGCCGTATAAGAACCGTTTAACACCTTAATGAAAGAGTGCCTCCAGGAGCCACCTGACACCATAACAACTTAATTTAGATTAAGTTGTTTTGGTGCTAGGAATGTCCCTTTAACAAGGTGGGCTGCATCTACCGGCCGTTTCCATAATAACACTCACTGTAATTATGAATGTAGCCCAGTTTCCCAGCCAATTACACGGTGGTCGGTGCTGGGCAACTGGGAAAGCCAAGCGCCGGTCACAATAAACTGGGGCAGGCTAGGAGACCCTGCCAAGACCTATTCGGACCCTGGGGGTCTCCATGAAGCAGCCTGCCAGCAATTAGTGCTTTTATGAAGATATTTAAAAAGGCTATAAGCAGCACTGCTTACAGCTCATTGGAGTCACTAAAAATGGCCCCATCGGACTAAGATGAGGGGTATCCATTGATACCGGAGTTTACTGCAGTTAGCAGTGATTTAACCCAGCTCACACCATGCTGTCCTACAGGTATCTAAACAAACTGTGTAGGGAGCGTATAGAACGTCCTAACATCATTATGGGGAGTATTATTGTTGTGGAGCTCTGTTATACACTCAGACACACCAACAATATGGAGCTCCTAGAAAAGAGGGACATTAGAACAGAGGTATTTGGGCCCAAAATAGGGACGGTTCCTCCTAAATATTGATACTTGGGTGGTATGAATACATTTAAAAAAAGGGAAAGACACTCCCATTTGAAGCCCCTGTATTTGCTGTAAACGTCCATGCTTTGAATATTCTGCAGGAAGCTATGCCCAGAACAGGGTATGGATCCTCAGTCATGATTCTCAGTCTCTTGCAGACTTTTATCCCATAAATCTACCACACCATCGTATAGGCTTGGTGGGAGTTCAAGTACAGTGATCAGGTTTCTGCTGTGGAATGCTTGTAAGGGGAACTACAACTCCCAGAATCCTTTCCTGTACAAGCTAATAATGAGAACCACAGTTGTATTACTGGAACAAAAAAGGAAAAAACGGGACAGTTTGGAGGTGGAGAAAGGATAAAAGCCATTTCCTACTAAAAACAGGCAGGATAATTAAGTGTAACCTAATCTACACATTGCAGCCAAGGTGTATGGCTGCCTGGAGTGTGCCTTTAATTATTCCTGATAGGAGGTTTCTGTTACATTAACATTTTGTGGTATAGTCTATGGAATCAACAAAACAAACGCAACAGTTTCAATTGAATGTGTGTTTAGAGAAGGATTTTGATAAACAAAAATATTTTACAGCTCGGATGATCAAAGGCCTGGCCGTTTAACAAAGAGGGGGTATTGTATAAATGCATTATATAAAAGGACATGATTGACACCCGTTTGTAGACCTGAGATGTCAGAGTGAATCTACTTAACTAATAAAAGGTATCACCATAACTAATTATCTCTTAATCTGTCTGCAGAATTTAAATGAGAAAAAAAAAAAAAACGACAAGGGAGTCTGCGAAACAGGATACACAGAATACATAGGGGGCGGTATTTATAAAGAGATTCTAAAAGTGGAATTATTACCATGGTAACTAGCAAGTTACTCCAGTTTTAGAACTTTGCCCCAGAATTCCCATTTATAAATAATCACCTTATAGTAAACTGGAGGCTAATAGGAGCCATTCATTAGAATGGTGGCAAGGTAACAAATGCGCAGACAGATCACCTGTGTATCCGTCTGGTTATTTCATAGGGATTTTTTCATTAACCAGTGAAAAGAAATCGTAAAAGACGGAGACCATAAAAGCAGGTTTTAAAATATTCTCTGATTCTTCTGCAGTCAGTCTGACTTGCAATTCTGTTTTCCCTTGAATATTAAGTTAAAGGGACACTATAGTCACCTGAACAACTTAATGAAGCAGTTTTGGTGTATAGAACATGCCCCTGCAGCCTCACTGCTCAATCCTCTGCCATTTAGGAGTTAAATCCCTTTGTTTATGAACCCTAGTCACACCTCCCTGCATGTGACTTGCACAGCCTTCCATAAACACTTCCTGTAAAGAGAGCCCTATTTAGGCTTTCTTTATTGCAAGTTCTGTTTAATTAAGATTTTCTTATCCCCTGCTATGTTAATAGCTTGCTAGACCCTGCAAGAGCCTCCTGTATGTGATTAAAGTTCAATTTAGAGATTGAGATACAATTATTTAAGGTAAATTACATCTGTTTGAAAGTGAAACCAGTTTTTTTTTTCATGCAGGCTCTGTCAATCATAGCCAGGGGAGGTGTGGCTAGGGCTGCATAAACAGAAACAAAGTGATTTAACTCCTAAATGACAGTGAATTGAGCAGTGAAATTGCAGGGGAATGATCTATACACTAAAATGGCTTTATTTAGCTAAAGTAATTTAGGGGACTATAATGTTCCTTTAACCCCTTAAGGACCAAACTTCTGGAATAAAAAGGGAATCATGACATGTAACACGTCATGTGTCCTTAAGGGTTAATAAATTTCTAACGCTGTATGTCTTGTTTGTACTTCCGATATGGAGAACAGAAATAATACCATCTCCAACCAGCAGGGTGCAGCAGATAACCTGTGGTTTCATATTATCCTATCCATGGCTATTGTCAAGGACAAAATGATAACTACGATGGCCAATATACACTAAGGGATTTATGCACTAAACTGGGAATTTAGGGACACTGACAACTGAATTCACATTTTGGGCCAAAAGAGAAAACTCCTGATTTGTAGAAATGTTTCGATTTAGCGATTCTGTCCCGATACATGCCATTATCTAGTCTATTTTCCATAGCTGCCCGCTAAACGTATACATATCATCCCTTTGTGTATTTGTAAGCACGCGTCCACGTCGAAAATAAGTGCACGGCTGCATGTTTCAGTGTGTGCTTATTTGTGTATCTAAACCCATTGTGTGAATTTGTACACATTGAGTGAATTCATGTATATCAGTACTGTTGGTATGTTTGAGATCGCAGGCATGAATTTTTGTATAGTATGCAAGGACAGGTTAGAAGCCAATTCACAAATAAAAGGTTAAAAAGCAGCCAAATCATCAAAAAGGTAAGACCAACACTCCAAGCACCATAAGCACTACAATACAGCGCAGTGCCCTGACAACCCCCATTGTCAGCAGTCATACAGTTTTAGAACTGTTTGACGTCTAACCTGGGGAGCTGCTCCCACCTTTTCCTTAAGAGAGCCAGAAGCTAATGCGTCGAAGCACCTGTAAGCCCTCCTCAGCCAAGCCCTGCAGTTCACGGTTAGCTCATTGTCTAAGGTCAGCTGATTGCTCTCAGCGTGTGAGGTAAGCCCTGCACAGACAGAGACTTTCCGGCACTCTGTTGAAAGTAGTGGAGGCAGGAAACAGCGCCCCGGGGTACCCCAGGAAAAAAGTCTAACTGTTCTGTGCTTGTTTGACTCCTTAACCACTGCAGCACACTTTAAAAAGGACAGTATGATGAAAGTGTCCCTGGATTTTGGGAGGCAAAGGAAGTATTGAAAACACTGTCAAAGTGAATGTTAAGGGATGCGTGTGTATAAATATGTGTGTGAAGCTGAGCGAATCGGTGAATGGTGGCCTACATGGGGAGGGAGTGAGAGAATAGGTGGTTTCATTATAGGTGTAACACTTCATTCCACTCCATTTATGACAACATTGATAAATGGCACTCATCACAAAAGAAAGAATAATACAAATAAAAAAAAAAAAAATTGTAAATACTTTGTATAGAAAAAAAACAAACAAAAAAATAAACCCTCACCTTTAGATTGTAAGCTCATTTGGGCAGGGCCAGTTACTTTTGTGCGTGTATGTAAAATGGGTTTTGAAAGAATTAAATGATTGTTTTGTTTACCTTTTGTACAGTGCTGCAGAATATAAATAATTGTAAAGAAAAATGACAAAAAAAAATAATCAAAAGACAAACATCACAAAAACACAAGGCATGATAGAAATTACAATGTGAGCAGCTAACATGTAGATAAAAAAAAAAAGGCGCAAAAGTAGCCCCAATGAAAATACCCCATAAATGCGCAAAAAAACAAAACCAAATACTACCACAAAAATACAAATTGTAATCTGCTACATTGTACACAATATCCACCTGGTTTGTATATTTTATGAATAAGATTTTTAACAGAATATTATCCCTTTAAATGTACATTATAGTGGAGCTCAGGTGACGGACAAACAACTGCAATGCAAACCCGTTAGTCTAGCCAGATTAACTATAAATGGTCTGTCAACCCCAGATTATGCTTTCAGTAAATCTTTATAAAAACACCCTAACGACATAAAGTCCGCCAATCAGCAATCTCAGCGCTAGGCTCAACGCATGCAAAACACCATATGTATAGTTTCATTGAGCGGCTAATTAAACATTGATAAATACATTACAAATCTGGAGTTACAACGTTATCTTTGTTAATTGCACATCAATTGGATACATTTCAAATGAAGGCAACAACACAACATAAACATGCGTACATCCCACTATTGTATAAAGGCAAAGGAAGATCGCAAGATTAAAAAAATAAAATAAAAAATAAAATAAAAAAAATTTGTTTAGTTTTTTTCTACACACACACACACACACACACACACACACACACACACACACACACACACAACACAAACTCAAAGCAACTAAGGCATGTTATTGTTATCGCAGTGCTGTTATGTCATTTAAAAGGCTGGATAAGAGCAACAAGTATTTCATGTAGGCTATGGGCACACAGATGTGTGTATATGGGACAGACTGGAATTGCAAGTTTTAGGACAAAATATAATTGTTCCAGTTTGGTTAGATTAGCCTAAAACGAGTGGATTAGTAAACATAGAACAAGCAAATTATCCACTCCAGACCAGACCAGACTGTACAGGTTACTGAAAAGGAACAACGAGCTCACCTGTGCAGGTAAGTACAAGTGATGGATGTGCCCATTCGGTTTATTTTAGTGGTGTAAATAAAAGTGACAAAGCATTTGTAAACACAGGTAGGACTCTCTTTATCTTGGGTTAGTTAATGCTCATTGTACAAAAGTGACAAGTACCAAATGAAAATCCCAAAACCAAAAATAAATAAATTCATATAAGTTGCTGACCCTGATGAATTTGTGCTGTATGATTTTAATAATGAGTCCTTATCAGGGACCAGTAATGGGTTAAAACAGGGATCCACAGAGAGAAAGATATTCGTTTATCATATTCCTTATAAGCTGTCCACACTGCTATCAAGTTTTAAACACAGGTGAAAATACACGTGACAAGTGCCTGATAAGCCTTGGCCCAATGCCACAGTTCAATTTTCCCACGGATTGATTTTCTCAAGTGCAGATAGTTTGTTGCATGACGTTATTCACCAAACTCTGAATCATAGTGAATGAAAATCCGAATTGCAAAATTTAGGCAAAAAAATAGAACATTTGGAAACAATGAAACACTCCTGTTGTGATGTACATTTTGAAACTCCATCACCAACTGTTTAGTGTAACAGCTAGGAAGCTGCAAATTTAGCCAAAAAGCAGAGGAATCTGTTAATTACTAGCATCTTAAAGAGGAAGAGATTATTAACCTCTTCCTTGCCACAAATAGCAAGTGACAGAAAACAAAAACCCATAAATATCAAAACAAAAACAGCTTTTACCTCAAACGCTGCGAGGTCATCAAAATCCACAGAGCAGGCCGGCTCCTCCTCGGACGGATAGCCCATGTCGTAAAGTTGCAGGTCAAGATCTACCAAGAGGAGAGCGACAGTGATCACCATGTTATTCAATAAACCATCCGCCATTTACACACTGCATTAACAAAGTAACATTAGAAAAAGTCATGCAGACTTAAAGATCCAGCATTTAAATCAAATATTTTCAGGTATAATCACTAAAGTGTGAGAATTGTTTGGAATTCAGTTAATTTCAACATTTAGGCCAAAAGAAGTGAACTGGAACAATTCATCAAGTCAACTATATTTTCAGTTTAACAGTTTTGGCCTGAAATTAGTTTGAAAAGTTCCACAAACAGTAGCGCAAGAGTGTTTTAATTTTTTAACTTTTCTTCATATTTTACCTTGCGACTGCAATAGCAAATTTCAAGGTATTTCTACCCAGAATGGCCATCTCCCTGGGCATCCTATTAACTTGCATATACTCCTGGGTGACCATCTCCCTGATGCTGTGCCCCCTCCCTCACACCGGTTTAACCTGTTTTTCACATGATTTTCTGTTTTTGTTTATATGTATACTAAAATAAAAAAAAAAAAATTAAAAGTAGACCTGACAGTCCAGTTCTGTTCTGGCACAGCCAGGGCACACAGTGAATTGGGGGCAGAGACAAAAATATTTGACAAGTTGACTGGCAGGTTTAAAGTGCAGAGCTTATAATCGATTCACACGTAGTCAAGATGGAGGCTCCCAGTTAACTATAGTGATGTAGATTTCTACATGTAAAATCTGTCCAATTGTAACAAATTTGTTATAAATTGGGATAAGTTATAAGTATAAAATAGAAATATACAAGGACAAAATCCTTTTTATTAAAATAAGCAGTGTTAGTACAGAATCATAGTAGGTCTACCAAAGCGCAGCTTAACAATGCACAGAAACTCCTTATCTTCCAACTTTGTGCCCAAAAGTCCTAATAGTTTTCCACCCAACAATTCTCGGATCCATAGGCACGCACACAGAGTGTGCCTGGGCACACCCTAATCCCCACGGCATGTGCCTTCATGGGTCGGTGAGGGAGATCAAAGATCAGAGATCTCCCTCACCAGTCCACAGGCAGGCAGGGAGGGAGGCAGGAGAGGTCCCGGGCAGTTCTAGCCAGCAGTTCCGCCGGGTACCTCTTGTGAGGTCGGAGCGTTGCCACGGCAACACTCAGTGTAAGAAAACCTTGTATATCCTACTCCCATTCGGTAGTTTCCTCCCAAACGTCCAGAGTATCAATGATTATAACGCGCTGTTCGATTAAATAAAGTAAGCGAATTCCCATACCAAATAACAGCTTCCCAAGTAGATTCTCCCAATAAAGCAGAAAGGTACCCAAACATCAGCCGAAGTCTAGATGAAGGGTGTACCAGAACCCAAGTTTAATGATGCCACACTGGCTTTTATGCAAGTCCCCGTGCAAGGGGACCTCCCACAGGAACATAAAATCATACAGCCAATCATAAGCAAAGAAATACTTAAACACTCCCAGTACAAACATATAATCCCCTCCTCTCTACCTGGAGATAATTAAGGCTGATAAAGTAAAAACTTCATTATCGCCAGGCAGGAAAATAAATTTAAAAAAATCACAATTTTACCCAACTTTTAAAAACGCACCCTAAAAACATAAGGTATCCCCTGATAGCCCTGATCTGGGTGACCAACATATCCAAAAGTCACCCAGATCAGTTCAGGGGTTTTTGAATTCCATGGAGGTCTTAGGTGACCGGCAACCTATGAGGCTCCTGCCCAAAACAGTTCCACAAGTTTTGGTGGTTTTGCTGGTCTAGTTCAAAAAGTCTCAAAAAACGAATAAATCCACGAACAGTTCCCCCTGGCTCCTAGCAGAGATTGTTCCCCTCATTCGTATGAACAAAAGTACCGAACAGCGCTGTCCTAGCGGTTCGGGAAACAAAGAAGCAAGCGTTTGTACGCTGGGACTGGTGTTTGGGAAGTCAAGTGTTCAATTTTAGTTCCAGACACTCGATGACCAAGTCCCGCTGCCTTTGTTCGCGCCAACAAGATGGCCGCCGTTTTCTCATCCACGTGGCGTTCGACCATATGAACGGCGGCCGCACAGGGAGAGGGCTTAAATGATGGTTCGTTTTGAAGTTAATGAACCAGGGGGTGGTCTCTGTTCGGTAGTTACAGCTACCGAATGAAATAAAATAGCCGAAATAACTTTGTGATTTCTTCACACTCAGATCTCGCGAGAGTGAACTCTAGCCCCGCAGGCTAGGGTTCACTCACTACTGGACCACCAGGGATGGCAGCAGCATGGTCCCCCCTCCCTACAAAAGGTAAGAAGGGAGGTGGGATATTAACTAAATGGCCCCCCACCCCCACACATTCATCGCCCTTACACACACAGCAGTGTGTGTGTAGAGATAGATAGATATACACACACACACATATATTATATACACACACACACAAACAGTGTGTGTGTTTGTGCTTTAGGGTGCACACCCTTATGCAATAGGCTGCGCACGCCTATGCTTGGATCAATGAAACAAAGTTCAGCTGTCGGAATCAATCTATTGCTCCCTAAAGTTTTTAAAGACAAACTACCCAGCAGGATACCTTTGGCAAAACTATACGGGAAACCAGCAGCTCAAATCAATCTAGTATTATCATATAATACAAGAGTAGAAAAGTAATCCAGGCACTCCAAAATGTTCCAAAGAATAGGCAGTTTTATTGCACCCAAGAACTACTGGGAACTACTGGTACTGGGACTGATCCAAGAGCAACCTAGGATTCCAGAGTGAAGGGCTGAGTGCAGTTCCACATATTGTCTATGGATAATACAAGAGTAGAACAGATTTTAGATACAGGCCAGATGATATTATTTCTCTTTCACCAGAGTCCAAGACAGACGATAGCCAGACTGCGTTACTCTACGTTACAAAGACTCACAATGCATTTCTAAATTCAATAGACACATTTCTATATATGTGTGCGTGGATCAGTAAAAGATTGAAAATGAGATTTTCTTCCTGGTTAATATAATTTCAACAAGTGTTTGCAACATCCTAATCCAATTACAGAGTGCGCTGATCAACTAGAACAGCCAAGCCATGTTTGGGCAATTCATAAACTTGATACAAATCTACAGGCCTGGATTTCTTTGCAATACGTGGAAAGCAGAGCCTTGAACTAGAAAACGGGTTTATTACTGAAAATCGAATGACTAAATTTAGGGTAAAAACGCCAAGCAGCGACAATAGCCGAGTTAAAGACGCCTTCAATCCAGCTATTTTGTCTACATTGTATCAATTTGCCTCTAACTAACATCAATTCAGTGCTTAGCGAGTATACCCCAAATAATAAAACTGGCTGACATAAAGGGGGTGATTTATAAAATGGGGCGCTTCCGTTTTTACAATATTCTGTTTTTATTTTCTGTTTGCACCAATATTTTTCCTGTCTGTGCTGTTCATGACGGTTTTGGCCCACACCGTTGTCGTTTTAAACAGTGGCACGCATACGTAGATTGCCATAGCTAGCGGAGAGGGTCTGTGTCATATTTTATAGGTGCTCTCACAGTTAGACAGGAGTACCTTGAATTCGCAAGGATCTCCACATTTCACAGGAAGATGAAATAGTCGGCATACAGATTGTGCTGTGAATTTCACCTGCTTTCAGGGATAAATCACAGCCATCACTGAAAATAGTAAACAAACGCAAATTAAAAGATGAAGGAGAAACAAATTCCTAGGATTTTATTCGGAACCCTGCATACTTGATAAAGCCCTTTTGGGAGCTGATACAAGGGTGAAGAGTTTTGAATAAAATTGGCATTCTGGGAATTTGTGTGCCGGATCTTCTTTTTGCAACTTTCAGGATATCACTGTACATTTTAGCACCATTTCTTTTATCTCTCCCCCCATAAATGCTGAAAATTGAGAGTGAGATCCACACCCAAATCAATAAATAAAAACATACTACCCTCTCGTCCAGTCACAGCAAGTTTGAAAATCCTATTAACATTAACTAGGAACGCGGCTCCCGCCAGTGATGCTTCAGGCTAGGAGATCACCGTCTCTCCTGGCCTGAGAGCGTGCAGGGCCTCACTGGCCAAACTCTGATGTTCCTCGCAGGATACACAGACTTTTCTCAGAATTCACCAAAATGAGAGCGCCTGGGCGTGCAGAAACCGGTACCTATGCGATGAGGCTGTAGGCTAGCCTAAATTATGCGTTATTGCCTCTACAAATGGCAAATCCACAAGGAACTCTCACAAAGTACGTCTGGTTCAAACAAAGAAAGTACATCTAGTTGGCATGGCAGTCCCACCCCGCCACAGCACCAAATGCTATTTTGTCAACAATTCAGATGACTAAAATGGCGAAAACTTAATTGAAATTTGCCACCAAAATTAACACTGCCCAGCACACTAGCTTTCAACGCACACCATCTCCAGCCAATACCAGCCTGGCGAAGGGTTGATGTGAATGATGGCACGTAGCATAGCGTGTGGGCCACAGATATCACTCCCATCCACTGCTGTGTACAGATAATTGGACCATCATTGTGAATATATGGGTTTAGTTTAAGACTGAAGGCTATTGTAGTACTACTATTTACACAGCGCTTGCACCTCCCACAGCACCAATAACACACCATATTGTAATGAAAGATTTCTATGTCAAGGACACCAGACACAACGTTTTCTGAAGACATTCTGACTGTACTGCGCGTAGCGTAATAATGCAAGGTTATTTTCTCTCAATGGCAGTTTGTTTGTACTGCTAGCACTTTACTGTAACAAAAATATATATTTTTAATAAATTATATGTCATTGTCAAATTGTGCTGCCTGAGTGACTTTACAGTGATATAAAATTAGCAAGTAAAAATAAAAATAAAAAAATAGGTTTATGGGATAGGGTCCGCTGTCCAGGCTTACAACTTGGAGGTATGGCGCCATAAAGAATGGAACAAGGTTTCAGCTGGAGAAATTTAGTTTGGCGTTTTGGTGTTACGTTACACCAGCTGATGCTTTGCCAATTAAAAACAGAGAACTGCTTCACACAGCAAAATCAAAAACACACAGCTACAGTCAGTCTCTACCAAAACTATAATAAAAATAAGGAGTCCAAAAAGTCTGCACAAGAATACACAAAAAGGTAATACTTTATAAACGTCAGCCAATATACACAACAGAAATGGACACTACAGGAAGAGAGGGAAAAACTAACAGAATGAAGGGGAAAGATAAATATATAAATTGGAGCTATGACAGTAATCTAGCATGACATTCTTGGAATCACTTTCAATGGAGGAAGTAATAACCACAAAATGGGGATCTCCAGACAGCAAGCAAACAAGGAAGTAAGGGCAATAGAAAAAATATCCACTTGCCCAGGTTTAGTCTTAATAAATATGCAGTAATTTGGGGAATGGAAGCAATGACTATAAATGTCTATATAGAAACAATGCAGGTTTGTGGAGCTCACCTTCATTTTGGATCTCCGAGATTCCTCGATAGAAGTCGCGAAAATTTATAACTCCAAGCCCAGCCGGATCAAGATAACTGGTGAGGTACTTTACCTGTCGGAATCATAAAAATGTAAAGACATCAGAAATTGGGAGAAAAAAAATAAATAAAAAAAATACGTATTTACTGCACCCGCTTTTGAACTTGTTTCCATTTACCTACTACTGTAATCAGTTTGTTTTTCGATTCACAGTTTACTAGAATTCTGCACAAATCTGTTTTAGGAGATACAAAACGAATAAAAAGACTTTTAATCAGCGCACAAACTAATCAAATCGGTGCAGGATTTTACCTGTGTAGTATTTTTCTTTTAATAACACCAAAAAGATAAATCCCAGAGGGATCAGTTTGTTGGGGTGCAGATTAACCCCTTAAGGACACATGACATTTCATGATTCCCTTTTATTCCAGAAGTTTGGTCCTTAAGGGGTTAAAAGGCATCGGATTCGTTTGTACCAGATAAAGCACATTTGTGCACAAGTCGATTATTTCCTAGGGCTCATTAAAGAAATAGTCTTTCATTGCTTTAACTCAGGGAAAGCAGATTAACCACTCTTGGATATAACAACAATTAAAGTGTCCATTCAAAGGGAAAGAAAAAAATAAAAACACAACAAAACAACACCATGAACAAACACGAAAAACATATTTTTTTTAAATGATATTTCACCTGATCCATCCTTGAAAATTCTTCAGACGCAGTCCTTTAACCCCTTCCAGTGCTAAATTGTATAACTTAATCCCCACTAGACTTTCTACCATAAATAAATAAAACTACAGGAACAGCAGTCAAGTGGGAACAAATTACAACTCCCAATAAACACTCTTTTTCCTACTTGATTCCAGGCCCACCTTTGACAGAATTATCATTAAATGCTTCAAGTTGTCTGGAAAATGCAAATAAATGCCCTCCCCTTGCTCAAACTGAAGAGCTAAGTGTGATTTAGCAGCTCTCGCTGCCCAGCACAGCATGCCTTGAATTATAGCTTGTGGCAATCTCCAGCAAGCATCTTTTCCTAAACTATCAGTAGTACAAGCCGGAGAGAAAATGCACTGCACACAGGGGCGGATCAGAGCCAAATAATGGGCCATGGGTTGTTTTAAGGGGCTGATTCACTAAACATCGGATTGTAGTGAATTGAATTGCAAATAAGACCAGAAAAGCTCAAATGGAAAAATGAATGAACACAGCTACCAATGGCTCAGCTATTTAAGCCTAAATATTGCGGTAACGTTTTAAATTCACTACAATTAGATGTTAGGCACCCATATAGTCCAGGTTTTATTAGTATCGCCACTGAAATATAAGTTCCAAGTTCCTTAAAGGGACCCTACAAGCAAAGTAAGCCCCTTATTGTAATGTATTATAAAGACAATGATTCAAAAACACATATTATTATTTTATTATTTATATAGCACCAGCAAAATTCCGTAGCGCTGTACAATATTCTGTATCAATGTTTTTTGTTGCTTTTTTATAAAGGAATCTGATTTCTATACTCTCACTGTAAAAGGGAACAGCTTTAAATCTTAGCCAATCCCTGTTCCCAAACCAATAGCATTTGGGTGATATTTATCATATATATTAAATTGCACCTGTAATGTTACTTAAAGGGACACTATAGTCACCAGCTCAATGTAGTTGTTCTGGTAAGTATAATCATTGCATTCAGGCATTTTCATGTAAACACTGCCTTTTCTATGAAAAGGCAGTGTTTATATTGCCCCTAGGGACACCTCCAAGTGGCCACTCCTCAGATGGCCACTGGAGGGGCTTCCTGGCTCAAGGCTGCACAGTAAGCAGCCCTACCGTTCAGCGTCCCCACGCTTTGCATGGAGATGCTGAATTTTCCTCATAGAGATGCATTGATTCAAGGGGGGAAGAGGGGGTGAGGGCAAGCCACTTAAATGTTTGGTTTGGCACTATAAGGTCCGGAATACATGTTTGTGTTCCTGACCCTATAGTGATCCTTTAAAGTTTTATATGTGTTAGCCAATATGGCAGCTAATGTATAGATACAAAGTTATATTGTGCTTTGTTAAAGGGATTGCCCTTCAAAGATTAAAAAACTTTTGTAACTCTAACTCGATTCCAGCACCAATCTCTCTAGGTGCTGGGTCGGCACTCCGCCTCCTCCTCTGGACGGGGTGGGAAAGTTAATGTGCATGCGCTGCAAGCTCATTAGGCCCTCCCCACAGATTAGCATTGCTTCAATGCTTTCCTATGGGGATTTAACGGATGCTGGGTGTCCTCATGCAGAGCATGATAACGTCCAGATTCAGTTAGGCAACCAAAAGTCGCCAAGCAAGCAGGAAGTGCCTCTAGTGTCTGTCTGGTTTACAGCCACTAGAGGAAGTCTTAGCCCTGCAAGGTAATTATTGCAGTTTCTCAAAAAATGAGTTGAAGTGGTCTGGGTGACTACAGTGTCCCTTTAATGTGACCTCCAGGGGTTAACCGCATCTATGTGTACTGCAAGCAGCCAACCCACTCCCCAAATAAAACTCTTAACTCATTGTGAGGAGCTAATCACATAATTCGGTATCAGAGTGGCTACATGCGCAGCTGCTGCATGCAGTCCAGGGAGCCATATTGTGAGTGCAGGAAGTCTGCAGGTAAGTAGATACATAAATTCTGTTTGGATTGTATTAATTGGCTGAGAATGTCTGCTGACACACCCAGCCATGAATACAGTCCAAATATGCATGGCATTAATATATACATATATATACCCCACAAGATCCACGGTTTATGTCAAGCCACTTGAAAACGGTTTTACGCACAACTGAAAAACGGTTCCCCGGGCTGCATTGTGGTTATAGTACATAGGTGCCTCATATAAATACCGCAACAGACTCAGAAATATCTCCAGTAGTGGTTAGTTTGACAACTTCCCTAGGCTCTGCCGGATGGCAACCACAGCTTAAGCGGGACTGGCTTATTGGCTGAAAGTGTCAACGCTCTGCCAATGAGCTAAGCTGTGCACTGCCGGGCTAGCTCTGTGAAGATAATTTCCATCTCTCCTGGAGGAGCTGCCTGGCTCCCTAGGTTTGCAAATGGTTTGGCTACTTACCCTAGTAGGGGAACGAGGGCACGCTGTAGTGGTTATGGTGCTTGGAGTGTTTCTTTTACCCTTTCTCTCCTCTACATTTTGCAGGCTATGAGTGATGACAGCTAAATCTATGAACTCATCAAATGCTACATTCTGATTGGCTGCGAGCGGCAAAGGACTTTGTTTTTGTACTTAAAGGGAACCTATAGCAATTACATTTGCAATCGTTACTTGAAGATTATAGATTCCCTTCTTTCATCCCAAGATAAAAATTAAAGTTTGAGAGAAATTACTCCCCTTCTATCAGAGCCGGGGCTCTTCTTCTGCAACCTCCAGCTCCACCTCCGGTGATGTCAGCATCCAAACTGACATCACCCGCAATCTCCTCCAATCCATTGCTTCTCATAAAGGAGCATTGGATTGGAACTAGGCATGCGCGGCCAAACATGGCACTCCTCCAATCAAATGCTGTTATCGGCAACATTTGATTCCATAACCTAGTTTTACTCAGTTTGGAAGAGTAAGCGTTTCTAGTGGCTGTGAGGAAGACAGATTTAACCCTAAGATGTAAACATTGTTGCTTACTAAAAAAAAATGATTTTTTTTTTAAAATGCAGTGTTTTATATTGTCGCGTTAAAGTGACAGGACCACTGCATCCAGACCACCTCATTGATATGAGCGTAAATGCAGTTTGATGTAATTTAAATATGCCCAACGCCAAACTAAATATTTTAGTCAGTAATGATATAGTAATTGTATTTATAGGTTAATTATATATAAAACAAAAAAATTTCTTTAAATAAGCTGATCTATATGCAGTGACACTTTAAAAGCAAAGGAACAATGCAAGATTTAACAGTCTGTGCTGCACTTACTTAAAGGGACACTGCAGGCACCCAGACCACTTCAGCTAAGTGAAGTGGTCTGGGAGCTGTGTCCCTATTGCACTTAGTGCTGCAATGTCAAACATTATCTGCATGAGGACATCCAGTGTCAGATTTTGGCCATAGCTAAGCATCAGGCAGAGCCTGACCCAGTGCTGAGGGACATCGGTGCAGGATTCAGGTAAGTGACTGAAAGGTTTTCAACCCCTTCAGCCATGCGGGGGGGTGAGGGGGGGGTGCAAGGGAGGAGGGCTCTTTAGAAACCTATAGTGCCAGGAAAACGGCTTTGTTTTCCTGGCGCTATAGGATCTATAGGGGTTTTAACCCCTTCAGCAACTTGGGATAGGGGGTAGGAGGGAGAGGGGACCTGCAGTACAATCCGTTTTCCTGGCACTGCAGGTCCCCTCTCCCTCCCACCCCCTATCCCAAGTTGCTGAACTTGGTTAAAACCCTTTCAGTGACTTACCTTTAGCCAGCACCGATGTCCCTCGGCGCTGGTTCAGGGTCCGCACACGCTCCTCCCTATTGCGCATGCGCTGCTGGCGGCAGGAGAGACCTAGTGCGTAGAGTTAACCCTGCAATGTAAATATTACAGTTTATGAAAACTGCAATATTTACAGTTGCAGGGTTAAGGGTAGTGGGAGTTGGCACCCAGACCCATCCAATGGGCAGAAGTGGTCTGGGTGCCTGGAGTGTCCCTTTAAGGTGTTTAGTAAATACACAGTTATGAACTGATCCCGAGCAATGGGGTCCACCAGGCATCTATTGACTCTTATTACCCTCATCCAGCGTGTATCAGTCTATAACTGGTTAGGGTATGTACCAAACAGTGTCAGAGGAAAGAGCTGCTAATGGCATGTGACAGAAGAATGAGCTGAGCAGAGATAAATAAAAGGGCGATGAGACAAGCAAGACAGTGACTGTGATTAAACCCTGGGCTCGATTGATGAGTCAGGCATTTTCTTATCGACCTACTCCTGTCAGGGACACGGGCGTCAAAATAGCAGGCTGAATCCCACACATCGAAGTTACCAAGCAACGCAGCCAGCAGGAGACAGGACACTGTGGGAACAATGATGCTTGTGTTTAAACTGCTCAAATCCTCCAATACATTCTCACTCTTCTATCCCAGATTAAGGGTCTAAACGAAGACAGTCGATGGGTCAGACGAAAGGCCCAACCACGAATAGCCAACGTATGCTGACTATTTCCTATAGTTCTGTGCTAACCAATAGAAATACAGCCCAACAGGACATGCAGGTCTAGAGTTGGAAAACCTTGGGTTAGTCCAGGAGAAGGCCAACTAGATGTTGTGGAATACATTTTCCATAATACCCATAATTCTGGCAAAGCATCAGAAAAGATAAGCTCCACAAAATCTGGAAGGCCAAAGGTTGCCTATCCCCAGGTTAGACTATGGTTCTTATTCCATTACAGATTGGAGTCTGAAAGTCTGAAACGTGTTACGGTACGCTGACTGATGGAGTTCTGGCCTAGACCAAAGGTGACCTAACATTTGACCTCCAGCTAATGCTGCAACACCTTTCCCAAGATTGGACAATCTTGGGTCACACTTCAGGTGGCCATCTCACAGCATCTAGATGTACCACACAAGAGTAAAACCAATGAGCTCAGTTTATGTTTGTTATAAATTAAAAAGTTACAATTTATTCTACAAATCCCAGGTTAGTGTACTAAGAAGAGACAAGACCCGAAACACCAACTAGATGAGGCTGCCCTATGCACTTCCTTATAGACAGGACTGACCACATTTTCTTGTAGTGGAAACCACCGTACGGGTCTCATGTCTTTTCTGCACTGCATACATTTCCCATTATGTTATATAATATTTTCCTATTGATCCATTTATACCATATAATGGGTATTTCTCTGGAAAAGTCACCAACAACACAGATTTAGAGAACCTAGTCTTGATGAGTGAGGATGGCTATCCAGCCAATAGCATAACATTTTTCTAATTCTCTGCAAATTCAGATAAAATTCTTCCAATTTCCTCCGTAACTCGCTTATTCCTTCTACACACAGTCCAGCCATATACCTATAAGTACCAATACTCTGATATTAATTCCCAGCTAACCCTGTGATGTCAGTCACTGATACAGACTACCAATGGTGACCCTATGCCAGGGGTAACGATAGCATGTTATAATGGCAGCCAGAGTAACCAGCCTGTCACCAGGTAATCAGCGTTCAGAATGTGCGTCTGGCTCAAGGTTGTCTATGTGCAGTGTACAAGTCCCTGATGAGGGGAGCCATCTTATTTGTGGGCATGGACCCAAGTGAGTCATTACAGTTGCTACAACAAAATGTCAGACAAACCTTTATTTACACTAAAGAGACAAAATTAAATTAAAATAAAACAACAAAAGAACAGAAACACAAAAAAAGAGGCCTGGAATATAATGTACCTAAAACGTCAAATTGATTTTAAGCCTGGTCAGAGCAGATCCGTCATATTAATTTAAATATTGTAAAAACGCTACTCATCGGCGTAGCCAACCACAGACGGGATTGAGGGATGTGGTTTACATAGAGGGAATTCAGAAATTTTTATACGTTGAGCAAGGCTTCTGTAATTTGAAATGCAAATAAAAAGATCCAGCCGTCTTTTTTAGATACACAAACCATTCCGCCTGAGCGTTAGCGCTTCTGAAATTACCAAGGTGCATTATTAATGGGACAGAATTCTTTCCGTTTAAATCAACAGCAACCCTCATTTCAGGGAATTGTACATTCCTGCTTGTGTCACTAAGGGAAACTGGCCAGACCACTGGCAAGCATAAGGGGAAAAAACCTATAGCTGCAATAAATATTGTGAGGCCTGTTACAGGTTGCAGAAAAACTGGTTGCTAGTTCCCTTCTAGGTGTTAAAACTGGAAATGTGCCCTTTGCCCCGTTCTGGTCACAACCGATGGCATACTACAATTGCAACAGGATCTTATTGCAGACTCTTATTACATCCCAGGAACCTCTTCAACCCTCCAAAAATGATTGTGATTTAAAGGAACACTCACAAGGACCATAACCACTACAGCACTCTGGCAGTGGTTATGGTGCTAGGAGTGCCCTCCCATTGAACTCCCCAAAAAAAGGACAATTAGCCAGGCTTGAGTTGGACGTTTTGGGGGAAACTACTCAATTTTTTGCACTTTTGCCATTGAAGAGGTACCACACAACATCACAGGAAAATGGCTGCACGGGATACTTGATATTAATACCACACAACACTACACACCTGTTCCAAGTAAATGCCTCAGTAACATTTACTCTGGAACGCTGAAGAATTTACAATGTGTTTGTAAATGTAGGTCAAAAAAGTGCAAAAATTCTTAAACTTGGCTATTTTTTTCATCTCAGCCTTTTCTTGCCCCTTTCTTTGCACCTGCCTTGCTAACTCGCCTTGTTGGTTTTATAATGTATGATGCAATCCAGGACAGACGCATCCATGCTGATAAACAATCACATCTCTACGGAATAATTTCAAATACATTTACTTCTGATTTTATTTACATGAAAATAATAATTAATGAACACACCAAGTACCATGACTACTTCACTGGTTTGAAATAGTCCTGGAGTGTGTATTTTTAACGAAACACTGCACATACTGAGTTTATCCCTCTCTCCAGCTACAGCAGCTTCATTGGGGTGACTGACATTAGCTAGCCCAGATCATGCATTCCGGACTGGCTAATGTAAAATTACGTCCATATTAAAACGCCTGACGTCAGCACGAGCAGCATGCTAGCGACAGGCGTCCAATGGCGGCACGGCACGGCCCCCCAGCATCCTTTAAATGGTCGTTCTTTGTATTGCAAACTAAAATAAAATCAGGTAATATGTAAACTACACCAAATAATTTTTACTAAAGCCAATAGCGTTCAAGGCACAGGTGCTCTCCGACAGGGTTAAATGCACTGACTGACAGAGTTCTGGCCTAGCCATATAAACACACAGGCTCAGCACATTCCAACTGATGAATGGCTTCAGATTCAGGCAGAGGCAATTGTTTCCCAGAGACCAGGATATCTGTTGTATCCTTATTAGATTTAATGTGATATTTATTGCTTTTCATTTCATTGTGCCAATTTATTCTAATGTATCCAGGCACCTACTTCCAACAGCTGGGCCCGGGTTACTACTAGTGGACTCCACAGAAATGTATTTATATCAAGCTATGTTAATAGAACCAGACAAACAGACAGATTGATAAGGATAGACAGACAGACACTCAGTGAGAGATAGACAGACAGATAGATAGATAGGTCATTCACTATACTTCTAATTTCAGGAAATTTAATCTGTATTGCAGTAATTTTACCAAATCGAAAAATATTGCTAATATAGCTGAGGATTTAGACGACCTGTAAATGGATATTACATACATATACATATGAATCCTGTCCTGCTAGCATAGGATTTACATTTCCTAAATATATCTCTTACCTGCTCTGCACCATACACCGTGGCAAACTGCACAAAGTCTTCCATCTTTACAAATCCATCTTTATCTCTATCCAGAGCGTCAAACACAGCTCTGAGACGTAGCACTTCCTCTCCAAGACATGACGAGTCAGTGTCCAACGGGAACCCCAAGCCTGGGTCACAGACCAACTCTTCAGTTGAAGGAGCAGACGAGTCATGGGTTGAAATGGGCTGTTGTCCAGTGACCTCACAGGAGGGTAAAGTGTCCGTTTCATAGGTCGAACTAATAAAAGATAGTGACAACTTAACAGGAGCGCTAGTTGGGGTCAACTGACTTTCTTCGTAAGGTACTACTGTCTGAGATTGGGGAGACTGATCCACTAGCTCACACGGAGAAAAGTCATCATCATCATCAAGCTGCGACTTTGCTTGAGTTGGCGGTAGATATTTTGTTTCTTGGGGTATGACAGAACGTAGCAAGGGCAGTTGTTCTATAATGTCACATGGAGGCAAAAGGTCAGGTACAAGGGGAACATCAATTTGTGGTTTGGAGCACTCAACAGATTCAGGAAGAAATGTCTCCAAAGATTGTGTCATGTTCTCCTTTGCATCTAATGAATGTACCTGGTTGAATTGACTCGACTCATCTAAGGAATTTGTAACAACAATTAGAGGCAATCGACTGTTTTCATTGAGAGAACCTAATTGTGATTGGTTTATTTCAATTGGTGATTTAAAATTTGATTGGCTCATCTGGCTCGAGTCAAGGGAAGAATCCGATAGGGTTTGAGATATTGGGAAGTCCTCAGAGCAGAGATTTGCAGGGGAGAGTTGGCTAGCTATTGGCAATACGGGATGCTGAACAAGTGAGCCAATTTTAGAGAGTGATAAAAATCCAGAGTTCATTTGGGAGCCAGACAAAGAGAGAGGTAAATGTTCATTTTCCACATTCAATCTGCAAACCGACAAGTAATCCGCTACGCTAGAAGATGGTAACTCAACATTTTCAGATGAAGAATCCAAACTTGATGGAGGTATTTGTGTGTGATTAATGCAAAATGATACATTATCTCCTTCATGGGGTATTCTGTCAGGGTCAAACAGAAATTCCAAATAGAGGTAGGGTGTCTCATCAGTCTCTGTACTAAGACATTTAAAACTGGAATCAACACAATCTGGAGTCAAACAATCTTCAAAACTATCTCCAGTAGACTGTTTGGTTTTAACGGATGTACATGACTGGTCAAAAGAAAAACTGATGCTTTCAACAGGTACGTTTGTCCTGGAATTTGAAGTATTTTCATTAAGAGACTCCAGTAGTTGTCCAGTTCTACAAACTGGATCGAACTCAGCAAAGTCTAACTGTTCAGCTCTGTATGTTTGGTCCACTGGATGCGTGCTTAACTCGCTGTTTTGGTAACCGACTTGATCTTCCTTTTCATCCTGTTGATTTAACAGATCAGCTTCGAAATGCGTAAACACTTCAGTAAGTGATAAGAAGTCCTCCGATAGGGTTAGGTGGTCAGTGCATGACGACAGGTTGAGTTCCTGAGTTGTATCGGAACAAAATAGTGAAAACAGATCTTCCTCATAGCAATCCAACTCACGTGTTTCTGGGGATAAACTAGTGAAAATGTCAGACATTGGCGAGAAACCAAGTTCAATCTGGTGCACCTTGAAAGGGTTTTGTTTTGCTCTTTCATTAGGTAAGAACTGCTCCTCATTTTCACAGTTTTCAAGTAAACCGGTACTAGATAATGGTACCTGAGCACAGTCTAGAAGATGTTGAACTAGAGGCAGTTGATCAGTTTTAGGAGGCAAATGCAACTCAGATAAAGGTAGGTTCTCTGTGTACGGGGTCAAGGAAAGCTCTATTTGAGGGAACTGGTTGGGGGGGAAACCACTTTCATCTAAGGAAAACTTCTCAGTTTCATTGGTCAATGGAAGCTGTGTCTGGGGCAAGTCTTCATTTCGAAACCACTCAGACTCAGGCACACAAACATTGTCACCAGTAACACAGTATCCAGAAAGGGTGGGTTCTGCTGGGTGAGCATTAATCAGCTTACTGGGTTGATGCTGGAGTTGATGTTTGGTTACAGTGGACAAACAAATATCAGACAAAGGCAGCTTCTCATCGACAGGAGTGAAATAACATTCAGGAAGGGAATAATGGTTAGGCTCAGAAGATAAACAGACTTTGGAGGAGGAAAACTCTACATTACTAGAGGTCAAAACAGGTTGAGATAAAAGTGGACTTTCAGTGTCTGGTGTCAAACCATATTGAACAAAGTGTGGATGTTCATTTTCATCAGTCAAGTCCGATTTTGTAAAGGGCAGTTGGTTAGGGTCATGGGTAAAAGCCCATACTGCTGTGGGCTTATCAGTGCTAGGTGTCAAGTCAGATTCATACAATGGCAGTCCAGTAGTTATTTGGGTTAAGGCCGATTTAGCCTGGGGTAGTTGTTCATCATCGGGGACTGAGCTAAGTCTGGTGGTGGTTAATTGTTCTGTGTCTAAAATAATGCCAAATTCAGCCAAATCAGATTCTGACATGTGTCCCTCTTCATAGGACAAAACATTTTCAGGTAGTGGTGGCCTCTCTGTGTTTACAACAGCTCCAGGCTGGGCTAGAAGTTCAGTGTCAGGAGACAAACTAGATTCAGGCAAAGATAGCTTGTTGGTGACTAAATCAGTTTCAGATTGTGATAGATTATCAGAATCAGAACTCAAAACAGATTCAGTGCCAAGTGCCATAGCCAATTCAGTGTCAAGGGCCAAAGCCAATTCAGATTGGGCTAGCCAATCAATTTCAGGGGTCAAACCAGAGTCACCTGGGTCTTCCAGATCATTCTCTGGTTCCAAATTAGATTCAAATTGGTCAATATAAGGGCCTAATTCAGAGTCAGAGTCAGAGGACAAACTAGATTCAATAATTGCTTGCTGATCAGTGCCAGGAGCAACAACAGATTCATACATGTCTGCTGAATCGGTGCCACTGGTCAAACCAGATTCAGACATTATTAGCTGACCACTGTCAGGGGTCAAACAAGATTCAAACAGGGCCATGTGCGTAGTGTAAGGGGCAACACAAGACTCGGAAGCTATGAGATGCTTAATGTCAACAGCTAAATCAGACTGTGACAGGACTTTATGGTTAGTGTAGTTAGTTAAACGAGATTCAGACAGTGCTAGCTGATCAAAGTCAGAGGCCAAACTAGATTCAGACAATACTTTGTAATCACTGCCTGGAGCCAAACATGATTTGGATGTTTCTAACTGATCAGTTTTAGGGGTCAAACAGGATTCAGACCGGGATAGTTGCTCAGTGACAGTGGTCAGACAAGATTCAGTGTCACTGGTCAAACCAAATTGAGACAGACATTGCTGATCAGAGTCAGGAGCCACACCAGATTCAGGGAGGGTTAATGGATCAGTGTCAAGAGCCAAACCAGATTCAACGAGGGTTAGTGGATCAGTATCAGGAGCCAAACCAGATTCAGGGAGGGTTAGTGGATCAGTGTCAGGAGCCAAACCAGATTCAGGGAGGCTTAGTGGATCAGTGTCAGGAGCCAAACCAGATTCAGGGAGGATTAGTTGATCAGTATCAGGAGATAAACCAGATTCAGGGAGGGTTAGTGGATCAGTATCAGGAGCTAAACCAGATTCAGGGAGGGTTAGTGAGTCAGTATCAGGAGCTAAACCAGATTCAGGGAGTGTTAGTGGATCAGTATCAGGAGCCAAACCGGATTCAGGGAGGGTTAGTGGATCAGTGTCAAGAGCTAAACCAGATTCAGGGAGGGTTAGTTGATTAGTATCAGGAGCCAAACCAGATTCAGGGAGGATTAGTGGGTCAGTATCAGGAGCTAAACTAGATTCAGGGAGGGTTAATGGATCAGTATCAGGAGCCAAACCAAATTCAGGGAGGGTTAGTGGATCAGTGTCAAGAGCTAAACCAGATTCAGGGAGGGTTAGTGGATCAGTGTCAAGAGCCAAACCGGATTCAGGGAGGGTTAGTTGATCAGTATCAGGAGGCAAACAGGATTCAGGGAGGGTTAGTGGATCAGTATCAGGAGCCAAACCAGATTCAGGGAGGATTAGTGGATCAGTATCAGGATCCAAACCAGATTCAGGGAAGGTTAGTGGATCAGTATCAGGAGCCAAACCAGATTCAGGGAGGGTTAGTGGATCGGTATCAGGATCCAAACCAGATTCAGGGAGGGTTAGTGGATCAGTGTCAAGAGCCAAACCGGATTCAGGGAGGGTTAGTTGATCAGTATCAGGAGGCAAACAGGATTCAGGGAGGGTTAGTGGATCAGTATCAGGAGCCAAACCAGATTCAGGGAGGATTAGTGGATCAGTATCAGGATCCAAACCAGATTCAGGGAAGGTTAGTGGATCAGTATCAGGAGATTCAGGGAGGGTTAGTGGATCAAACCCAAACCAGATTCAGGGAGGGTTAGTGGATCAGTGTCAGGAGCCAAACCAGATTCAGGGAGGCTTAGTGGATCAGTGTCAGGAGCCAAACCAGATTCAGGGAGGATTAGTTGATCAGTATCAGGAGATAAACCAGATTCAGGGAGGGTTAGTGGATCAGTATCAGGAGCTAAACCAGATTCAGGGAGGGTTAGTGAGTCAGTATCAGGAGCTAAACCAGATTCAGGGAGTGTTAGTGGATCAGTATCAGGAGCCAAACCGGATTCAGGGAGGGTTAGTGGATCAGTGTCAAGAGCTAAACCAGATTCAGGGAGGGTTAGTTGATTAGTATCAGGAGCCAAACCAGATTCAGGGAGGATTAGTGGGTCAGTATCAGGAGCTAAACTAGATTCAGGGAGGGTTAATGGATCAGTATCAGGAGCCAAACCAAATTCAGGGAGGGTTAGTGGATCAGTGTCAAGAGCTAAACCAGATTCAGGGAGGGTTAGTGGATCAGTGTCAAGAGCCAAACCGGATTCAGGGAGGGTTAGTTGATCAGTATCAGGAGGCAAACAGGATTCAGGGAGGGTTAGTGGATCAGTATCAGGATCCAAACCAGATTCAGGGAGGGTTAGTGGATCAGTATCAGGATCCAAACCAGATTCAGGGAGGGTTAGTGATCAGTATCAGGATCCAAACCAGATTCAGGGAGGGTTAGTGGATCAGTATCAGGATCCAAACCAGATTCAGGGAGGGTTAGTGGATCAGTGGATCAAGAGCCAAACCGGATTCAGGGAGGGTTAGTTGATCAGTATCAGGAGGCAAACCGGATTCAGGATTCAGGGAGGGTTCAGTTAGTTGATCAGTATCAGGAGCCAAACCGGATTCAGGGAGGGTTAGTGGATCAGTATCAGGAGCCAAACCGGATTCAGGGAGGGTTAGTGGATCAGTATCAGGAGCCAAACCGGATTCAGGGAGGGTTAGTTGATCAGTATCAGGAGCCAAACCGGATTCAGGGAGGGTTAGTGGATCAGTATCAGGAGCCAAACAGGATTCAGGGAGGGTTAGTGGATCAGTATCAGGAGCCAAACCGGATTCAGGGAGGGTTAGTTGATCAGTATCAGGAGCCAAACCGGATTCAGGGAGGGTTAGTTGATCAGTATCAGGAGCCAATCCGGATTCAGGGAGGGTTAGTTGATCAGTATCAGGAGCCAATCCGGATTCAGGGAGGGTAAGTTGATCAGTATCAGGAGCCAAACCAGATTCAGTGAGGGTTAGTTGATCAGTGTCAGGAGCCAAACAAGATTCAGGGAGGGTTAGTGGATCGGTATCAGGAGCCAAACCGGATTCAGGGAGGGGTAGTTGATCGGTATCAGGAGCCAAACCAGATTCAGGGAAGGTTAGTGGATCAGTATCAGGAGCCAAACCAGATTCAGGGAGGGGTAGTGGATCAGTATCAGGAGCCAAACCAGATTCAGGGAGGGTTAGTGGATCAGTATCAGGAGCCAAACCAGATTCAGGGAGGGTTAGTTGATCAGTATCAGGAGATAAACCAGATTCAGGGAGGTCTATATGATTAGTGTCAGGTGTCAAACCAGATTTAGACTGTGCTTGCTGCTCATTGTCAAGGGCCACATCAGATTTGGATAGGACTAGTGGGTCGGGGTCAGATGCCAAATCAGATACAAATTGGTGCTTAGAGTAATTTTTTAAACCAGATTCAAACAGTGCAGGCAGCTCGGTGTCAAGGGTCAAAGTAGATTCAGACAATGCTAGCTGTTCATTGTAAGGGGCCAAACTTAATTCAGACAGTGCTAGCTGTTCATTGTCAGGGGCCAGACTAGATTCAGACAGTACTAGATGCTCAGTGTCAGGGACCAGACTAGATTCAGACAGTGATAGCTGCTTAAAACCACGAAACAGCTCAGATTCTGGGGACAAACAGAAATCAGATTGGGGTTGTTGGTCTATTTTAAGGGGCAATGCAAAGACTAATGGTAGATCTTCAGATTTAATCGGCCTAGTTTCAGTCAGGGGCCCTGCCCCAGAGTCAGATATCAAACTAGATTTAACAGAAACTAAGCAGTCATTTTCAGAATACAAAAATGAGTCAAATATAGACATGTTGCCAAGTTCAGTCGGCATTTCATGTTTACATACAGGAAGACAGGACGAACTAGTGCTTGGAACATATTCAGAAAAGGGGAACTCGTCTGGGTTATGGTTGAATTTAGATTCAAAGGAAATGACTGGATCTGGGTTTAAATATAAACCAACCTGTTTTTCTGTATTAGGTTCCTGGCATTGTTCAGTTGGGAATTCAGCCTTAAGGGCCACTCCGGATTCAGACAGGGGTTGTGGGTCAAGGGTCAGACTGTATTCTGAGAGGGACAACTGGTCAGAGGCTGGGGTCAAACATGATTCAGACAGGAAGCCTTGGTCAGAATCAGCGACCAAACGTGACTCAGACAGGGACTCTGGGTCAGAGTCACTGTGAGGTGAGGATCCCGAGAGGGACCCTGGGTCAAAGTCACTGTTTGATGAGGATCCCAAGGGGGGCCTTGGGTCAGAGTCAGGGATTAAACAAGGCTGGGGCACGGAGTCAGAGTTGGTGTAGTCAGAAAAGGGACCTGGGTCAGAGTCACTGTTAGATGAGGATCCCAAGTGGGAGCCTGGGTCAGAGTCCAGGATTAAACAAGACTGGGGCACTGAGTCAGAGTTGGTGTAGTCAGAGAGAGGACCTTGGTCAGAGTCACTGTTAGATGAAGGTCCCGAGGGGGGCCTTGGGTCAGAGTCATTGTGAGATGAGGATCCCGAGAGGGACCCTGGGTTCTTGTCAGGGACTAAACAAGACTGGGGCAGCAGCACTGAGTCAGAGATGGTGTGCAAATACGAGTCAAAGAGGGTCCCTGGGTCAGAGTTTGGAGTTAAGCAGGATTCAGACAGTGGGAAATGGTCTGGGGACAAACAGGACTCAGACAGAGGTGGCTGGTCACAGTCTGAGGGCAGGTAGGATTCAGAGAGATGCCCTGAGTCAGAGTCGGAGGCTATACAGGATTCAGAGAGGGGTAAATGTTCTGAGAGAACACAGGATTCACATAGGGCCACTGAGTCAGAATTAGGGGAAAAACAGGATTTAGACAGTATCACTGGGTTAGAATCGCAGGGCAAACATAATTCAGACAGTATCACTGGGTCAGAACCAGGAGACAAACAGGATTCAGACAGTATCACTGGGTCAGAACCAGGGGACAAACAGGATTCAGACAGGTTTACTGTTTCAGAACCAGGGGACAAACAGGATTCAGACAGTGTCACTGGGTCAGGGCTAGGGGATAGACAGGATTCAGACAGTATCACTGGATCAGAACCAGGGAACAAACTGGATTCAGACAGGGTCACTAGGTCAGAACCAGAGGACAAACAGGATTCAGACAGTATCACTGGGTCAGAACCAGGGGACAAACAGGATTCAGACAGTATCACTGGATCAGAACCAGGGGACAAACTTGATTCAGACAGGGTCACTAGGTCAGAACCAGAGGACAAACAGGATTCAGACAGTATCACTGGGTCAGAACCAGGGGACAAACAGGATTCAGACAGTATCACTGGATCAGAACCAGGGGACAAACTTGATTCAGACAGGGTCACTAGGTCAGAACCAGAGGACAAACAGGATTCAGACAGTATCACTGAGTCAGAACCAGGGGACAAACAGGATTCAGACAGGGTAACACCGGATTTAGATGCAGGTAATTGGTCAAGGGCCAAATAGGATTCAGACAGGGGCAGTAAGTCTGAGTTGGTGGGCAGAAGGGTCAGTGCCAGGGGCGCCTGGTTAGAATCAGGAGGCAAAACAAATTGAGACTGGGGCTGGTGGGCATGGGGGAAATAAGACTCAGACTGAGGAAGCTGACTAAGGGACAGACAGCCTCCAGACAGGAGCCACTGGTCAGAGTCAGGGGGCAGGCGGGATTTAGCCAGGGACAGCTGGTCATTATCAGTGGGTAAGCAGCACTCAGATGGGGGCAAACACGATTCAGACTGGGGAATATGGTCAGGGGGTAGATGAGATGGCTGAGATTGATTTGGGTTAGAATGTAGATCTCTTGCTGGGTCAATGTTCAGACTGGATTCAGAAACAAGCAGCTGGTCAGGATCTGGGGACATGAAAGGTTCACAGACAGAATGTAGGACATTGTGAGGGAGCACACAGGTTTTAAATAAGATGTTCTGGTCACTCTGACAGGTTACACTCTCTGAATACTGAGTGTCCAAATCATGTTCCTGGGGCAGGTCCCAAGCAAGTGGCAGCATATGGTGTGAATCCCATGATAAATTATTATTGGATGGCTGGGGTATCAGCAGGGGTAAAATGCTATCAGGGGGGATTAATGTATCATTAATTAGGGGAGAATCTGGAGTCAGGTGGATTTGGGGGGGGGACCCTTTCTGAGGCTGGAGATTCTGGCTAAACTCTGAAAGCAAATTATTATTATTATTGCAAAGAGACACCTGTTCCAGCAAATAGGGAGAATACACCTGGCTGGACTCATGGGTTAAATCCAAAGGAGTGAACCTGCTCCTGTCCTCCTCCAGCCCTCCCTCCCTGGCACACTTAGCCTGGCACTGCCCAGCCCCAAGCTGCCCCTTCTGTGAACCTTTAGGCCCAAACAATGAGTCCCCAGCCTGGGAGAGTAGAGGGTGGGGACCAGCTATGAGCTCACCCAGTCCATCCGGTTCTTCTAGCTTGGGCAGCGATGCAGCACGTCCTTTTTCCTCCTGCCCCATCACAAAATAGCCCCCCATAACCTGCTGGGGGGAGATCAGTTCTCCAGCTGGGCCCACCTGCTGCAGCCCCAGCTCTTCAGCCTCCAAGCTGCCCCTCATGAGCCCCCATGCAGTCAACTGGGGCTCCCCTTCCATCCTCATCAGCCCTTCTTTGTGGAGGGGGTCCTGATATAGCACCAAAGGTGGGATTTCAAACCTGGATCCCCATCATGTTCTCAGCAAGCAGCATCTATCACATCCCATTCTTTCAATAGACACCTTCCACCCCACCCCCCTACACACGGGGAAAGGGGGGTTAGTGCAGGAGGACCATACTTACCCCCCTTGTCCTGGGGGGCAGCATGCTCTGAGGTCTGATTGTAATCCAGTGATTGCCCCCACCCACCCAGGCAAGGTGCAGCTCCGAGGGATGTCGGTGCGGTAGCCAGGCAGGGGTAGAAAGGATAGATGGGGGGGCTGCAGATTCTGGGTGGTGAGAGAAGAACGGTGAGATGGCTCTCTTCCTTGCAGATAAAATCTGATTACAATGTATCAATGAGGAGCAGGATCTGCTGGGTTAAAGGACCATGGTCATGTATCAAAGGGTCTCCTGGGGGAGACAGCCCCTGGTCCTGGAATTCTCCATAAAATAGACTGCAGGAGACTGAGAAAAGGGGAGGCTGGGTGAGGGAAGGGGAGGGCTCGTAATGTGTCTGTGAAGGGAGGGGGAGGCAAAGTAGGAGGCTGGAAAGAGACCAGGGATTGGGGAGCTGCTACAGACACAGGAGAGGGGGAGTACATGAGAATTTGTTTTTCCTGGGGATAGAGGTGGGAAAGGATTAATCCATTATATGTGAAATGGGGGGGCTACCTAGAGTGGGATGAATGGGGAATGCTGATATCAAAGCAGGGGGTGTATTAATTAGGAGAGAGGCATGTGAAGTGCACAGCAGGTCTACTACAACAATAGGAGCCAGAACAATGTAAAAGATGATTAGATGTCAGGGAAGTGGGGGGAGACGTTCACAATGAGAGGAAGAGAAGTTTATTTTTGGTTTCTTTGTTATTGGGGGATTTTTTTGGGGGTGGGTGGGAGTGAGACACTACAAATAGAGACATAAAAAAATACTAAGAGGGGGTAAAATAAAGTGGATTGCACTGAGGAAGACCAGGGTACAAGGTGGCTGTGGGTTGTGTGGCTGGTCTTGCAAATAAAGTGTTAATTAAAAGATTACAAGGAAGCACAATCAAAATAGCAAGAAGAGCTAAAAATGGTGGAAATATGTAAATTCAGGGGATTTGCGGCCGCTAATCCAACTCTGTGAGTTTACATTCTGGGGAGGAGGATGATAATATATTAGAAGATTTATAAGAAGGTTCTTTATCAAAACTATATATATATGGGTGTGCGTGTGCGTTGTGTGTGTAAAACAACAGATACAATTCGTATCTTGTAATATCTTATTTTATTCGACTAACAGAATTTTTGAATGACACGCTTTCGGGAGAACCTCCAATTCTCAAGCATTTCTGAGGGGGGGCGGGAAACGACACACAGAATTTACAGTTGAGTTGTGATAAAATAGACACCATTCTCACAGAGCTTGGTAAATATTCTACGTAAATCTCACGGAGTGAGGGGGAAGAGAGAGAAACAAACCGTGCAGGAGATGGTACTGGAAGGGGGACAGTTAAAGGAACACTATCTATAGTGTTAGGAATACAAATATTAACATGGAATAATAATCCTAATTTTTTTTTAATGTGCTGTGGATATTAGTATATTCATGGCCCTATACCTGCGTGCTGATATTTGTGCTGTTGTTTTGGTAAAACTCTTTCTAATAAGACAGGTGTGTGTATACCACGGATACACAATGTTCTTCCATTGCATCATAACCCAGGGGAAACAATATTAATGTCTCAAAGATCCCTGCACTGCTAAATTGCATGCATGTTACCGTGATCACTGGGAATTCTGTAAGGGATTGTACCAATGCACAAGGGAATGGTATCCCAACAAAAGAACAGAATATTTTCTGCTGTTTAATCAAATAATCCTCCCCTAGAGATTACATTTAATTAAACTGTCACCTTTGCTACAAAAAAAAATTAATCTGAGATTGATTTGGTTTAGAAAGTAGAACTTCTGCTGGGTCTTTACCCCATGTGATGCGGGGAGCAGGAATGTGACGTCATTCCTGCCACACCATATCAAACAGCGCGTAGGAGGAGTGAGTGTCTGTAATGCCTCGTTTCCACTGAGCGGATCGGTTTGGGTCGGTACAGTTTGGAAGGTTTAGAATGGACCAGCCCATTCTGGTGAGCGTTCCCACTGCAAGTCAGACCTTTCAGGGCCATTCGGGGTTTAGAAAATTGTATAGTAGCTCCCCCCTAACCGAACCTTTCCATTTCCTATGGCCCTACATCTGAAGCAGGACCCTGAATGGATCGGTACGGTTCGTTTGTATGGACCACTTTCATAATGGAAACACCCTAAATAACGAACCATACCGAACCGAAAATGAATAATTAAATGCATGCAAGTTTTAATTTGGGGTATCTACTAAACAGTGATTTTTATTTTGTATTTGAGCAGCAGAGTGTCCCTTTAAGTCAACATAATGAGTGGGGCTAAGCAGAGGACGATCTCTGGATGTTAGGAAGAGTGCAGGTTTTTGTCACACTGCTCCTAAAATATTTTAACAAAAATCCAGAACACAGAACCGAGAGACTATTAGAACAGAGCGAGTACAAAAAGCTGGCGTGGTTATGGTGTTTATAATACCATAGATGAGTGAAATAAATTACAGCTGGTTGCGTGACATACAGATCATGTGGGGGGGAAAAAACATTCACTTGTACTAGACCCTAAGTTAAGTTTTCAACCTCCTGTATTGTATAAACAGGCGTTGGAGCCAAGTGGAAGATAAATGAATTTTGTTTAAACAGATTTTTTTTTTTTTAAATCTAATTAAAACCATACAAATATAAATCAAACCTGATATTAATAGTGAAGGAGTTAATCTATTACAACTGTGATGTAATGCAAGGCTTACCTGTCATGTCGTTTTACTGTCTCTTTAAATCTATGACCTGGCAGAGCCTACAGAGATGTTTTGAATGTGAAAGCATGTGAACTAACACTGCTCTCCCATACAAGCAGCCCCATGTTATAGATCAGACAGGCCTGGGTTCTGAGCTTCGCTATGATTGTGTAAATTAAATATAAAGGCTGGGTTTAATTATTGAAGGGTTCCAAGGCTAGAAACCATTAAATCCATATTTCGGATTTGTTTTAAATCTATACTTAACATAAGTTTTTCCTGCAGGCCGAGTAATTGTTTAAATTTTATTTAATCGCTTATTGCTTGTCTATATATTTGACTTTGATATTATAACCTTCGTACGCAAAGGCACAGCCAGCGCATTTATTGTGGGACTGTTTAACTGAGCACCTGCTGATTGTGTAGGACTACAACTCTCATCATTCCATGCCATCCCATGAGCTCAAAGGTTTAGTAAACGAAACGTAGGATTCTTCACTTCGAAAACAGCGCTTGGTCGATAAACTAAAAACCCCAAAACAACCAATGCTACAAATGTGAAGGAGAATTTGAGGTGTCTCAAGAATTAACCATTAAAACGTTATACAAAGATCTACAATGAGGTGTAAAATATCCCATTGAGCAGTGATTTTGGTAGTAATGGCGTCTGTTTATCGCCTGTGGATGTGGATAAAAGAGAAATTGTTGGTTTTCTGCTGATGACAGTTCCATTTTATCTCACCCCTGGAAACATTATTGAAGTGTTTCCCGTGACGAGGTGTGCATTGGCAGTATGTATAAAAAACACTTTATTTCCAAATGACAAGCGCAGCCATGTTCGCTAAGGTCAGGTCAGCTTTTTCCCATGATGCTTTGTGCGGCAATTACAAGGTTATAGGCCATTATTTCACTAGGCCATATCTGTGGTTTGGAACTTTAAACGTTCTATGCAACTGTTTGACATTACGTATAATCAGCAGTGGTACTTGATATTTGTAGAATTCTATGAACCCTCTGGCTACATATGTGGACTTTTATTAGAAACTATCTGTTCGTTCACGTCTATACCGTTTACTTCCAAGTAGCAGTATGTTAACCAGTGCACTATGGGGCACTCTCCTAACTTACCACCATAAATTACCTTATCGGGTCTCTTAACCTGGATTATTGTCTTTGTTTTCTTTTGTCTAAAATACGCAGGCTTTCTTGTGTTGAATCGTTTTTCATACAGCTGTCTGTACCATCTTGACTAATAATTAATAATAAAATGAACAGTTATTAATGGTGTAGTACAATCATTTCTGAACTCTCTCTAAATATACAGATTGACGTATTGTTCTGTCACGTATGTGTGCTAAATGTTAAGTGCAGAATATGCCAATAATACCTCATGTTATCTTATATAAGTGTTTTATTGTTACTAAATTTAGGAAATGAAGAATAACTGTTCCATTATTGCTAAATGGATTTTTTTACTTAAATAAACATTACAAACACCATAACAGCTTGTTGTTGCTGTATAGCTTATGGAACAGTAATATCCTGTCTCTGTCTGCCTGCACACAGTTGCTTAAGATTTGAAACAATCACTGCATCTATAAGTCAACCCCCTAACTCAGGGACATCTCAGAAAAAGCTAATACGTCTGTCATTTTATTTCTTGAACAGTGTTTGCGTAATGGGCAGGCACACATTATGTAGGTTCCCACCCAACTCTCATTTATTTATTTTATTGCCACCACTATAGCTCCATATATAGATGCTTTTAACAGAAGCTACGTTCATTTTATGTAATGTATGGAGTTGCTGCCGAATGCTTTGTTTTAAATGTGTTTATAGATAATTTTATCATGCATAAAAAGACATGCTTTCCTGCAAAGCCCCAACAGCGGTTGCAAGATAATCATTGCACAGGGTAGTACAGATGCATAGTTTTCCATATAACAGCATTATCATTAAGTAACGGCAAAGTATGTAGGGTTTGTACAATATACGATAACTAAATTAAGAAGCCAATAAAGTTGCCTAGACATAGTATAAATAACAGTGTGTTGAGGACTTATAAACTAAATGAGGTCAACAATAGGAGCTGCATTCACGTTATTAGGCATAAGTTATAAGGGTAAGATGTCAGTAGCATAATCAAACGAAATTAGCATAACTGTGATGGTGCTCTCGGCGTGAAAAATGTCGCCAGGCCGGAAGCCTCCCATGTCACAGCTGGGCCATAATATTTTTACTGTTATCAAGCCTGATAGGCCCATCTCCAAGTTAAACCCCACAGGTTAAATGGCTTATCGGCCTGTATAAGTCTAACTTCAGAGAACATATGCATAGTATACCACATTGAGATATCCTAGGTATTGCTGTACTTTGGGATAAAGCAATGTGACTGTACTATGAGAGTGTGTGTGTGTGTGTGTGTCTGTTGGGGACGAAAGGCAAGGAACCTCTCAGCTACCGGTCTGCCGGTGGCTCCCATATGTCAGTCCACCTGGGTTCTCAGCAACAGGGACAATCCGCTGTAGGCCCCCCTTATCAAAGCCCAGAAGTGGAGGCTCCGCTTAGGTCGGTAAGCTGCAATCAGGTAGGAGCCGTCGTCCAGCACACCCAGTGGGACTTTGTAAAGTTGCAAGGTGGGTTCTGCAGCGCGAAGTAAGAGGGTCAGCCGTGGCAGCCTTCAGGCGAATGTGTGAATGGTGCAGAGGTAAAGGTAGGCAGAGCAAGGTTCTACAGGCGGAGAGGCCTCCATAACGTATTCGTAACTATTAACGTGCAAAATGCCACAGTGGACTGGGATAACCATCGGTCCAAGGGCGGAGCGAGCGGGGCCACCCCAGCAAACCCGAGGATGTTCAGCATTAATTGCACCCTCATTCTGTGGGGTGATTTCCCCATCTGTAGCGAAGGCGTATTGCAGACAGCGAGCGGCTAGCCACATGTCAGGCTCTGTCAAAGTAGGCCGTAGGCAGTAATTTCACCTCAATCCTGGTGGTATCGACTGGATTTTGAGGTCTATAAGTTGCCGGGGAATTCCTCTCGATAGATCTTTGTACCTCTAAGGCATACAAGCATTTGGTGAGCATATTTTCAGATTCAAGGCCGGAGCTGTGTGAGATGGCTGCTGATCAGCTCGACTGCCCGGCCCCGCCCCCCCGCCGAGTGCTTTGGCATCAATTCAGCTCCTATTGCCTGATGAGTATCAGCTATGTCGTAGCCTGATTGAAGAAAACTATATTTTAATATGGTTTTATATATATATAATTTCTTATTTATTTTATTTTACTTTTTTTAAAGGGATATTACAGTATTTAAGGGACACTCCATTGCCCAAATACAAAATATATAAATGTCTATTTAGTAGATAAAGCCTCAATTAAAACATGCATGCATTAATTTATAAATTTTTCTCATTAGGGGTATATTTAAAACAGCTTGCAAAAGCTGCAGATCTTGCATGGTAGGCACTCTGAGCAATTGGTGCCTCTAGAGTTTAGCTCCACTGAGCTTAACAACCAGGAAGTAACATGACCGGTTGTCTGATTGACAGCCGGGGGGTCGGGGGGGTGTAATATGGTTAATTTAAAAAAAAATGCTAATTTCTATTAAAATCTCCACTTTTTGTGAAATGAAAACAAACAAACAAAAAAGACAGATTTAAGCTAAACGGATTTATGTATGTGGAGTGTTTCTTTAATAAATGTAGATCATTTCCAAAATAAAAGAATCGATAGAGATTGTGTAATTTTTTTTTCCCAGGTCTTCTATTGTGGCCTAAAATAATTCCCTTGTGAAATTCTCCACAATAACCAGTTTAGATAATAAACCAAATACATTAGAGAACATTCTTTTCTGATGCTGAAACATTCATAGAGTAAATGTCGATGCTTGGCATTGTTTTACCAGCTAATGACTCATGGATTAGAGATTGGAGTAAGAAATTATTAAAATATATTAAAGACTTCCATTTATCAATATACATCGCTATTATTTCTCATTAGTTTATTTTCAGAGACACCGCAACAGTAGCGTTATATTATCCAAACTATGAGGTAATGCTGGTCAAAGTAACAAGTTTTGCATCTCGGTAGTTTGAAGACGTATGCTGCTTCCTGGTGGATAATACTGAATATTGCATTGCATTGTATTTTGCTATTTGGGTATCTGTGTCTTTAAGGATTAATGTAGCACACTCACTAGTGTTTTCTTTCCATAGATCTGTTTAAAACAATAATTCGAGCAGATTAGTAGTATTTTCATGTAATCCATCTATAGTAAATATATTTGAAACTTTCCACTAGGTCTGAACCTTTTATTTTCATTGTGGAGGCAGCCATCTTAAAAATTACTCATATACAAGCCCTTACTGACAATTACTGATAGTATAAACACAGCGTGTTATGTCAGCAGCCAGTCAGAATCTGTCAGAGTTTGCTGACAGAATAAATCAGTTTGGGGTATATCAGTGATAATTTACATTTTGGAGGTTGTTCATTAAACTTATAGAGATATGACATTGATCAACCTGGCTCTGAATTTATCTGTATGAGTTCCCAATCTGAAGCCAGACAAATGTGTTCAAATACAGGGGTTCAAAGAATCCACTGTGCATGTCCTCCCCTTCCTTCACCCCCATGTGTACTATAGGGGGATTAAAAGTAACTCTGTCCAACACTTGATTTTTATGGCGCCTCTCATGTTCTGAGAGATATTATTTTTGCATAAACTTAATTATAGGTTATTAATAAAAAAAAATGTGTAGAGTTCAAAGGTGATACAGCTCAAGGCATGCCAAGTGAGAAAAATGAAAATGGTGGCACAGAGAAACAAGGAAATTGTTTGCAAGATTATCAACCCACAGATACATCCTAACACGTGCACCATCCTGCACACCAATAGGTATTTTTCTTTAATTGCAAAGATACTTCCAAGTGAGTGATCTGCTACAAATTTAGTAGTGTATTCACGAAATAATCAGTTAGCGACCAAATTTAGTAAAAAAGTTAACATGGCAAGGCAGAAATATTCTCCAACAAAGCTATGGGGTTTGTGAGCTGACTAGTCAGTGAATTCTTATTGGAACAAGTACATTATTCACGGTAGGTGGTTAAACCCATAAAGGTTGTCCTTGTCTGAATTTGTTAACCTCCACAGTATGCAAACAACAATAGGACTTTTAGTCTTTTAGTTAGATGAATGGATTGCCATTGTTTTTGGATCCCTATTCAGCTTTGGAACGTTCTGGTAAGGTGGCCAATGTATTTACAGAAGTTAGAAGTCTGAGACATTTAACCAAATGCGCAGTTTCTTTGGTAAACTATGGTATGACAATTGTATTCACTAAACTAGTAACTATGCAGATTAGCCAATTGTAGATCAGAAGAAATTAACTGGAAATTCACTTAATCACGACAATCTGGTAACTCATTTTGCCTTTATGAGTTTTGTTTGTATGTTAGCTCAGTTAACCCATCCACCACAACGGGATTAATTTACTAAACTGAAACTGTGGAGAATTGACAAAGACAATGCAGACTTTAAGACAAACTAATTGTTGAATTTAGCCAATTCAGCTGTTTTTATCTCCTTGGTCTATTAACCACAATTCCCCTTAACTTGTTCGGGCTTGATGATCATTTTAATCTTAAAAATGTCAAATAAGATTGGGAAGTCTCATTGAAAACATGGATTTGGTCTCATTCATTCAGCTCAGTTCTCTTTAGATTGTCCGAAGGTCGCGTTACTAAACACCACACTAATCTGAGATGAATGGGCCACCACAATTTCCAAATGGATCGGATTACCAGGACTGAGATTCATCTGATAATACCTTAAGCGAGATTGCAACTCAGTTAAATGTGAATTGTGTTTTCTTGAAGAACGAAAAAAAAAACAAAAAAAACACAAGATTTGGTAATATATAAATTTGGTTGGAAGGGTGAATTAGGTTGGTGTAGCTATATTAACTGCACTAAAAAAAAAAGGTAAATGATGCAAGTTTAAAAAGTTCTTTATTAAGGAAATAATTCACATATACAATCAATTCAATGCTTGCAGTTTGAGGCCTGATAAAAAGTCCTGTCTCAACAAAATTGTCAGTTATTCACAAAAGTGTGAAATGTCAGGAATTCAAAGTGAATTAGTGTTGTCTACACATGGAAAACACAAAAGTCCCTTTTTGATGGAGCCCCTACTAAAAGAAACTTGGAAATCAGAAGCGGAGATTATAGTTCTGGAGAAGAATATATGGACATAGCATTTTAGGTGGAAGTTTAAATTGCAAAGAATTAAAAAAAAAAAATGTAACTACTGTCAGCTCGTGTACAAGTAGTAACCCCCACCGCCCCAAAACAAACAAAAACGGTCTCAGTAGGTTTCTCATTTTGTGCTCAAGAAATGCAACTGTTCTCAAGGTCTAATTTAATATTACGACACTATAAAAGTGTCAATCTCTATTGAAAACAGCAATTTTTTAAGCTGTCACAAATATGACCAACTCCAGACAGAGAAAGCACATGAGCAAGCTGAAGTGCTTTACGTCCCTTTAAATCGACTTTGTTATGATTTTTTTTCTTTCCTTATACTTGGGCTCTGCTATCATCCAGATACATATAGCCTTGCACATAGTTACATAGGCCGATAGTTACAAGTTCAGCCTTCCTCACATTTGTTTTTTGCTGTTGATCAAAAAGAAGGCAAAAAACCCAGTTTGAAGCACTTCCAATTTTGCAACAAACTAGGAAAAAAAATCCCGACATGCTCGACATATACATTTTAGGAATAACTCTGTGCTGGGATTGGCTGTAAATGTTCTGCAGCCACTGACGGTAAAATGAGCAATGAATCCAAGGAAGAGATTGGCTGGATCACGATGATGGAAGTTCCATCTATTTCATTTGCCTTCCTTCATTTTGGAGGTCCAAAGTTCTATTAGAAGACAAAGAAAAATGTGTTAGACACTGTGATAAATTCTCAGCCCATACGGAGCATATAACGGGCACTGTGTTAAAGGGCAACCATGGAAACATCAAGTGAAAGAACAATTATAAACCGGTCATGATACGTTCACTTTAACTGCTACCAACCCGTTAAGCAATGAATATTTAACTTATCATAGAAATAAATGATATATTTTACCAATTGATCACATATTCTCCAGCACTGCTCATTATGTATTTGGCTGAATCAATAATATAAACACCTCTTCATACATCCCCCCCCTTCTGATTGGACAAGACCTGTTTGGGAACTCTTCCCCCGAGATGCCAATATGCTGGCCTCACTGCATCAGAACAGAGAATGCCAAGGAACTGATTGTCAGGAGAGGGGAATCAATATATCGTTATACAAGTTTTTAAGAAAATCTATACATTGTGCAAGCATGTATTGATCAAGTTTTACCCTCTATCACTTAAAAGAAAGTTGTACGTACCATGACAGGTATACTTGCAAATAGCTGCACAGTGACAAAGATGATTCACCAAATTTAAAAACTGTGGTTCATTTAGAAAACACACCCAAGCGTATATTCACTAAACAGAGAGCTGTTAATTACCAACTTAGAGCTAGGCAGTTTTGTTTTTTTAGCAGAATTTCAACAAATACTTTTACAGAAGTGAATTTCCAGTTAATTTCTTCTGATCTACAATTAGCTAATCTGCATAGTTACTAGTTTAGTGAATACATTTGTTGGATTTATTTGTTAAAAATCAAACTGTAGTGATAAAAAAAAAAAAAAAAACAAACAAACAAAAAAACACCTTCATGCAAAATTTAGGCAAAAATAATGGATTTATAAATATTCTCCAACTGCGTGACAGTCTGTCTATTTTAGTGTAAATTTTGCAATTAGGCTGGATGGCAAGTAGCAGAAGCAGAGGACTTCCCTTCAAAATGTGTAGGGGAAACCGCACAGGGTTCCCCTGCACTGATCTGAAGTGGAAGGGTGGGGAATGTCACGGTCTGCCAAAGTCTGCCTCTTACACCATGCCTGGGCGGCATCATCTATAGGTGAGGAGAAGGAGAGGTACCCAGCGAAGCTGCCAACTGATTGGGAGATGTCAGCCACGATCCACCATCTAACACCAGTGTGGTGCCCGTCATGTAGGATGCCAGGGGGCTTGCCAAGAAAAGGGCTCCATGTGCCATTTCTGTCTTATTTCCTAGTCGCTGCAAGGGAATTGACGATGAATACATTGCGGCCTCCAATTCTGCTCCTCCTATAATATACAAGGAATAAAAAAAAAAAAGTAAAGTTAAATGCAACAGCAATATCAAAAGGCCACAAAACTACAAAATGGCAAATTGGACAAACATTTCACATTATTCTGTATCTATCAATGAAGAGGAGTGAGCATGAAATGTGAACACAGATAATATGAAATTAAGGGTGCAGTAATTACTACTAATTAATCTTTCAAACAAAGTAACACCCACTAAGACCTACTATCACTGTGGCATTCTCATGTTAACTTTGTTAAAAGTGGATGTAAAACCATTCCTGATGACCAGGTCAGCACTAATGGGGAGAGCTCTATTAAAGAGCCATGACTTGCTTTGGGAGATACAAACATGGGACGGGAAATGGACCTAGTGGGTGGGAATTCTGCAACACAATGAGGGATCAGCCGCATATCCCAGAGCTGCACATGAACCAAGTACTGATGAAGAGCATGGGCTTAATGCCCCAAGTGAACTTTAAACTAAGAACATCTAACAAAGCACTTTGCTCTACTTCTTCTGACAGCTCCATGCTGTCCCCAGGAAACAAGCTCGGGACAGCAGGACTGGACGCCAAAATCTGGGAGTGTTGGATGGTATCCTGATGTCTATGGGCAGGGAGTTGTCAGCTGCAACTATTAGTCTGTTTGATTTTCCTTGTGGTATATATTTTAGCTGTGGCAGATTTTATAAACCTTCCTGAGTGTGCTCCATTCTAATTCTTGGCTGATCTTTGAATCATATAAACCTCTTCAAAAGACTGAATTTATTCACATCTTTCTGTGTATTATCACAAGAAATGAAAGTCATTGAAACTGCTCAGTACAGCTCTGTCCTATCTGGAAAGGCCATTTCACTGTGTCTTGTTACTCACCGAGCCTGCGCATGCCTTCAGTTCCAGAAATGGGACCTGGTGCTAAACTGTTCACCCGCACCCTGCTGGGTCCCCACTCCACGGCGAGGTGCTTGGTCATGGCTTCTGCAGAAAAAAAAAAAAAGGACAATGTAAACTCGGGCCGCAAATGGTGGAGTGGTAGTTGGTTAAACATCGCAGAGGAGGCGTATGTTATATAATGGTACATATAGACACAAACACACAGCACAAGATTCTGTTGAGAAAATAGAAATATGTCAAGATGAAGGTGTAGAGACAGCGCAAAGCAAGAAGTACGGGTTCAGCAGACATACAGAAGTCATTTATCACATTATTTTAATATACAAGTCACCAAAAAAGGGAATGCACAACCTCATCATTGCTTCCAAAATCCGACTGTGCAGAAAATCCAAAAGTTCACTAAGACCCGTATATAAAGAATCAGGGCACACGAAATCTCAAAATTACAACTTTTACTATGAACTCCAAAACACAATGACCATGTTTCAGGCACACGCTGTCACTGTATCTCGGAGTGGCTATTAAAGTCTGCACCTTGGAGATTTCATGTGTCTGGACTTTTTATATATGCTCTAAATAATTTTGAATATAAAGAATAGAATTGTATGGTATGGGGGGGAACCCTGATGCATTGAAGGAACGAGAACTTGTTGCCAATTAGCAAAAGGGACTTTAAAGGGGACTAGAAAACAGTGTTAAGCTAATCAGGAATAGCAAAGGGAAATGGATATAACCATAGGCAAACTAGGGCAGGACAAGTATAATAATACATTCAAAACAAAAACATTTAATAAACTACTTGCCGATAGCTGCCTTAGCACTGCCCGCATGCATCTGCAGAACTTGTCCTCTGTAGCTCAATGTGGCAGTGATGTTGATAATGACTCCTCCATGATCCTAACAGGAAAATATAATTTAACAAAAATTAAAAACATACCCATGAAGGACACATGTACCCCAAAAATATGCCATGTCTTCTTGGCATTTCTTTACAATGAATGCTATATTTGAGAGCTGGTAGATTATTTCATTGCAAAGGACCAGGGTTGAAAAACAAAAAAAATGGTTTAACGTATCTAGTATCTGTTCAAAGTGTGATTAACTGGTCTGCTTTTACAAAGTACTGGCCTGGCTCACGAATACGCTAATATTGCTATTTAATGACAAGGTAATGCTTGTAAAACCATTAAATTGGAATTATATATACACTCACACCAAAAACTAATATGGAGCATTAACAGGCTCATGAGGGGGAGGGGAGGAGGGAGTATATGTTAGAAATGTTCACATTATATAAAAGTACAAAATTATGGGCCCCCCACACTTTAAAAAAATAAATCAATAAAAAAGTTGCTTCGTTTTATAGAAAACAAGTGTTTGCTGTTAGCCTATCCTCATCTTTAAATTATCTGAAAATGTGAATTCTAGTTGCATTCTCATCAGTCAGGGCATGTCTGGAAAATGTACACTGGCCTGCTGTCCCAGAGTGTGAGTCTAATGAAGCTGCCAAGACACAGTTTTATATATTAAATAGACACTAGAGGCACCAAGACCACTTCATCTCATTGAAGTGGCCTGGGTGCAGGGCCCCTGTCCCCTTAACCTTGCAAATTGTAATTATTGCAGTTTTTGATAAACTGCAATAAACTCCACCTCTAGTGGCTGTCTACCAGACAACCACCAGAGGCGCTTCCAGGTCCTTTGTGGACTTTTGGCCTGCTAAATGATGCTGAACGTCCTCACGTTTTACATGACAACACCAAGCATCAGCCAAAACTCCATAGGAAAGCACTGACTGACTACATACGGCTGCTGAATGGAGGGTTCTCTATAATATCTCAACACATATAATACACTGTACAGAACCTACCCTAAAGAACTTTTCAAACAGGATCTTGCTGGCGTTAAATGTGCCCACTGTGTCAATATCAATGACCGTTTTGAAGGCGTTAAAAGAGAGCGCACTGGCAGGGCAGAGGAAGTTTCCAGCAGCATCTGAAAAGGAACAAGAAGAAAAAGGTAGAATGCAGGAATCTGGCCTCCTTGGATGCTTATATCATTCAGGACAGAGGAGGGATGAAGATTACATGATTGAAAATGTTCAAACAGATCAAGGGAATGAATGCAATGCAAGAGAGAGGCATCAAGACCAAATAGGGGGATCTAAAAGTTACAGACAGAGGCAGATACACAGAACAGGCTGCTAGCAGCAGGAGACAGGAGGGTCAGTATGGAAAGCAAATTCATGGACTCGGAAGACAGGTACACAGCTATCTAATGTAGGGAATGAAGAATACAGGAAGATTTTGCTCCTTGGAAAAGGATGGGTAGATGATGTGAAACATTTATTAATTAAACACTGTCGATATTTTGTTAAACATACTGTTGATCAGAATGTCCACTCTGGAGAAGGTTCTCAGGGCCTCATCCACAGCAGCAGTAAGAGTCTCTGGATTACGGACATCACCCGCCAGGGGTAGACAGCGCCGCCCTGTAACTGCTTGCAGTTTCTCAGCCGCCTGGTAAGAAAAGACAATTCACTAGAAGTCAAATACTCAAAAAAAAAAAAAAAAAGAATATATATTAATATGGTGTAATGATTTCTAATTTCTCCAGTGTTTAAAAGAGTCAAAAACACAGAGAAATAACAAATTTGATAGATTTTCAGAAGATCTAGCACTAGTTAGATTTTAATGAACTTTGATATACTTTTTCTGGTTTAAAGAGGATAAATGTGAACTATAAGCTTTGCTCTCGTACCTGAGACACCCGCTGTAGATTCCTGCTGACGATAACAGTGTCACAGCCGTGCCTGGGATCAGAGGAGACAGACAGTGACAATGTTTAATGTGACCTTAATGCCAGTGAGTGCAACATTGCACAGAGTAGCAATCGCTTTAATAAAAGATTATTGATGTATACATATATTTTTAGACAAACATTAACTTGAACACAGCTTTTTTTTTTTATTACAAAAGTAAATAAACAAAAAAAATAAAATTTATTGATTTCACTTGGAATCCTTGTGAGTAATGTAAATAAATTTTATTTCTTTTAACAAATCTTTAATTAAAAACAATATTAATTATACACAAATCTTTAATTAAAAACAATATTAATTATACACATGCAGGAACTGCAAGTCATATTGTAAGCTTGTTTGAGCAGGGCCCTCTTCAACCTATCGTTCCTGTAAGTTTTCTTGTAATTGTCCTATTTATAGTTAAATCCCCTCTCTTATAACATTGTAAAGCGCTATTGAATCTGCTGGCGCTATATAAATGGCAATAATAATAATTGTTATTTACCTCATGAATATTTCAGCAATCCGAAAGCCAATGCCGGATCCCCCACCTGTGATGAAGGCCACTCTCCCACTAGGAGTAAGAGAGTTACTTGATTAATACTCGTAATGTAACTCCGGTAGATTTCGCAGAGAATAAAGGAGACCCTTACCTGAGCAGGGTTGGGCTGTACATGTATGAGTATTCAGGGAGACAATCATCTGTTAAAACATCAGCAGGGGGCTGATCGAGGGTGGGCGGCTGTGACATGGCGCTCAGCGGGATACCTAGAAAAGATTTACATTGTAAAGCGAGACAAAACAAAATATTTATTTATAGATACATATTTCTATTTAAAAATAAATAGAGAATGTGTCAATGGCTTACAAGTGGAACGTACAGAATTATTTACATAAAAAGTGCCAAAGTTAGCAGGACTAGGGGTAGGATAACCTAGAGTAACCCTGTGTACAGTGCATTGTTCATTGTCAGATCTGAGTGCCAGCTTGTCCTGTCTTGTCATGGCTCATATGATATACCAACTGGCATGGGTGGAAGATTTGTGAAGGCAAAGATCAGTGTGGTACATGCGGGACAATTTACTGGGGGGTCAAGGGTAACAAAATAAATGTATGTATACACACGTAGAAATATGCAGACATTCTATGCAAATACACCTCCATATTCACATTATTAACGCTGTACATAAATATATTCTTAAACCAACAAATACAACCTTTTATTAACACTTTTGAACTTACACAAATTGAATTAACACGCAAACAACCCACATGCACTTACACTATAAAAAAATATAATAAAATACATCCGTGCATCTTCATACACTAACAAGACGCAAACATATATTTGCAGACTGTAAACATTAAACAACACTATACAAACAACTACATACTAACAAATAAAATGTACAATACAAAAGACATATCTTGGAACACACTGCTCCGAGATAGCCTATGTTTAATTCCCCAAGATGCCATTCTCCGTCACTGTGGGCATATTAACTTCCAATACAGGAGGATGGTCAATGCTGACCAATAGTGAGTACTGCTAATTAGCAAAGTGCATACTGTAATTGGAGCTTTGTCTCCCTGACTTCTAATGTGCTAAAATAATTTAAAAACACTGACACAAATAAGGCACTTTACCCTAGAATTCCTCTGCAGGGTTACATATTAACCCAGGACACCATGTGGGAAGAATAGTTGAACTCATAATTCTTTGTCATTTTAATGTAAAATGTGACGTCGCTGGGCCACATCCCAGTTGGTGATATCATCTAAATTAATCCACACAAATATCTCACCTCTAACAGCCCCAGATTAAATTTGAAAAAACAAAACAAAAACACACACACACGTATGGGGTGGGGAGAGAAAGAGAGAGAGAGAGAGAGAAAAAGAAAGAGAGAGAGAGAGAGAAAAAGAAAGAGAGAGAGAGAGAGAGAAAGAGAGAGAGAGAGAGAGAGAGAGAGAGAGAGAAAAAAGAAAAAAAAAAGAGAGAATTCTTATGCATCACATAGAGTTTTCATTTCTATGGACTAAAAGCCACCACATATTGCAGAACTACAGCTCCCAATGGATTAAAGGAATTGGAGTTCTACAACATCTAGGAGATCTACCACGTTCTAAGTGTGGAGCAGTCAGCATGGGCATTCCATTGGTTTCCATGGTGACTGTTCCACTGTTAGAATGTTGCCCCAGACTGTGTGTTGCTGTATGTTTGGGGGGTCTAAGTATACACATGGCATGCACACAGGTTTCAGGAATTATGGTTAATATGCCGCCCCCATACACAGCGCTCTGTACTCACCGCTCCGTGTACACCGTCTGTACTGGACTTTGTATCTTCCGCCTGGTGAGGGCCTCCCAAGCAGCAGAGCATGCCGGGACCTGTAGTTTGCAGCGTTCTCCTTGCGCATGCGCAGTGTGAAGCATAATGCAGGGCCAGTTCCAGCACCATGTTACAACGTCAGCACAGGTAGGAGTTAGGATCAGCCCAGAGGATTCTGGGAAAATCCATCTAACCTGATCAACCACTGGGGGATGGGATTTATCTGGGTTTGTCAAATATTTGTCAAATATTATCCCAATAAATTATCCCCCCAAAAAATAAAAAATTATCCCAATAAATTATTACCCCCCCAAAGAAATATCCCAATAAATTATTATACCCCCCCAAAAAATTATCCCAATAAATTATTACCCCCAAAAAATATCCCAATAAATTATTATACCCCCAAAAATTATCCCAATAAATTATCCCCAAAAAATAAAAATTATCCCAATAAATTATTACCCAAAAATATCCCAATAAATTATTAACCCCCAAAAATTATCCCAATAAATTATCCCCCCCAAAAAATAAAAAATTATCCCAATAAATTATTAGCCCCCCAAATAAATATCCCAATAAATTATCTCCCCCAAAAATAAAAAATTATCCCAATAAATTATTATCCCAATAAATTATCCCCACCCCAAAATAAAAAATTATCCCAATAAATTATCCCCCCCCCCAAAAAAAAATATCCCAATAAATTATTGTTAAAGGCCATTTATAAATAAATAAAATATTTCCTTGTAAAATAAAACCCAATATTAAATGTTAGGTATCTGACTTTTCAAGTAGGGCTGCCATATTCTCTGTTTTCCTGGGCACAAACTGGCTTCTTCATGGTAACAGAACATATGGGAAGTGCTGCCCTGTGTTTTGTAGATTAAATGGGAGCTGTAACCTGTCTGGAAATGACCCCACTCAATAAGTCATTGAAAATCACCTAAAACTTGTGTTAAACGTGTTTTCATAGAATGCTAGTTTCGTTTTAATAGTAAGATTTAGCAACAACCCACTTCAAAGTGTCTCTAAATATTTCCATGTATTCTTGGATTTAATTTTTTTTTTTTGTGTGTGTGTGTGGGGTAAAAATGATTTAGGCTTTTTTTTTTTTTAATATAGGAATACTCTTGGCACCATAACAACCTCATTGGAATAAAGTTGTTATGGTGCCGAATACTTTAAATGTAAGTCAATAAGTAGTAATTTTTTGCATGGAGCTGAAGGAAGCAGGGTGAATTGTTAGTGTAGGACCCAGCTAAGAGCTTTGCCTTGAGTTGACACATGGGCTTACAGCTAATGGCCATTGGAGGGAACCAAAAAAACTAAATTTGTCTAAATATGCATAGGGATTTGGGGTAATGTGCAGGTAACTCTTTTCTTTACTTTTCATACACTGCCTATTAACATGTAAACTCTTATGGTTCTGGCAACCCTACTATCAACTAGTGAATATATAATAGTGTTCTATATTTCTATTCTAATTTTGTCAACACTGAAGGATGCTTGGCTAAACCTGCCACTTACCATGTCCTTGCATGGGCCATTCTCAAAATTTGCTTTGTGCAAGACAATTTTGTGGGACTGTCCTCCTCCACACAAACACACAGGGTTTCTTCATTATAAACTACAATAAATGGGTTTAGAAAACAGTCTATGTAAATAAGATAAATTGTTCTTGTTCTAAATTACATTTTACTTTTCTAAATTATTAAGTCACCTGTAATTTCTCAAAACAGTTCCGCCACTGGTCACACACAAACCCATATCCCCAAAATGAATGTGTCCATTTTTGTACATTTAAATGCTGATAGGTGTGTATATTCACCAAAACCACCAAATCTTACAGTATCTTCCATTTCCTGCTAATATTAGTAAATATATTGACGCCCTCTACTGGTTGATCTTTGAATAGTGGCCATTTTTTTGCTGCTTTCACTACAATGCTTTCATTGTTCCCACCATGGGAGAAGTCGGGCGATATACAATAATTCTTTAAACATTTATCGAAAGGAAATAGATTTAAAAAAAAAAAAAAATTTAATTAAGTTTTTGTAAAAAAAGAAAATAAAAAAAACCCATCCCTACCATTAGTATATGGCAGGAACCTTCAGCCATATACATACACCTTGGGTCAGGCAGTGTTTGAAACCAACAGTTAGTCTCTATGGTTTTCCCTGTTTCCGTGCAGGGAGTGAAGCCAGTAGGACCATAGAGACTAACTGTTGGTTTTCAAACATTGTCTGACTCAAGGTGTATGTATATAGCTGAAGGATCCTGTCATTTTTTTTTAAAAGGTGGAGATGAGTATTTCTTACCTTTTTTTCATATATTTCATATGCAAGTATTAATACATTTAAAAATAGTTTTGACATGACAGTTGTCCTTCAAGCTTAATGCTGGTGCGGAGGATCTAGAGGTTGAACTCATCCATGGAGCATTAAGCTGAACATGATGAAGATGTTGGGGATTCAGATATCTGATAATAGTTTTGAGGTCTTGAGTAAAGAGGTGGATTTTTTTTTTTCAGTCTCAAAAAAACACACAAAATGTCTGGTGTAGGTTGTATGTTATTTGGAAAAGAAAGGGGAATATGATTGATATCACACAAGAAATGTAGGCTTCCATGTGAAAATGGCGAGTGCATTTGTTGAAACGTGGAGGAAAAGGTGGAGATTGAAGGCCTATATTCAGTAAAGCCGACCAAGCATTAACTATTGGAGGTGTGGAAAGTGCGGTGGATTTCTACAATTCATTTTATTGTTCAGACCTAACACAATACACATATTTGTTAAGCATAAGGAAGAAGTAAACATAATATTAAAAATCTTGGGTCTTATCCCTTAAAGTTTTTTTAATCGTTAGTGTCACAAATGCAAAGTTGTTAAAACTGCCTATGTGTGCAGCAGCGTTTTTAGAGTTTAGGGTCATGGAAATTAGCACTTGTGAAATAAGAGAAGACATCACGCAGGTCATTGCTTGCAGAGCACAAATTCAGGATTCAGTCAGGAAACAGATGTAAATTGCTGTAAGTGGCTATAACGTGTTGCATAGTGTTCGTATGACTAGACACAAATAGATCTGCCATTCATGGTCTGTACCTACCTACAAGCTGCCAGTAATCATCGAGGTTACATTGCTTATAAGCATTAGCTAAACCTCATGTGTTCTAAAGGAACATGCCTAATCTTTTAAAGAAAGTTTTGTTAAATCATAATTACACATTGTGGTATGAAGATCGCCAATACAGTTGTGCATTCGGTTTCAATTTTGGACGATTGTCAATTTGTCCAAATTCTTCAACTCTAAAAGTCCACTTGCCACATCACAAAACAAACAGAATGGGCAACGGACAAACCGTTTTGTTTGCTTAGGGATTCAATGTTCCGTCTGTAGCCCTCAGAAAAAAAAAATAATGAATGGAGAAACTGATTTTTTTAATTTTTTTTTTTTTTGTCAAAACATAGTTTGCCATGATGGACAAGAGATCTTCCCAATGATGAGAGCTGTATCTCCTGTCCAATGAAGAGGTGGAGAAATTTAAGATGACTGATGCTTAGGGGATAGCCATTAAATGCTGGTTAAAATTCACATTTAATGATTATATATTTTTGTAATCTGTGCTCAGGGTTTTTCTGAAGGGGAATTAATAAAAAATACAATCTCTTTGCCACTTTCTGCAGGGGTGTGCGAAGAAAAGTAAGACCATAAGTTTGCCTTGTGGTCCGACATGGACACATTCCCCACAGCACTGGCTGGCGTGACTAAATTGATGCAGTATATAAACGCTCTGCCTGTGTCTAATTTGGAATTTGCAGACATTTTACAAACTAGTGGTAACCCCTATGCCACAGACTATAGTGAATATCATGGAGAACTGTCCAGGCCTTCAATTTTTGTATGTTGGATAACAGAATATAAAACAAAAAGTTGACAATGATGAATAAATGGAAGATCCAATGTTATTTTGTCAGTTTTTCAATATTCCCCACTGAAGTGATATCGTTTTACTTATCCCATAGATCTGATTTGTAATTGAAAGTAAGAAATGGTTTGTAATAACTTGGATTAAAAGCTACATGGTTTATTAACAGCATGTATTTTTATTATTCAAGGCTCAAAATGTCAAATAATACACAGGTCACTGCATGCCTGGAGTGTCCAGAACACATACCACGGGTTAATTTCTACTCCCCACTTGCTAGGGGAAATTATATATATATTTTTGTGTATGGGATAATAGTGGAACGTATGGTTGTAATATAATGTCATTTGATAAGAACAAAGTCCGTTGAGGTGTGCCGAAACCGACGTGCGGTTAGACCTGTAAAAAAGAGGGCCCACCTAGATGATTAAGGCGGGAGGGGAACTTTAGAAATAGTCGACGACAGGTAAGCAAGGGCTACTGGGTTTTAGTAGGACCAACAGTCCCTCTCACAATTTCAGGCATAGCCTTCCCCATATACACAAACACGTATTTAAACCATAAAATAGAAACTGTCCAAACTAACCTCTCTTGAGCCTAAGGGCTTGGATAGAAAATACAGATGTAATTTCACAAAATAACTTTACTTGAACAGTCAGATTTTCTCCAGACATCTCCTTAACTAACAGCAATAATAGGAAAATAAACGTAGTGCCCCAGGCCCTGGGACAGGCCCACACTTGATATAGGTCACAGTTTGTGACCGAAATGTTGCCTTGTGAACTCCGTTGATATGCTACATTAAATGGCTGTCTAAGTGCCTGCTCCCCTGTCTTCTGTTTGGATACGGTTATATATGTGTATGTCATTAAAGGAACCCTTTGCACACCATAACCATTACAGCCCTGGTGCCCTCCCAGAAAATGTTTTGATAAACTAACTGGGGTACACTGTCTGTCTGTCAGTCTCCATGAGAGCTAGGAGCTCATGCAGAGAGCTTTCCTAAGCTCCCATGAAATAAGCTCTGCATTGCAGGGCCAGCTGAATGGAAGGGAATTAATACCTGCACCGCTGCGTTAGCTCAGAGAAGAGAACCTCTGGCTCTTCTGAAAGCGGTGACTGGAGCCTGGCAGACCTCAGATAAGTTGGCAAACTGCTTGTAAATAGTTTCATTACCTGCCCTGGTAGTATTATAGGTGGTGGTCTTAGCTGCATTACTTGCTTGCACTCCTAAAATAAAACAATTCCTATTCACAGTTGTAGTCACAATTTGTCCATTTAAGCCTAAATCTTGAAATTTGATTCACTGCAATCCCAGCATGCGTACGGTAGACCTATCCTACCACTTACCTTAGACATCCAAGTCAGATGTGTACAGAAAAATATTCAAATTGTAACAGAGTTTCTAACAGAAATCACACCAGTTGATGGATATATACAGCTCAGCATATTTATCATACCTTTAAAATTAGTGTGGGACCCACCAATAGAGTATTTTGATGATTCAACAAATTAATATGTCCACATCCTTATATTTTTATCTGGAGACAGATGTTTTAAATAGCCTTGGAAAATGTCAGAGATTTTGGGAGTGCACTTTGCTTGTGAATTTGAAAATTGAAAGTAATTTTAGCAGCATCAAAATTCCTGCTTGTGTTTCCGATCACAATTTTTTTTCTTTTTTTACTTTTAGTACAGGGATAGTTTTGTCAGACAGCTGCTGAAACCTATTACCACCTAGAGAATGCCCTCTCTACAGATGATTATTTAGAATGTACTCTTTGCTATCAATATGGGCGTTTTACCCCAGCGCTCTCTGGCCATCACTGCTGTCCAGGTTGGATGGAACTTCTATTGGTATTTGGGAAGTGTAAATCCTGGATATTGGGGTGCCAGGGAGGAGTCCCATATTTTATGTTACCTTTAAATATGTAATTGACATAAAATGTAAAATTCCCCTAAGGCAACAAAGACTGAATGCTAGATTCTCTACTGTTATGGCTGTCAGAGGATCATGGGAATTGTAGTTCTATAGCAGCTGTACGTGTAACTTTTCGCCACTTTTTATTTAAAAGGGTAAATTTAAAGAGTAATTTAAAAGGGGTAAACAAGAGAAGTGATACCTTAACGTTGAGACAAATAAGGCAAGATCACTGAGCATTACTTCTTCCCAAGAACAAAAGACTGTGCAATGGAAAAAAAGCCCTCTTTAAATAGATCCCCGACTGTGATCACGTAAACAGGATACTGTTTCAAGTCTATTTTTATAAAGAGGAACACGTTTATTAAACAGTTATACCATTAGTCAGGCTGGGAATACCAGCCCAGTGATTTAATCTGTTAAAGCCCAATACCAAAAGGGCCAGATTGTGACAGAAGATGATGCAATTAAAATGCACAAAAATTGTACTATAATGATAACACAACTTCTGCATTGCCTCAAACAAAGAATACACACTTGACTTTAAGCTGGCTCTGCATTATCATGGTAAACATTCTTCATGCCCCCATCCCTGAGTGAAGAATGGACATCATCCTAGAAGGACGCAGTGTTGATAAATGTTGCGGTTACTCTCACAGAGAGGGTTGTGTGTACAAATAAAGGCAGTCTTGGCAGCGTTGTGGTACCATATAGTTAGGGCCCTATACATGGTTCCCACGCTGCCCCCGAGGTCCCTGGTTGTTGTAGAAGCCAGACGTCCGTACAGTTCAGATGGAGATATAGATTTTATGAGCCCTTCAGCGCGCAAGTCTCCTGAGGTCGAAATGACTGATGGGCCATGAAGCAGCATCAAACTTGATATAAGTCACTTTGGTCGGAGTTCTCCCAGTTGACCAGTTCAGCACTGTGAAACCAGAGGCTAATTTCCCGCTCAGCCACTTCCACAGAATCGCTGGCATGGACTACATTCCTGGGGAAGGAGGGAAAGGTCACGGGTGATTGATACATGATGTTCAACACTTAACAATTAAGAAAGGGGGTGACGTGGATATTGGTGAAGAAATTTGAGAAGTAGAAAAATAAACAAAAGAATAGTTGGGAAAAGGGGGAGAGTACACACATTGGAAAGGAGGAAATTTGTCAGGGTAATTCATGAAAGTGTGAATTCAAAGTGAATTTTAGAATTTCAGGCCAAACTAGATAGATACATTTAAAAAAAAAAAAAAAATTCTCCAAGTCAGCTATGTTTTTAGTTTAGCCATTTTGAAACTAAATTTTAATTCACTGAGGTGAACGTCTGTTCGTCTGCCCCAGAAGCTTTACCTGCTGATGTGAACACTGAAGTCCCCGCGGACTGTTCCTGGCTTGGCCTGGGCTGAGTCTGTGTCTCCGACCATAAAACGGGATGATCGCACAACATTGTGGCCCTCCCAGACCTGAGTAGCAAGAAGATAGTTCAATGTACACACACACACGCCGGGTGGAGAGTTAATTCATTCATAGTGGTCTCTACCTTTAATCAAGGTGTAAAAACAAAACAAAAACACAACTTATAGCAGCTGGATTGCATCAACAAATAACAGTGACACAGAGAACCAAGAGGATAGCCCCAAAACCTGCCATTTTACATCAACCACATAACATGAAGACAGAGATTGAAGAAGCTTTGTGGCCAACTTCAGCCACCTTTCAGTTTATCCCAATCTAACGGAGTGCAGAGCGTTAGTTTAAGAAGCTGCAATGATGGGCGCTTGCGGATAGTCAATGGGAACAGAATATCAAACGTTCATACTTACCATAGGCTTCTGGAGTTCTAATTTAGAAAACAGATACATAAAGACCATTAAAATGTAATACACAGAGAGGTTCTGGTCCAAGTCTATAAACATAGTCAACATTTTGTCATCCACACTATGCACTTATTAGGCGAAAGACACTTACCATGGCAACTACAGGACCAGAAGCCATGTATCGGATGAGGGACGGATAGAATGGCTTCCTGCGAAGATCATGGTAATGGTCAGCTAGGGTTGATTCGGAAGCCTGAAAAAATTAAAAGTTCATTATTTAGACAGCTTCATGTGTTAGAGCTTTAAGCAGGTATTCGAGAATGCCCTCTCTACAGATGATGATTATTTAGAATGTACTCATTGCTATCAATATCAGTCTTGCCTTGTCTACCTCATCAGCCATTTGAAAATTCAACTATATATTTTTACAGCATTGTATTCTTTAAAATGTAATACGATGAAAACACAAGTAATTAAAATCTAGCCAAAGTTTGAAGTTTTCTATGTTAAAAGTAAAGCGCAAAACTAAATGATACCGCACTCTCAAAACATATTGCGTAAAGGTTATATTAACCAGATCGTTATTCATGTGTATATTGCCACAGAGTTGGATAAAAGTGCTAAAATGTCACAAATTGTTTTACGTTACTTTTTCCAACGAGAGGGCAATACCTCACCGTCATCTCGTGAAGATGTAAGAATATAAATAAATTTACAAAAAAAAAAAATTCTATTCTTATATTTTCACGATATGTTTTGAGAGTGCAGTGTCATTCATATTTTAGGCTTTGTTTGTGAGGAGCCTGGATACCTGCACCTCCAATCAGAAGAGTCCCAGCATTCCATTTTTCCCCCCAATTTTTAAAGGTTGGGAGCATCATAATTAATATTCTGATTTCACCATCAGGATAATAGAGCAATAAAAATAACGAATAACTAAGCTTGGTACATGTAAATCAATCATCAATCTGAGGTCAAAAAATAGTTTTATTTTAGCGAATGACTATGTCACAAGTACTGGACAGGTCTGACTGTTTTATACAACTTTCAGAAAGATGGGCCATAAGATAAAAAAATAGTCCCATCACCACCTAAAATATAGTATCATTTGCAAAAAATAAATAAAATATAAACTCTACACCAGCAGACGGATTTTGATAAAGAATATTATGTTTTAGCATTGTATGTTTATTCAGCCAGCCAATCATTTGGACATTTAATGAAGTCAGAACAGACAGCTTGTGGCCTACCTGCAGCATTTTCAAGCCCACTAATTTAAACCCGCGTTGCTCAAAGCGTTTGATGATGTCACCGACCAATCTCCTCTGCACCCCATCAGGCTTCACGGCAACGAGAGTGCGCTCCTGTGCTCCGGCCACCACTAACAACAGATGGAGAGATAATTTAGAGTAGGATGCCAAGATTAAGTTTTAGGAAGACTGCAACTAGAGTCAATTAACTGCAACGAGAAACGAGAATCCAAAAGAGAGATTTGAGGATGAAGTCAATTAAAAGTTTGAAAAGAAAACTGGGAAATTGAAGGAATGCCATTTCTCAGAAACGGTCGGTAGGATTGACTTAATCCCTAATGCCTAACATTGTTAAGACATCGGGCTAACTGGAATTAGGATTGGACATTTCTGCAGGAAATTTGGGATAGTACAGTGATGGCAAAACTTGAGTACTCCAGCACCCATTGTGGGTAACTAGCTAAATAGCAGGATTTCGTAATGCCATCTAACACCAATTTTACTAATGCAGTTATTCAAGACCACTTTACGTGCACCCCAAAAATGTAATTCCTATATGGCAGGAGGTAGCTAACAAGCAGTCTGCTTGTTGCAGTTGAATACCATGATACTATGCTAGGTCCTTTATGGTTTTAGCGCTTACTACCACCACCACTGAAAGGCTATTCTAAGTATCTACTTCCATTTTTGAAATGGATTACGCACTCAGAATGATTTAGGATTGGTGGTTGTATTGTTTTGTTTTTTTTGCCAGGAATTTCCCATCCATTCTGCCTTCTGTGTAGACGTGGGGCATTAAGAAGGGACCATCAACGTTATTTACTAAACTGCAAAACATACCAGACCAAAATCTGAATAATAATAAGATTCAGGATAAAATCAGCCAATCTGTCCCTAGAGGGGAGTTTAAAAATTTATCCAGGTCAGATATTTTAGCCTGAAGTTATTTAGTATATTTAAATTTGAATAAGGGGGGGGAAAAAAACCCTGAATATTGGGAAGATTTTGCGGAATGTTAGGAGATAGTTCACTTCGATCTCACACTGGGTGTCCAGACTAAACACAGGGGGAATATTGAGTAGTAGACAGAACAGCCTGCAGCACAACTAATGCAGAATGCTTGGTTAGGGTATGTGTGGATGTATGTGACGGGGGATGGGTGGCAAACAGTTGACTATGGGTGCAATTTTTTGCAAAATAAATCTGTGTGTGTATAGGGTGCACCCACATGAAGAGAAGTTATGAAATAATGTGGGTAAAGGGTGGAAGTCACTGAAATATTTTGAAAAAGACAAGGACATTGCAACGAGTTGATTTCATTACAGAACCTGAGTTTGTCTAGATTTGAGAGAAAATCCACCCCCACCCCCTTACCAGGAGGGTCCTTCCAGTTAGCTGGAGGAAACGAGAAGAATGTGATGGAATTTGGATGTATTCATTCATTTATGGGGGTGGGGAGAAATGTGATACATGCATATACACTGCATAGACATGGTAGAAGGGATAGTATACATAATTATTGTTATTATTATACCGGGTATTTATATAGCGCCAGCATATTCCATAGCGCTTTAAAATATTAATACATAATTAGCAAGGGATGACGTCAAAGTAAAACAGGGTCATTCATTGAAGTTTGGGGTGTCATGGATTCTGAGAGAATTTCAATATTTAGGCAAAATAGCAGAATTTTAAAACATTGTTGACCTGGATAAACCTAAAAACATACTAGATAACCCTCACATCTTACAACGGCAGTAACATATGTCCTAACGTGTCTTATACCCCACCTCCTATAGACTGTAAGCTCATTTGAGCAGGGTCCTCTTCAACCTATCGTTCCTGGAAGTTTTCTTGTAATTGTCCTATTTATAGTTAAATCCCCCCTCTCATAATATTGTAAAGCGCTACGGAATCTGTTGGCGCTATATAAATGGCAATAATAATAATCATCCATCGGCGGATTGTGTTTAATAAGAATCATTAATAGGGTTATTCACAGAAGTAAGAATTGTCAGGGAGACACAACGAACTTCAAATTTAAGGCCAAGATAGCCAAACTGGAAAATTCTCCAAGTCAATGATGCTTCTAGATTGGCTACTCTGGCCTTAAATGTGAATTCACAAATTTTTTCTCTTTAGTGAATAACTTTGTAAGGAGGCAGTGATATTCCCACAGAAATCTACACATGTAACATGTGCCAGCACTATACATCTAGGAGTACAGCACTGTACACATCAGCAGCTCAATAAATAGAGGCTTTATTTACACACAGAGCAGGTTCCCATGCTAGCAATTAGTGTATTTCATTCATAATTGAATTGAGAGGCCCCTGGCCAAATCAGCTGCTACTAATTAGCAAGTAATACAGCCTAACTCCTGAGAGCCCTCTAATGAATGGCTTACACTGGGGTAATATTAATACATACATAGTACACCCAGACAGCAGCACTGGGTAGTCCTCAATGCACTATGTCCTAGCAGGGGGTGTGTCTCCCCCCCATAATGACAGTGCACTGGGTGTTCAGCCTCTATAGATAATACTAAACATGTTAACCCTTTACTGCAACAAGCTCTTGGCAAGTTTATAGAGAAATATATTCATACAGCTGTAAAAATAATTGAAAATCCCAAATTTAGACTTGTCTGAGGAGCTAAGGAAGTTTAGTTCTGGGGTGCCAAGATTAGTCATCAGTGGTAACACAGACCCTCCCCCATCTTCCAGCCACGACTACTCTCCCATCCCCTCTGTCTTCATGAAGCCTATGGCTGGCTGAGGATGATGGGGATTGTAGTTAAGAGTGAGGCAGTAAACTCAAGCAGCCCAACTGTTGCAAATACTGACTAGCAATTCCTGTCTGTGAAAAGGCCATAGCTGCATAGGGATTATTATTATTACTTTTATAGGAGTTCTGGATTAACCGTTTCCTGGGCAATGCAGTTAATTCAAGGATAATCAATAAAAGGATGCTGGGCATCATTCATGGGGAGAGCCACACTCACCAGAGCTGTAGAAGGCAGAGGGGCCCCCAGGGGCCAGTGTGGCCCTGCCAGGAGGGCCCCTGGTGCTGCAGATGACACTCCTCAGGATGGCTGGCCGGATGAAGTTCATGATGTCCTGAAAGACAAATCTTTGTGCTGGGGGTCTGCAGCTCAACCCAGGAGCCGGTGGGCGGGGCTCAACATAACCACGCCCAGGATTTTAAGCACAACCTGGTTCAAGATTCCAAAACTCTCTGACCACGCCCACTGAACTCTCTGGGGTTCATTTACTAAAGTGAGAATTTTCTATTTTCTATATTAACCCAGATTAGCCAGTCTCATATTGTGTCAGGATTATAAATATTTAGTCTATTCAAAGCCCCATCCCCTACACCTAATCTGAATCCTTTATAAAATAAAGAATCTGCATATTTACCAAACAGCAAATGTCAACCAGGATCCAGGAAAAACTAACACATGCTAAATAAACCTGCTTTTTGCACGTGAGTCTATTTCAAGTTAGACTGTTTTCTCACTGATGGCAGCAGCAAGTAGTTAAAAACCCCTCAGCAGTGCAAGGGTTAAGTAATATGGTGTTACTGTGGGTATATAACTCCTGAGAGGATTGAACACTCCCTTCACCCCCACTTTATATGCTGCAGATGGGGCATATCCCCTACCAGGGGTGCCAACAGCTAGATCCCCAGATATGGTAGAACTACAACTCCCTTGATGCTTTGCATGTATTTAGATTTTCTTTAGATTGACAAAGCATCTGGGGAATCTACATTTTGGGTACCCCACACTCTGAGTAGTGGATTGAGTTATTCAAATAATGGGAGTAAGGGGGCTCTATACATTCAAACCAACAAATCAGGTTACCTCTAGTCTGATTGTCTAGTTCAAGCACAGGCAATCTTCAGCACTCCAGATGTTTTGGACTACACCTCCCATGATGCTTTGGCAGCAGTATGGGTGTAAGAGCATTAGGGGGATGTAGTCCACAACATCTGGAGTGCCAAAGGTTGCCTACCCCTGGTAGTTCTTAAAGCCAGCTTTCAGCCAATCACATAGCAAAAAGTCATTTTGGCAAAGGGTAAGCTACAGTGTATTTTTTCACGTCAGCCATTGATTGGCCTGAGAGTACTATGGCTTTATATAGGTGTGGGGTTTATTTGCAATGCTTTATTTATGGGGGATTTTCAGATTTCTAAGGGCAGATAATAAAGATATTGAGAGCATTTGTTGACGACGTAGGATGTCCGAATAGAAACAATTTTTGGTTAACCATGTCACGAACGCACCCTATTCCAAGAGTGGGCGTTACGTAGTTGTGGTGGTGAAAGGGTTAAAGTTCACTATTTGTCTGCACTAGACCGGAAACAATGACAAAATCCCCCTTTTAACACCACCCACACTTAAACATAATAATATAACTATTACTATTTTAACGCTGCCACCACCAAGACAATTTATAAATGGGGTGCCTTGGTCCCCCAGGTAAATCAATAATAAAACCCACCAAATATTACTTAGTACAATATTCAAGGAATTACAAAAATACTAACTAGTCTCTTCAGGTAACGTGATTCTTAACCAGACAAAGGCAGAACTTAATAAATGAATGTTTATTATGAGCAAAAATTAATCACAGTGCATATAAAAATATATGATAAACAAATTATTTACACCAACAACAGATAAAAACAAAAAGGATAAAATACAGAAGTCCTAATTACTCACTTAGGTTTTCAAAGTACAACTTCTGTCCAGGGGGTCTCTGGCAAGGAAAGATAGTGACTCATTCAAAATTAGATCTTGGCCCCAAACAAGTACACCAACACCCTTCAGGATCATTAGATATATACCCTGTGGTTTATCAAGTCTTGCCCAGGGGTGGAGTTAAGGCGTACCTACAGAAATAATAACTGACCACCTCCTTTGTTCCAGACCACTGTCAATCCAAATGGAAACATTTGACTCTATCTTCTTTTTTGTACCTGCCACAGAAATAATAATTGCATCTACAAATTTGTTATTATTTTCCCATTCCATAGACATGTTGCACGTCCCACCCACGATCCAATAGGACGGACATCACAATTCCTTTCCCTAGGGTCAAGTTAGGCCACTCCTGTTTGGACTTGGTTAGAAGATGGCGCTTGTCACATTCCAAATATAACAAAAATGAGGCTTAATTATTATTCTGTGGGGGGTAAATATGAATGTTTCTGTCCTTCCTTTGGATATGATACTGGAACAAAGCTAATGGCATTTACATATCAAAGAGATTTACTCATCACTAACAAGGTACATGCCACATGGATGAAGAGACATTCAGACTTTATCCAAGTGTAGAACCTCACACCTTGCAGAGCCTTGATTACTTCACATCCATTTGGTAAAATCCTTTTCACATCGCTATGCCATTCATACCCTTCTGTCATCTGCCCTCTGTGGGGTCCCAGCTTCAAAAGATGTAATCCCTGTTGACCGCAGCAATAGCATCTCTGTAATTTGTGCCATTTACTACACAAATTACATTAAAAGAGGATATTCCATAGTGTAATAATAAATTATACACCCTTGCCATGACAAACCATATGCTACAGCTATAGCTGGGCTACCGCCCCTGTGACCCTTAATATTCACTTAGCATCATAGGGGTTGCAGATGTACTACAGCTATGGGTATAGTATATGGTTTACCCTCAATGTTTGTTGGTATTCCAGCACCATCCAAAGATACAATGATATGTAGTAGGTACTGCTTTGTCTTATGGGAAATCTGATGTTAATAAAATGCTGTCAAAATGCTGTCATGTGTCTGTCACTAGTGATTGCTGTGAGGTAAATTCATGGTCTCACTCATCGCAACACGTTATCCGTGTTCTATGGGATCCTCCATAGTCAGTGGACATTTCGATAAAGTGGTTATGGTGTCCGGAGTTTCCCTTTTGAGAGCAGCTGCCGCCGCAATACCTGCCAAACTGCTCTGACGCCAATTATTAATTATATAAAGAGTCCTATTGCTCACCTGTTTGACTTCCATGTCCTTCTGTAAATCTAATGACAACTACACAGGTGAGGGCAGAGTTTCTAACAGCATAGGTCAACCCGGTGCCTCAAGATATTGCAGATCTTTTTCTCCGGCCTGCCAAAATAAAATGGCGACTCGTTTTCAGCCTCCACCAAGGAACGGGCTCTGAATGCACTGGACGATATTCGAACCACTGTGGTACTGCATCACTCGTCCTCCAATGAACTGCCTTCCACTAAAGGAGATATTAAGGCTCTCCTCCACAATAAACGCCAGCTCTTAGCAGCAGACCTTGCCTTAACACAATATTAAATTAACACAATATTCGTGTCAGGTCAGTGGAAAAAGATTCTCAAGGCCTTAACAAACAATACACCTCTATTGAGACCCTGACTGCAGAACATATTTGCAACCATCGCTTGGATGCTATGGAAGACAAGCAGGAATGTAAAAATCAGGGACATACTCCAAGCAGGTTAAACAAGCCATAGTTGGGTATTTCATACTCCCAAATCAAACAGAGCGCTCACTGATGCCCCAAGGGATATCATCCAGTTTCAAACCAGGTCTTTGCAAATCACCTTCAAGACTTGTTTGAAAATGCTACCTTAACTCAATTTTACGAAAGAGAAGTCTGTTCAGACCTCTGGCTACCAACCATCATGCACATTCTATAACCTATCGTTGGGCCTATCCCCGGTGCCTGGTCATTACTCATGGGTGGTAATGCTATACCAATTCCTGATGTCTCAGACAGACTCTGTGCTTTTTCTACACATGTGCATAAGGCTCCACTTACCTGGGACTTGTCCAAATTGTACCTTTATAGCTCCATCAGCCTCAGCTAGCCTACAGAGGTCAGGCGGTCTTACAACAGGGATCTGAGTTGCCAGCAAAGTGAGGCGGGGATCCTGGCTAGTAGAATGGCACTTCTTTTAACGGGGATTAGTTTTGGATTTTAGGGGGATATTTGTATTCACTTGTTTACCAAGATGCATTGCAAATACTTGTTTACATTCAGTAATTACTTTAAATAGATAGCGGTTTTGGCTTCCCCATTTCCAAGTGTCATACCTTATTAAGATGCTGCCAACACCACTATTAGATTTTCTGCATTCTGCCTTGATTCATGATCAAGCCTCTAACTAACACTGTTGTCTACACATTTGTAATCATTGCTCCTACAGGATATAACTCTGTTCCTTTGTTTTTTTAGGTCTGCTAGTGATGCCTGCAGGCTACAAGTCAGTTATACAAAGAAAAACTGATTCTATACCCATTTCATGCATTATAAACATGTACCTTGCTTCATTCACTTAAGAAAAGAGGGGGAGTCGGGGGGGAGGCACTATTTGTCCTCGATTTCAATACAAAAGATGACAGACACAACATGAAGAGTTTCAGTCAAAATACTTTGTATAACTGTAGCCAACAAGTTAAACAAGTCTGATCTCACGCTCTCAAATTTTGTTTAACCCCTTCAGGACCGGACTGTTTTGGCCATGTTGTAAATTAGGGACCAGGTCTGTTTTAACACTTTTGTGGTGCTGGTGCTTAGCTGTAAATTTCCTCTCTCTTATTGACTGTTCCCCATACAAACTATATATTGTTTTTTCAGAACAAGAAGGGCTTTCTTTACATCTTTACATACTATTATTTGTATCATGTCATATAAATTTACTTTAAAAAAATAAAAAAATATGGCGAAAAATGGAAAGAAAAGTTTTTTTTGTTTTTTTTCTTGAAAAATATTTTACTTATCTATAAAAGCTAATGAAAAAAACTGCTAAATAGAATTAAAAGTTTGTCCTGAGTTTAAAAAACACCCAGTGTTTAAATTATTTGCAGATTTAAATTATTTTTTGTGCAAATTATAGGGCTACAAGCAGGGGTGTGTTTACTGCAAGGCAAACAAGGCATTTGCATTGGGCGGCGACAAAAAAAAGTCGCCCTCCAATCACCCAGGCAAATGCCTTGCCAGCCTCTTGTCCTGGGGGGCCCAGGAGCTAGCCAGATGGCCACCTCTGGGCCCTCCAGGCTGGCAACAGCGGTACTTTCCAGGTGGCGAAGGAGCACTGATCCTCCCTCGCACGCACCAGTGATGCCGGAGCTGGAAAGGAGGATCAGTGCTCCCTTGCTGACTGCAGTGACCAGCCGGCCGCCCAGCAGCCCCTCTGGACCCCAGGGAAAGTGATAATCCACCCCAGCACTCCCTGAGTGTGTG